GTAAGTTGAGTACCCTGATCAGTGAAGACCGTGAGGGTTTTATGCCTGAGAGGGAGCACAGGCACACCCAGAACCGCCTCCAAGATAGTGAATGAGGGGCGTTCCAAATGAGGCGAAACAAGGGCGAGATAAGCAAACCTTCATGCAAAAAAACTCTAAACCTGTTTTCTTATTCACACCAAATATCATTGTCTTTAATGGGAAAATGCACAATCAAGGTCAATTATTTTTGTTTCATTATTTACATTATTAAAAATCAAGTAGATTCCTTTGGACCAGTTTGCACACATCAGTCAGAAATCCTTCTGATAAAATAGTGAAAAATAAACAAATAATAGAGAATATGCCTAGGTTTGAATGCAGTTTTCACCCTGGTCAGGCGTGACATTATTCCTTCTTTACAGAAATATACACACACATATATATAAGCCGTAAAAAGGACGCTTTTCAAGCCAGATTTAAAATCTAGGCTCTGCAATCAAGGAATATTAATAGATTTGTTTGGAAACCTTCCAGAATAAGTCATTTTATGTCCTTCCTGCCAAAGATGTCTTAGGTTTCTATGTCTTATCTCTGCCGTTGCACTGGAGCTGCAAAGGGTGGTTCTTTACACATGGTAACAAGATAACTCTGGTTCTGGGTCAGCTGATCGTGTTGTGCCTTTAAGGTGTCATCATTTATGTGGGAACAACTCTTTGTTCTATCTCAAGACATGAATGGGTGAATTAAGCACAAGTAAAACACATTCAGTTTAATTATTTATCCATATCTGCAATTTTTTAAAAACCTGGACAAATCTCCACTGAAGTGTACAATTAAGTTTAAATGTTACCACTAGGTTTCTTTGGGGAATATGCATTAATTTCACCAACCTATTATTGTCAAATAAAGACAAACATTGTTTACAGAATTTTTTTTTTTAGGACAGACTCAAAATTCTGCTTTCATTTAGTTTAAATTAGTATCTAAAGTTCTAACCCAGTGGATTTTGGATATTTCTTTTATTTACGTCATCAGTCCAAAAATAATTTTCAGCCTGATGATGACTATAACAACGTTTGTAAAGAATAAAATCATATATATTTGAATATGTGAATGAGATTAACAAAAGAAGCAGTCAAATCGGAAAATTGAAAGAATGAAAGTGTAGTAAAAATTGTTTGAAAAGCAGAATAGTTACTGATACCTATTTTAATGTAAAAAAAACACTTTAAGACACTGTTGATAAAAGATTTACACTTCAGCAGCTGATTACTTAAGCTACAGACACACCGGTTCATCTTTCCAGTGTATAAAGATAAACTACTGCTTTTCCAAAATCACTATATAAATGTTTAGATCAATGTTCAGGAGTAGTTATGTGTGATAAATGGATTTAGGGCTTTTTAGAGCACACGGGCTACATTATTTGACTCATAGGACAAATAAAAAAACAGAGAGAAATAAATTAGATTTAGCAGACATTCCAAAATACACAAAGGCCTAAACTGCCTCACTTTTCACAGACATCTTTGGTTTAAAACATGGCACATCTCGCCCTGTTACTGTTCACGCCAAAAGCCCTGGATCCAGTGACTTGTTATCTCTCCAACTCCTCCCAAAAAACTCAGCTGTCTGGAGACACCAGATGCAGCTGTGACAGTGTTTATCTCAGAGATTGTGACATGTGTGAACCTGCTACCAATGACTGCATTGTTGTTTTTTGGAAAGAGGTCAAATAAATGTAGAGTCATTGTGGAGGAAGATAATCTGATGCCTGTTACTTAAATAGCCTCATATGTATTGACGCCCCAGGAATTCATGGGAAGTGTGTTTCGAATAACTTTATATATCAATAATGCTGATTTAAAATAACAAAACACAAGATGAGTGAGTAGAATATGTCAATGACGCATTCAGTTAAAAAAGATGGAAACACTGTCTTGAATTGAGGAAAAACTCTCACAAACATAGTGCAGGGGCTCCCTCTAAAGAAGCCTCTACAAACATACATTACCAGCATTTAGGAATTGATTTTATTGGCTAGTGTGATGGTCAGTGTGCTCAAAAATAACTGCAAGAAACGCTTGTGATCCACATTTATTCATCAACTGTTTTCCAAAATGCACAAATTAGAAGAGACTTGGTCTAGAAATGTACAGAAATGGTCAGAAATCAAACTACAAAGTTGTGAAATTACTTAAAGCAAGTGTGGGCTTTAAAATTCTGAAGGTATAAAAAGATAGATACTTAAATAAAAAAAATTCAAAGTTTATAAAAATTTGATCACAGAAAAGTGAATAAGAAAATTGTGGCAAAATCTTTAAAAAGTAATAAAAATGTTGACATCAACAGCCTATGCACTTTTGTTAGATTTTAGGCATAATAATTCTGAGGTTGTATTACCATATATTATTTCAATATTCATATCTTACATGGTACGTACTTTTATATACCCAAATCTGTCACTTTCTGGTTCTCTGATAAAACACACCAGCACTTTCACTTATTCATCAACCAAGTCATTTTAAATCTTCTAAACACCTTTTACGTACACCGACACCCTCTAAACTTTTGCTACCACCACATATTAAAAAAAGACCATTGTACTACAGCCTGCAGATAAGAGCTGCACCTCTCGTCTGCAGCCCACTGATAATCCGACTGTTAAAAATACACTGTTTCAGAGTCTATGCAAGATTTATTTCTCAGTTTTTGATAAGTGATTCACGATCAGTACAAAAAATGAACATTTGTCTTCTGGAATTAAACCTACCAAAGCTTGGGGAAGTCATGAACCTTGCAGGTTCTAGGACAGACAAAGTCAGACTGAAAAAAAACATCTATATAAAAATACTTTGCTGAAAATAAGTCTTGTGTTTACGGTTGAGGTGTTGTCTTTTGTGTTTTCATTTGGTAGCACCAATAAACTAGTTGATGCAAGGACACTTCTTATAGAATGGTGGCTCTTGTTATTCCAAATGGCAGTAATCACACACAGTGATGTTATATGTTAGAATAAAACACACATCCCTATTCAAAACTAATAGAATATGGAATACAAAAAAAAGGAAATGTATGATTATAACTGGTATAACAAAAATTGGTAAGCATTTTTGACCCGTGCCATAACAGACATGCAGTGGGGTGAAATGTGGCCAAACCAGACTTGAGATTGCACAGGTGTCACTCTACGTACTTTGAATCACCACTGAGGTTACAAACAGACAACTGTGTATGGAATTTAAAAACGCGTATGAGGATTACACAAACTCTGATGTCAGTATCTGCACATCCTAATGTACCTAAATTATTATTCATGGTGAAAACAAAATGCACAGACAAACTCAATTTTCTACAAAATAGCATGGATGAACAAACATCTGGGAAGTTTCCGTTCAGCTGCTCTTAGATGCTGGAGAGTTGTTTATTTTGGTTCGACAGCGGGAGGAGAAGAACCCAAGAGAGGAGACTTCGGTGAAACCTGGGCATAGTAAAAAATAAAAAAAAGAGAGAGAGAGTGAGTGAGAGGGAAAATGTATTCCAAACATTGAAGGATATTGTTTTGGATGGACAGTATGATGAAAGACATACACCATTAAAGCCAGAACATTGCATAACACAGCTCACACTGTTCTGCAGGGGGTCTTTTTTTCTATTTGTTTGTTAAATCTTCATGCTTCCCCCAGCAGGAAAATAGCAGGCTCAGCAAAAAAGAGCCACCTGCTGACATCAGGCAGTTGTCTTAATGCTAGGACTGTTTAGTATTGTGTCACATTCCCAGCTGACTTGAGTTGTGTGGAACATGATCCACTAACATAGTGGGGGGGGGGGATTTGGTAACCTTACCAATCTGTTTGTATTTTCCTGATTTGGTATTAGTCTAGGTATTAGTCCTGGTCAGTTAAAACAAACCCTGTAGCTCTGTGCTGGGTCATTTTTGATGAAAAATCTCATCGTAAAACTCTGACAAATCTAATTATTTATCAGTGTTGGTGCTATCGGGTATCCATGGCCAGTGTGTTTGGTGTTTCATCACTCACCGGGGACGGAGGCTTTGCGAAGTTGAGGTGAGCGTACAGAAGTACGGCGATGTCGTTTTGACTGGCCTCCAGGGCGATGGACAGAGCGGTGCTACCGTCCTGCGAGACATAAACCAGACACGAGCGTGAAAGTGCTGCTTTTGGACAAGGATTGGTGGTAAAACATCACGGGGGGGGGGACGCTCACGTTATCGGTGAGAGTGGCATCGCAGCCTGGGATGGACAGCAGCTGGCGGACGATGTCCACGTGGCCGTGCTCACAGGCGCACATGAGCGCCGTGGAGCCGTCGTCGTCCCGGATGTTGACCTGAGCTCCACAGGACAGCAGCGCCCGCACCATGTCCCCTCGGCCGTGACTCACCGCCAGCATCAGCGCCGTCTGGCCGGCCTGCAAACACCCATCATTTAAAACAACAAAAAAAAACATTCTTACACTGGTGTTTCCCTCACCCCCAACCGGCCGAGGCAGATGGCCACCCACCCTGAGCCATGGTTCTGCTCGAGGTTTCTGCCTGTTAAAGGAAGTTTTTCCTTGCCTGTGTCGCCTAGTGCTTGCTCATAGTGGGAATTGTTGGGTTTCTGTAATTAACTTCAGAGTAGGGTCTGACCTGCTCTGTTTGGAAAGCGCTGTGAGACAACTGTTGTTGTGATGTGGCGCTATATAAATAAAACTGAATTGAATTGAATTGGTGTGCACATTGGTAACCTGAACCGCTGCCATCAGGTCTAAGCAACCCTTCAATTCTGAAACTCATCTGGAAGTTGGATCTGGTTCGGCTTGGCTGTGGAGGAGATGCAGGGGAAGCTAATGGGCAGTAGAGGGCGCACCTGGCTGGCCTTGGCGTTGACGTCTCCCGTGCGCAGCAGCTGCAGGACGGTCTGGAGGTCGCCGTCGGAGTGGAAGGCGGCCAGAGCCGTCAGCATGATGGCCGTGTAGCCGGCCTTGTTCTGCTTGTCAGCGTTACAGAGGCCTGTCGCGTAAATAGGGTAATCAGTGTGACAGCTGATCCAGAAGCAGCACAAACACACACACACACTGCATCACACAGATGTGTGACACTGACGGATAGAGGACATGACACAGACTATGAATCAGTCCAAAGAAAAAATAGCCTTAAGCTTTAATAGGAGTGGACTGATTATGATTGTTTAATGTATATTAAATATCATGAAGTCATTATATCTGTATCATCTGTGAACATACATTGTTAATAACTTTGTTTCAGGAGCACACACACAAACAAACAGTTGACTCACTGAGTCAAATAAAAGCTTAATGTTTGATGACTGAGTGATAACATTTGGTTTTGAATTGAAAATGGTAACAGAGGTTACACTGTCTCATTATTCTTCCAGTCTCGTGTGACCGTGTCTGTTATATTCTCAGTTCACTCCAGTTGTTCAACTGTTCTGAAGCGAAGCAACGCACAAGCACATGCAGCAAAAGCTCACCAGTGTCCAGCAGAAGTTTCACCACAGGGAAGTTGGAGTGTGAAACAGTGTAGTGGAGCGCTGTATTCCCGTTGCCATCTGCCATGTTGATCACAAACGCCAGCAGCTGGGGGGAGATGGAGGCGAAAGCGTCCATGTAGGCTTTGACAACAGCTGTGTCGGCTGCTTTGTGACAGGACACACGTAGCCACTCCTGGAGCACAGTGGTGTAGGCCGCCCTCTGAGATCAGACACAATGAGGACAGGCAAATAAACACGTGACAGAACGCAGCAACAATGCAAGCAGCTTTGTCAGGAATTCACATAAAAGCAAAATCAGAACAATTTTAAGTTTTAGCTATGAGTAAAACATCAGGTACTGTTTGCTATTCTGGTACCAATAATGTAAAAAAAAAAAATCAGAGTTCGGCAAAGAGCTGAGCTTTTAGAGCCAAATCAAGATATTTGGACGTGAAACTTAGTTTTTTATGCGGTAAGGTTCAAATATCACATTATGAAAGGACGGCCAGTTTTTGGTACTATATCAAAAGAGTCTGAGCCATCAGACATTGTGAGATTACATAAGTAATCATAGTATGTAAACATAGTAAAGTAATAAGTAAATTAGACTTCACACATACTGCTCCTTGCTGGCTGAAGGCATTGGGCTCCCCCAGGGCTTTCTGCAGGGCGTACAGAGCGGACATCAGGCTTTCGCTCAGCTCCAGTCTGAAACACACAAGACGAAGACAATCACTGCTGGTGCTCACACACTCAGCGCTCATACAAAGATGCTCTGTTTCCTTTTACCTGACTTGTTTGACAGTTGTTGCGGTGTCATCTGCTGGCTTGGACTCCGGCTGACTGGAAGTCACAGATGTGTCTGACTGGGCGTTGGGCGGCTGTGCCAGAGCCTCGGCGGCTTTGCTGACGCTGGTTGCCGGGGAACAGGTGTCCGGAGACCTGACGGAGTTTTGCCCAGGAGGAGAGTCAGTGCTGCCTGGAGTGGGTGTGATTTCCTGGGAGGGAGCGCGTTTCTCTGAAAACTGGTCGTCTTCAGCGGGGCACGGAGGGACCGAGGTGGAACAGGCTACTGGTAGCTGTGAGGCACATTTTTGGGGAACGTTGTTTGCTGGTGACTGAGGAGTTTTGTTGGACAGTTTTGTTTCCACAGATGCAGACTGGCTGGGACTCTGCTGCGAGTCCGAGGTGACAGCTGGTGGTTTGACTGCAGTTGGCTGAGGTTCACTGGTGCTTTCTTCCTGTGGCTGGGAGGCCTTGTTAAGGATGGTGTGATTCTGCTGGATGGCGGACTCTGGCAGTTTTTCTCTGGCCTCATGATACTCACTGGAGTCGCTCCCCTCATCCGAGCTCTCGCTGCTGCTTTCCTCTGAGGAAGTGGACTCAAAGCTGTAAAACAAAGTTCATCTCACGTTTATAAATATTTTGTAACATGGTTGTCACTGTGGTTTTGCGGGGATTGTTAAATCCATCCCTTTCTTTATACCTTTATTACACTTACCCTCCATTGACTCCAATGAACTGTAGGTTTTTCTTTGTTGATGGAGAGCCTGGCTCACCTTCAGCTTTGCGCTTCATAATTGATCTCAGAGAAGACTGTGAAGAAGAGTCTGAAAAGGAAAAAACGGGAAACGTGATGCTCACGATGCACTGAAATGAGAAAAAGGTTTGCTGGGTTGTTGAAAGAGCCCGATCCACATGCCTGCTTTAAGTAAGTCGTCTGGTGACTCAGCGGCCGTTTGTGCGTTCGTCTCCTCTTCTTTGGAACGCAGCAAACTAATTTTATTACCAGATGTTACAGCGATGGCAGGGTTAGCAACAGGTACCGAGGTAGACAGCCTACTCTGCAGGACGTCGCGTACCTGCTTGGAGCTGACTGCAATTGGCAGCTCGACTGGAGCTTCTGAGAAACGGAAAGAAGACTTTTAAACCTGCAGCAAGCATTATTTGACGTGGAATGCACAAACATGAAAATGATGGCATACGTGGTATGATATAGCACCACATGATATAGTGCCAAACACTTTCAGTATTAATGTGTATAACATAATTAGATATAATACTGTTGTGTTGTGTTTAGGTCAATTTAACCATTTAGTAATACCAATAAACTGGTAACTCTGTGTCTTTTGTCAGAAATCCCAGAGATGAACTCAGACCTTCCGTTTGTCCTTCGTTATGGCCCTCCAAGACTCCCCCCACTGGTTGAGGGGTGGGGGAACTGCAGGTCTCTGCTCGGAGCCGCATCCCCACCTCCACCACTCTGGGCTTCTCCAGCGTGTACACCTGGATCCCCACCGTCCGCTGCTCCCTCTGCTGCGGCTGCTGCGTGAAGCTGACCAGGGTGTGCAGGTCGCAGCCCTGTGGTTCCTGCCAGCCCATGTTGGTGGCCATCACTGGATGCTCGGCCCGAGGGGCCTTCTGGGCCGTGGAGACCTGCTGCTGTGCAGCCTGCAGCTCCTGCACCGTCCTCTTTAACTTGCCCTCAAGTTGACCCACTTGATCTTTGAGCGCCTCCGTCTCCGGCAGCAGTCCCAGATCCTTCTCCCGGACCCACACACCGACGTGACAAGTGGCTCTTTTGTCCTCTGGCCCCACCCCGATGGTGCGCACCTCCCGCCTCGCATCCGGTCGTGCGCCACCCACGATCACCGTGTCTTCAATCTCACACCCCGAGTCCTGCTTCGAGCCTTCAGGCGTCGTAGGTGACATCGGGCCTGGAGTCTTGCTGCTGCTCCTCGCCCCGGCGCTCACTTCCTCCTCAGGAATGTCGATGTAGAGCTCCCCGCGAGGACGGCCTCGGCTGAAACCCAGCGAGTGGCCGAGGAATTTCTGGCTCTTTAACTGGACACTGAGCTGCCTCTTTTCCTCTTGCAGTACAGAGATTTTTACTTGGAGCACAGGGATGGTCTTCACCTGCTCTTCCAGCTCCTTTATCTTCCTCAGGGCTGCAGCCATCTGTTCTCTGACATGTTGTAGGTGGGCCGGGGTCGGAGTCACCGGGGTAGACAGGCCAGAGCTCAGGGGAGTAAAGGATCCACCTCCGCCTTGTGCTCGGTTGAAGCTATGCGCACTACTGAGGGACGTGTTGGAGCCAGCCACACTGCTGTGCATGGTGCCGAGGTTGGAAAATCGACGTCCCTCTTTCTCCTCTTCCAGCTTCCTGCGAGCATCCAAAAGGGTTTTCTCCACCCGGGCAGTACTAAAGCTGGGCCTCTGCGTTGTGTGGTAGCCCGGCGCGCAGTAGGAGTAAGAGGAATGGCGGCTTTCCATGCTGGCGTTTGAGCACAGCGACTCCGTGGAGGTCCACCAGGAGCCAGTGTAGCCGTAGCCCCGGGGCAGGGAGCCATATCGCGGCCGGCGCTGGATTGGCACCTTTTTGATAGTGTTCCCCTTTTCTATGTCGTTAACATATTTGAGGAAGTCTAGGTCCAGACGGTAGCCATAGGGGGTCTCCACTGAGTAGGGCGCCTCCTGTTCTTTAGTATGCAGGGAAGGAGGAGCAGGCGGGTTGATTTTCCCTGCAGGGGAAGGAAATCAACTTTAAACAAACGGAAATCTGTGTCTAATCTTGGGTTCAGACTTTAGAAAACAGCATAATCTCTGGTACAACATGTTTTTTATCTCACCTTACCTTACCTTATTTTGAAAAAGATCCAAAATAAAGTAAGAAGAGAGATTGTGCATACATATAAACGGCTCCATCCATGCAGTCTAAGTCCTAATAAAATTATTCAATTACCCAAATAGAACATTTTAAAAAACACAGAATTCAATAGTTATGCCCATGAAAGACACCATGAGTGCCAGTATAGATTAAATCTTTACACATAAATCAGATGTATTACCCTTTTCATTTGAATATAAGACATTTATAAGAAGCAGTACTGAGAAATAAGTGTAGCATTAGAAACCATGCATTTTTGGAAAATGAAGGAACACATATAGTAAGTCAGCTGCTGAACAATATAATTTACATTTAAAAAAAACATCCCTGTCTGTCATTTCTACAAATTGTTAATTTGTATTCAGCTCCTTTGTCAAGGTTTATTTTCAAAATGGAGTTTACTGTTTTATCACTTTTTAATCATTATTTAGTATTTATTATTTCAAGATTTTGATGGTGATCTATTTCGAAAAACAAAGTAGAAATAAATACATCTCGTACCTGGGAAGCCAGTGTCCATGTGCAGCACCTGAGCCATAATGAGCCTGTGGCAGCTTCTCAACCAAACACAAACCTGTGGAGACACAAAAAGCTTTAAATCATAAAAGAGCATACCGAACAAACATTTCTCATAAAAACATCAAATTGAATTAAACATAGGCAAGTTTTCTTTCCTTAAAAAAAAATCTGTGTTTACAAAGAGTGGCTCATTCCCTGTTTATGCAGTTAGTTTGGTCTTATTTTTGTATTATAAATAACAAAAGCTGTAGTGTTTCTTTTACTAAGTCACCTTCCTGCCTCCGTCCCCAATTTTGTCTGTCCATTTTCTGCAGCAAACTGGATTGTGTATTTGATACTGTTCTTAGTGTTCAGAGAAGAGTTACTGGGAAAAGTTTCCATGCAGCTAATTCCAGGACAGAGATTTGCTAGTTACAGCCTTATTAGGAATCATCTGAGCGCTCAGTTTAGGGTTTACACACAGTCTCTGCTCCTTCTTCCCCCAAGATTTTTTTTAATCCTCCACCTCAAGTTTCTTCTCTATTTGTTTTCCCTCTGTGCTTTTCTGCTTTGTTCTACCCCCATTAACATCAGCTGATGATCAGCAGGTTTCAGCTTGTCACTTAATCTAGCTTTCCTCCAATTTTCTCGCGGACTGCTGAAGACAGTGACCACCTGAAAATCTGCCTCAATTTATTCTTCACTAGTTTAACTTCTTTTAAACAAAAGATTAGGCTGTTTTTTCCTTCCATAAAGAGTGACATGCTACAAGCAAAAATAGTGCTCGTCCATGCCAGTTTGTGTCTGCTTGGAAAAGATTAACTTTCTAGGTCATCACTTTGTGGGAACAAGGGATGTAATGTTTGTAATGTTTAAGCCACCCACATTAGTCAGCCGAACACTGTTACTGAGGCTCAAAAGACCAAAGATCTGAGGATGAAACCCACCACTTTCCTTTCGAAAGGCATACTCAATTTGATTCAGTTTAAGGCTATGTCTTGCTTCTCCAGCTCTCCCTCTCCTGTCTTGTGACCCTCAGTGGCGCTTGCTCATTCGTGAAAAGTAGGGCACTAGGAAACACTGACTAAATTGACTTGGTATTTTGAAGTGCTTGAGTCAAGTTAAATTTCTCAGTGTGAATCCCCTTTGCTGTAACGCTCTCTAACTTTTCCATCACAAACAACCAAATCCATTTTATAAATCCAAGCATATAAATCCATAAAATCTATTTTAAAGCACTGGTAAATGTTGTTTGGTCGAGCCTCAAGAAGAAACCAATTATCTTTCAGTTAACACATAGGAATTTTATCTGATGGCTCAGACATATATTACTATATCCCATTTCATCACAGATAAGATTATCTTACAAAAGCTAAATACTATCAGGAACTTTAGAAAAGAATTTTGGCTCCATGCCTTCATACTTTATTTAAGAGTCCGTTTATCACCGACACAAGTGTGAGACGGATTTTGTGTAGCACGTTGTAGCAGAGTGTCACAATGATTAAATGTGTGAGAAAGTGAGACCAGGGCACAGACGAGAGACAAGAGGAGTGTCTGGAAGTGAGACACTGTGAGAGAGTATGTGGGAAGGAGGGTGGAGGACAGCGCTGACAGGGGACAGTTGATGAGATATAATTAGAGCCGCATTTTGTCGACCAAACATCCCGGCCGGCCCGGTGGCTGACGCTGTCCACTCTGTTTCCTTTGATTCCGAAATGCCGATTTATTTCCCATCAAGCCATAGCTTCACACTCTCATTACTCCCTGCCTCAAACGTCTCTTGTCTCTGTACTTCTGTGGGAGCTATTCCGCCCACACCGCTCCCCAAAAAACACCCACACACCGCCTGGCCCCAACATCTGCTTTTCCATCAGCAGCAAACTGGGTGTTTCAGATGTGTTAGCATGTGTGTGTATGGATTCCCTTGAGTGTCTGTGTATGCCCCGGGTGGAGGCACTGACCTTTTCCCCTGGTCTCTCAGCTTTCAAACAAAGTTCCTTTGAGATGACATCTGAACAGAAACCAGTGTTGGCCCTTCCCTTGTGCCATACTACAATTCTTGTGGAGACCCTCCCTGACTAGCTCCATCCAGGACAAATGCCTTGCCCCCCAAACACCCCCTACCCCCTCGCACAGCTGCATACCATACTAAAGGAAGCCAACACCGCCTGGTCTACTCCCTCCATTCCCTGCTATTAAGATTAAGCTAACCCTCTGGGGGTAAGATGCAGGTCATCCAGCACAAATTGCATGTCTGTGGTATGTCCTGTAAGATATACAGAAGAATAACGGCATTGTGCTGCATCTTCATTACGGCGCTCGTTTTGCGTGCAGGGAGGTTTCAAGTCGATTCATTTAATTTAAACCCAAACTCTTTGCTTCAAATCTGAAAGTTTAAAATCCAGATTTGATTTACAACACGTATAAACATTGCTGTCTCTTTGGTGTGTCAAGAGGACTGAGACCACCCCGAAAAGTCTGTTAAAATACCAGACTACATGTTGAGGTCAGCTCCTTTAAGTTCATCGGCCTCATTGCATCTATTCCTTGAGTTACCTTTAGTTAAAAAAGGCCACCGTTTCCAACAAGCAGGCAAGAACTTTATGGATTTTTCCACTGCCTTGCTTACTCGAAGGCTTTGGTAACAGCTATTCTGCTCCATCTTGGGAATGGTTTGTGAATTAGGAAAGAGGAGATTTATTTTCTGTGTTCATACCAGCTGCGTGCGCTGTGAGGATGGGACGTTTCCTCCCCAGGCTCCTTCCTCTCCTTTCCTTTACTTGCCCTCTTCTAGTCAGCACCTGTGGGAAATAAGAATAAAGAAAACTTGAACTTTGGCTGTCACTGACTCATTGTAGCGGTTTGAGGCTTAGAAAAATGAAAACAAAGTTGATATCTGGACTCAGTCATCAGGAGACATCAGTTAAACCCCATTAAAGGTGTTCAGGTCTGTTGACACAAAGATAAAGACAGACTTATGACAGGTTACAAAAGAGTGGCCTCTGCAAGACTTTAAACACAGGTTGCAAAGCCAGAGAAAAAAAAAAGAAAAACATTCCAAAGGATTCCAGCGGTTTTGACTGACAATCCGGATGTGAAGAATATACCCCCATGAGATGCCAGTGGCTCTGAGCCCGTTGATAAAGCATGATTCATGTTTACATGCTACTTTCCCAGCTTCCTGAGCCCAACCCCCCCCCCACTCCCTTCCGAAATCTTACTCAGGGTCCTCTAATCAATTCAAGGCTTGGAGCGGGAATCTCTGAGCCACGTGATTGGGCAGTGTGCTCTGTTTCCCAACTTATGTGACTAACACCCCTAAATCCCGTGGGACCGACACACGCCCTTCAGTTTAGTGGGAACAGCCATCACCTCCACAGTCTAGACCGATTTCACAAGGCTTTTCATGCGCTCCCTTCATGGACTGAACAGCATTGGTAGGTGTCCACTGGAAAAGCCGCATGACAGCGTCTGCTGATTCTCACACTTTTGGCCTCAGTGGCTCAGAGTCAGGCTGCCGGTGCAAGAGCAGTCGGCATTTCGTCTACAGGACCGCGCAGCCTGAAAACCACTGACGAGTGACCTTTGCATAAAATCACAGAACGGCAGACTGTTGTTCGGTCCATTGTTCTTCAATGTTGTCAGGCTAGGACCACGGAGGGTGGAGGGGCGGTGGAAGAAGTAGATCTTTTAGACTGGAACCACGGCCAAATCACAAAGAGCCATTCATTGAGCGCCTGGTTCCACAGCTGGTTCCAATAGAGAGAAAGGAGGGGCATCTCAGAGAGACTCAAAGAAATGGTGCGTATGTGTGCGGCGAGGAAATTTGCCTAAAAACAAACAAACAGTTGATGTAGCACTGTTACGGACCCACAGGCTGACAGAAAGTGGAAATAAAAAAGTCGGGCACACACCAAGGGGCTGACGTCTTGATCCAGAAAGGCCTGTGGCACCACACAACTAACATAGCTGATTATCATTCCAGTTCATCACAAAAACAAAAACGGAGCCTCAATTATCATTACATTTTGATCCGATTTAAGTTTATGCTGAATATTGAAAAGTTAACTTTAGCAGGAACGAGCAGAAAGCTTTCTGTTCATCTAAATGATGAAAGGCAAGCTGATCTATAAAAAGTGTAATTAGCCATAAAACCCTGAACTGGCAGAGGGAGCGAATACTTGTGTAAGACAAATACCAAATGCAACAGAGGAGACTGACTAAACTCCCATTGCCTCCCACACTGCACATGAAAACACACAGATCCCTCAACACATCAACAATGTCTGAGGTTTGAGGACTCCCACAGATCAACAAACACAGCTGTCGCTATTAGCCTGATTTATTTAGGGAAGGGCACAAATTATAAAAGCCAAATGATTTACATCTTTTTGATTTGCCAACATAACTTCAGCCACTGGCTCCTGACTTAAAAAATAGCTTTTTCTGAAGTTAGCAGAGCCCCGAAATGCTCCGAGGCCGTCTCAGTTTATCTGCCCCTATCATCATACCAAGGTAATTGATGCCGCTAAACAGAGATAATAGCTTGATATTTAATGAAGAAGGGGTTACAGGAAAGGGATTTTCATCTCTGTGTTCCCCAGGGACAGAAAACCAACACAGGAACTTCCTCCTAGCCCAAGAGAAGAGTAACAAGACCAGGAGCACAAATGAGGAAGAAAAAAAAATGGAGCAGAGTTAGAGGAGAAACACAGGAGAGAGGTACAGTTTGAGAGGGACTCTGGGAGAGAAAGAGTGTGAACGTGAAGGAAGAAAGGCGAGACAGCGAGGGGAGGGGGGAAGGAAAAGATACGCTGCTGAGAGTTTAAGATGGAAACTTCTCGAATGAGAAGAACATGCCACTTCCCGGGTTTGGACTCCACCAGAATGAATCACAGCAAGTTCTGCCTCTGACACCGAAACTGCTCTGCTGCCGTCAGTGCAGGAGCAAAAGCTTCAAGACCATAAACACAGCTACAAGTGCTCTTCACCATGAGTAAATAAAGTCTGAGCTGACCTTTTTACAAAGTCAAAGGCCCCGCCTGGAAGATTACAATCATTTCTGTATTCCGCCCCCAAAAATAGACTGACAATAGAGAATTCCTACGAGGAGCAGGGCCAAGTTGAACCAAAAAAGAAAAACTATTGTTGAGGTTTTTTTTTTTCCTCCTCTTGACAAAGAGGCCATAAAGAAGACATCAAAATAGATTCCAACAAGAGCTTTAAATGCTTCACAAAGGTCACTAAAGAGGACTTAGTTGCTGAGATGTCTACTTAGTTTTCTTTGCTTTCCTCCACACTTTGGAGGGAAGAAGGCCTCATTCAGTCGGCCTGTGCAGAATGAATAATACATTTCTTTTTTTTTATATGACACAAAATCTCTCTGTTGTCGGAAAGCATAATGTGGCTGGGCCGACTACGTCAGCGCATGACATAGTGAGACTTCACCCAGTGAAGCCAGATGAGTTCATATTAGCGTGTTATTGGAGTGTGTTAGAGAGATTCGGAGGGACATGTGCATTTGGCTGACGTGGGCTTTAAATTCAGCGCAGTGAAGTCATAGCCCAATGGGATGTCACCTCCAGAACTCTGTCCTTTAGGAAAAAGGTCTGCTTTTCCCATTGAAGAGTGGTGGAGTGGGGGGGGAAACAGTCACGCGGGGCTGGAGCCGTTTTTGTGGTAACTTCAGTAAGGCCAAAAAGGAGGGGCCGACCGGCCGGCTCGCATTACTTCTGGAACAGGAGCAAAGTAAACACCCGCCAGTCTGCTATTGGTCATTGTGCTGACCTTCAACAGGAAACCGAGCAAGGGTGGGGCTGAGCGGCACCGGAAAAAAGACACACTCGAGAAAAAAAAAGAAAGAAAGAAAAAAAAAAACTACAACAACTTTTGGGGACAAAATTCCTGAGCTGCTGTGGAGGTGGGGATTAAGACGTAGGCCAAGCGGAGGGGCAGAGGGTGACCGGAAAACGCAAAGTCTGCAGAGGGGACAATGAAAACCAGGCAGCAGTCAGAGACCAGCGGGGTTCAAACAGACGGACGGCCCAGCAGGGCACAGGAAGCATAACGTAATAACGCAAATGATGTAGTTAAGTGGAGACCACTCAGGGATTTCATCAATTACTTCCTGATTTGAGGAGACCTGTTGGTGAAAATACTCAGCGGACTTAAAAGGAACAAACCGTGACAAGACAACATTCACCCCAATAGATTGATGTAATTTACTGGACAGAGCTGTCCATCTGGCTGCTCCGAGTCGTTGAAGTATTAAAGGAGATCAGTCAGATTATTTAGGAAGATAATGTATTAGTGTGCCTAAGCCCTCCAAAGCCAGATTTGGACCATATGCTCACCACAAACATCACTAAACAAAGTATTTAGGAGTATTAACTTGCTCTGTTGATCTAATCAGACTAGCATTATCACAGTGTATATTTATCTCTGAGTTATTAAGTACTGCATCCCCTGCACAAAAATGCCTTCCTGAACAATTTGATGCTACTAATAATAACACGTTTAAGACACTTTGGAGAGGGAACATCTTGAAAAACAACAAACTAATTCGATTTCCAATCATTTCTGCATCAATATCTATGTTCTTGCAACAATGACAAAAAAAAAATCACAACTCGACTATTCACTCACTAAAAAGGCAAACAAATAAGTTACTGATAGTTATATTACAAACCTTCCTTATATAAATTTATGGATATTGCACCCTGTAGATTGTAAAGTTTAACAAATCAGTAAATTAACCACACAGTAAAAATGCTAAGAAAAGCCCACTTGCTGTGAATCAGAATCAGGACTGACAGTCTCTTTAAGGTTTAGGGTGTAATTTCATTAGCTTCACTAAACCATTTAAGTGCCCGGCGTGTGGCCCGGTGTGCAAATGGGGTTTATAACCCTGCATTCCACCACAGCACCCCTGGGTCCCAACTCTGTAATGAGACAATCACATTCCAGCTCAGCCCAAAAAAATTGCTGAGGGAAACTCCAGCGGCAGACAGACCTGATCATAGATTCTCAAATTGCAGTCTCGGGGACTCCCAGGATAGTCTGCTGGAATTCCTCGGGGGTCCTTCGTACACCAGGAAAAGACAGCTTTCGGTGTTAATGTAATCATGCTAACTAGTTCTCAGGTTAGAGGAAATTACCCACTGGCAGCTTATTTGGTCCATTTTTACAGCCTGGGAGCATGTGCACACCACTATCACGTCACACAATGGTCTTTGTGTTCAAAAGAGTGAGATTCAACTCCACAATCATTCTGAGGAGTTGATGCTCCTGAAAAGTACATCAATATGAAGGTACATTTGCAGAAGTGTAGCAGCCCTGTTTGTCAGACAAAGCATGAGGAAGGACAGGGGGCCGTCTGGGTGCCATGCAGCTGCCACAAGCTATTCCCTATTAGGTGATTTAATAGTTTGCAAGCCATTACACAACAGCGGGACAGTGGTGTATTGTATGATGCAGTGTAACGGGCTGACGACTACACCCCCACATCCTGCCAAGTTCTGCCCAAGTTCTGCATGTCAACATGAAAACAAACCTCTGACGACTTCACAGAGAAGCTCAGACAATGTGCATGGGCTTTTAGACAAATGGCACAGTCTGTGTATTACTTTGGATTTCAGTGGAAAACTAAGTGTTCCCCTCTCTGATAGACAAAATGGAACTAAATATTTATAAATATCAAGAAAAATCATCACAAAGGTAGTTTATTCTTTTTTTTTTTACACCTGCCCCACCTTTATTCCTCACCCATAAAAAACTCCCCTCAGTGACAACAGACCTACCACAGCTGGCGGGACCAACACATTTTTGGGGCAAGAAGTGCACAGAAAAACATCTGGAAGTAATGAGAACTCGCAGGATGCCTAGGTCCCACCCTCTCCCCAGAGCCCTCGCAGGCTTAATTGAGTTTTTCGGTTTTTAATGAGATGAAAAATGCTCGGATGTTGCAACGAGGCATGTGAAAAATGCCCTTATGATGACGGAATAAACCGAAATGACTTTTTGTCTGGCAAAAGACCCATGTCAAAAGTCAGATGTGGGGGAGTGTTTTACTGATCATTGGCGTAATACTGACTTTTTAGAAATAAATCAAAGGCACGATCTACGTAAAAGACCAAACAGGCGTAATGTAATCAATTTTGTGGTGATTGGTTATCAATGTGCCGCTTTTTTTAACGGGAGGAAATGACAGAAGAAACCCAAAGAAACATGGGGCTCCTGTGAACTCGCGCGTTGTTGTTCCACAGACGCACTTTGATATCAGACATGATCCCATCAATTCTGTCTGATATTAAAGGCATTGTTAGGTTAACGGCGCTTATTCCCTACCAGCGCCTCCGATGATGCTCTGGACAACAACACAAAAAAAAGACACGCACCGTGGACCGACCACGGGACTCACTTACACATTCCTCCGAAGGTTCACACGCGCTTTTGCCAATTTATAAAACCTACTTGTTCTAAAAAAAATTAGCTGTCGATTGGAAGATAGACGTGCATTTGGGAAGGGTATTGGGTATTAAGGATCCCTCAGTTAAGGGAGGGGGGAACCGGCGTAACGGAAAGGACCGTCGCTACACAAAACAAGTCCCACTAAGGCGCGTCGTCCAAAGCGCTCGGAACAATTCAACAAAGAGATCCAAAGGCTATTTCTCAAACAAATTAAATGGAACTTATCTGCCGCTCTTACCTTCCCTCTGGAAAAAAAATCCTTGCAGCCTTCTCGGCCCAGGAGCGCTCACTGACAAGAGACAAAAACACCGCAGCCAAGATGCTCCGGGCCCCCTCCCGCTCCTCTTAAAGGGCCAGCACCCACCAGGAAACACCAGGGGCTCGTGCGCTCTTCCCCCCAAAAGGGGCAATTACCTTAAAGACGCCACTGGCCTCCTACTACACACCCAACGAAATATTAAGAGGCCACCCAAACACCTGTATGGGCTCCCAGAGGGAGTTTAAAGGCTCTGCAGGTTTTCACTACAGAGCCAGCTTAGTGGACTCTGATGGGGTTTTCTGTACAAGTAAAAGCTGAAACAGTAGGAGCAGAACAAGTGTCTCTGGAAATTACAAATCCAGAAAGTCATCCTGTGTTATTTCGAGCTTTCTTTCCTCAGAGAAATCCCCGGAAAGCTTTGCGTTCAGAAAAAATACCTGAATATCTAAGAGATTTAAGATAACATTAGAGACATTTCTATTGGATTGAAGTCACTCATGAAATGAGTAAACTCGTGTATGTAGTCATCAAAATATATACTGTATATACACACACACACACACACACACAGAGTCAAGATTATGATGCCACATCTCACTCTAATATCAAGAGTATTTAAATAAAAAACAACTAAAAGTTCATAGCCGAATAAATACAGATGACTTTCGTCCTTTCTCAGTAAGAGCGATTTCCTGTAAACCTTAGAGGGTCAATTAGACCACCAAGTGTAACCAGAGACTACTGAATATCATAACAGTGAAGAGCTGGCCAGTGTAGGAGGAAGAGATATTTAATAGACAGCAGTGTAAATAAATAAAAATCTGATTGATAAAAAAAACAGTCTTGTAAAATAAGAAAAGCATGAAAGCTACTTAGTTACAGTGTTAATGTGCCACAATTTGTTTACAATAGTGCAATTGGACAGATGCAGTAGTAGGAAAAAGGCTACATTACATGCAGATTTTCAGCAACAAGTGGAGAAAGTATACAAAACAGTCCGAGTGCATTTGACAGCAGTTCCCAATAAAAAAAAAGACAAAAAGTGAGCAAAACAAAAGAAAAAAAATCAGGCTTGCCTAAACAGGCAAAGCAGCCAGTTATCACGCAGCACTGCAGGTCGATGGGAGACGTCACAGTTTGAACACATTCGTGTGGGTGCTTCTGCCATATCTGATGGGATCGCAGTGCATTATAGGACATGTTTCACAGTAAAAAAAACAAACAAAACAACAACAAAAAAAACTACACTTAAAACATCCCATCTTGGCTTTTTCCTCATTACCAGCCCTGAGGCTTGAGCTCGCGCAGGATGAGCTTAATGACTTAATATCGAATGTTCACAACAAGAGACGACGCAACAAGTTGAGGAGGAAGGAATGCAAGTTATTTGGTCTACTGGCGACGAAGAAAACTCTCTGGAATTATTTCATAACGATGTCTGGTAGCGAACACTACCTGGGATGATTTAGAAAAAATATGTCATGCACATAATACAAAAAAAAAAAACGACTCTATACAAAACAGACCACCTCCCAAAAGGCGGAAAGAACAATGCAACACCTGAAAATATTTGGATACAAAATGTTTGGTAGCACTTGTCTCATAGAAAACTGGAATTAAAGCTCAGAGATTACTTTGGGTTGACGGGGGAGATTGCTTCGGAAGCCTTTTCTTTTCTATTTAAATAAAGGCATCTTAAGAGCCTCACTCCAAATGACAATGTTTACAGAGCAGATAACCTTCCAGTATAAACAGCTGAGATTTTTTCCAACAGAGGTGTGAGAATGGTGGAGACGGGGGAGACGGTTCAGCAGGGAGAGGCGACAACTCGCTGTGTGCGTGTGTGTGTGTGTTTGTTTGTTTGCGTGTGTGTGGTGCATTTTGGGGGGGGGTTAAGTCATGACTGGGTGGCCGGGCAGATGGAGTGGGTAAAATAAAGAGCAAGATGAGGATGAGGATGGTGTGTGTCTGACAGTTGGTGTGCAGTGTAAGGGGGGGAGGGGAACAGACGGGATGAGATGGTGCTAATTTCTAAAGTCCACTGATCTGTGCTCTCTTCCAGTATTGTGCAGCTCAACAGTCCACTTTGCGGAGACTGGACCGACTGAAGGAGTTCCTGCGGTCAGAGAAAAGGATGTGGTTACAATTCAGTCAATTCAATCAGTGACACATTAAGGTCTTTCTTTTTTTTTAGTTTTGAGCTAATTTGGCTTACAAAACCAGACCTCCGGAGACATTAGCTTTCAAAGAGTTCAGCTTTTATCAGGAATTCACATTTATGGAAGACTATCATCAATGCAGTGTGTTAAAAATACATTAGATTTTTTGTCTTACAATATCAAACTAGCTAAAAATCTTTAATTCCAACAGAGTTCTTCCAGTGTTCTTACAGGTGCCATTGTCTCCAGTTCTGTTTCTGATTAGAAACCAAGGGGCCGGCAAGCCCTACCGGTTAAACACAGAGCTGCAGCCAAAGGATGATGAAAACCCAAACATATGGTGATAGTTTCCAGAGTTACACAGGCTTAGGTTCTTCAGGAAGTGCATTTACTTTCATCAAAAGTTGGAAAATCAGATTGGAAATTGGTGTAATGTGTTTCTATGTCTATTGATGACTGATGGGGACATGACTCATTAGGCAGAAGAGTGATTAAGTTTGGTTCGACGAAGCTCTCCTGTTGCAGTTGGAGAAGTAGCATGAGCTCATTTTGTGCGTCCCTGCGTGTAGGCGTGTGTGTGCTTGATGTCTCAAGTTACCGTTGTGTTTGAATCGTCTGAGCTGGCAGGGTTCTGTACAGCTGGGGGATTTTGCGGTTGATGAGAGGACCCAGGGCGTCTTTCAGTTTAATGTAGTTCCTCTCCATCTCTCTGTGGTATTCCTTCTGATCTGGCCCAATCAGGGACTTATTCTTCCTCAGGGCATCCTCACACCTGCGTGACAAATAGCAGAGGAAGCACACATAGCTGGTATTTGTTTTTATTGTTTACCCAGCGGTCTGCGTCTGAGGCGTGGAGTGTGTCAGCACCTCTTAGTGAAGTCTTTAAAGCAAAGGCGTAGTTTGTTGTGATGGCGAAACAGCTTTGGGTCATCCGGAATGTCGGAGAGAAAGACCTGCGCCACTTCGAGGGGGCCCTGTGAGGGGGAGAGGCTGTTACACATCTGCTGAGGAATGTCTACAACTACCCAAAAACACTGACCCAGACTTGAGGAACCCATTTTAATGAGGCTGATATTTCAGCAGTTATTAATCCTTGGCCTCGTTAACTGGTACGGGGGAGACATTCACCTGGTTGACTGTTGTTCCGACAGAGCCCTGCAGCACCATCTGCAGCATCTTGGGGTCGGCGGGGTCTTGGTTGGTGGCGAAGGCGAGCTCCCGGGTCTTCTTCTGCATGTCCTCAATTGCCACCTCCATGGGGACGAGAATAATCTGGAGGACCACAGGCAACAATGAGACAACTCACAGAAGATAAAACACCGATCCCCCCCAGAGCTGACACCCACCTCTTCTTTGTGGATGACGTTGATGCGCGTCTTTATGTAGGGGAAGGCGTGAGACGTGGTCAGGATGGTTTTACGCTTGTACTGCTCGTGCAGGTCACCGTGGGCATGGCCATCCAGAGTGAAGGGAGTGCAGTACATGAACGTCCGCAGGTTGTAGTTCTTGTCAAAGTAGGTGACTCTTTCTTTCAGCTCGTATGTGTCAAAGTAAGGCTCGACGTAGGTGATTTGGAGGTAGGCCTGAAACAGAACTGTCATCAGTATGGCCGGAAGCCTTGAAATCTGCGGGGGCCGACACAAACGCACACGTCGCATCACCTTATTGGGATCCAGTTTGCTTTTGTCCACTGGGTTGGAGTCCTTGATAATTTCAACCACATCGTCCCCAAACTTGACTGAGTAGAACTCCTTTAGAATGAAGACATTCATCTTATGTAACAGGTTTTGCTTTGTTGACTACATAACTGTCAACAGCACCGTGAAACATTAACTTGCCTCAAGTCTGTGGGAGATTTCGGATAATTTAGTTATTGAAGGCTCCTTGTAGACAAACTCTTGTTCATCCAAATCTCCAAACTGGCAACCGTAGAAACCAACTCGGAAGTAGGTTCCAAACATTCTCTAAACACTACAAATGGAACAGAAAGAGGGAAGTTAAACCCGTTAGAATTCAAATTAAATAGAGCAGAAGGAGAGTCATTATATATGTAATATACGCATCTTGTGTAATAACGTGCTTAAAACATTCAATTGTACAGCTTTAGAAAGATTTTTTTTAAATAGCAGAAGCACATCAACGGTAAACACAAGCAGGAAGAGAAGTTGTATGATGCAATCAATCTAGATTAAAGTTGTGTTTTATCACTTACCAGTTATGTCATTCACACCAGAGTGACCCGAAAGAAAGAAAACAAGGTTTGGAGATAAAAGAAAAACACTTTGAATACCATACAGAAGTCTTATATTGGATGTTCTCAATATAATCAAATAGACCTGTTACCTCCCATCCTGAACTCTGCAAAAAGTAGAAAATAAGAACATCAGATAAAAAGCAGCTTTAAATTCAAATTCACATTAAAACAAAAAATGCTGTAATTTTTGGGTAATCTTAGGGTCGAACTTTCCACTAACTTGGTTGTAGACTTTGTTGAAGGCATCCTGCAGCTTCCCATGGACTGTAGACAGCTTTTTGAAGTCTCTGTTAGCTTCATGGATGGGCAGGAGTATCTTGTACACTTCATTTATGGCCTCATACATAGCAGCCTGTGGTTACAGGAAATGGAACATTTCTACATTTGCTGCTGAATCACATAGCTTTTTTCCATCCATTTTACAGCAGTAACTTTGATGCTGTGCTAGCAAGCAGCCTGTCACCATGTAGTCAGAGAAAGTGATTGGTACCATGTTAAAAGAGGCAGCTGCTTGCTCCAGGAGGCCCACCAGGCCTGACTCGCTGAAATACTTCCCAGCACATATGCCTTCCTCCTCCGGGGACAAGACATCGTCGGACACAGCCGACTCCTCTAATACGTTGGATGAAATATTCTGTGGAAGAAGTTACAAATTCAGAATGAAAGTTCATATGCTTCAGATCATCCCATTTAAACAGTTTAAGCAGAATGGGCAGTTCAGTCGAACTCCACACTAGCCTGAAATGTGACGCAGCCAATGGGCAGGTAGCGGCAGTCCTCCAGCATGTTGAGGTACTCTGCCACCAGCGCCGCGCTGTGGACCAGACAGTGAGCCGCCTCAGCGTGGTTTCCTCTCTCAGAGTGTTTTCCTGCCATGTTCTGCAGCCATGTCAGACGCAGGTCAGGAGAGTTCTGGTATCCCTTGGCAATCCTGGAACAGAAACCAACAGAACAAGTGAAGCTTTGAGTGTGACATTATTTCTGTTTACTAAGCTCATCCGTGAGAGCTTCAGTACCTGTACATGAGGTCAATGAGCATTTCAGGATCCTGTTGATGCTCTTTCATTTTCACTGTGTCGGTAAGAATCATGTGCAGGTTGAAGACCAGATCCTGGACCTGCAGTTTCCACAGCACACACATCACATTTGTTAAGTCTTTCCCATTTTAGCTCCTCTAGATCTGAGCAGCATGGCCTTAAAGGGGATATAATCCCTCCTCAGAGTAAAAATGGTATAATTCACAAAATCAGAGTAAGTACCTGCTCTGGAAAAGGTGTGTCACGCAGCTCTACATCTTCCTCAGCATAGGTCAAGATTGTCTTTAATGACCTGCGAAGATGTTCTTCATTGAAGTTCTGCGACGTTCCAACCAGCGAGGACAGAGACATCGTGACCTGCATTTTCACTCGGGCAAAGTTCTGAAGAGAGGCCAGAAAACCAAAATAAATCATTACACTCTGCCTCTCAAAAGCAAACAAGCCGAGTAAGTTCTGAACATCCATTTTTACGATAAAAATGTAAGACCATGCAAAATGTAACCTACATTTCCAATCTCAAAGTTTTGCCTCATGAGCAGGTAAAGAGATGCTGATGCGTGGCTTCTGACAGAACCAACGCTGCTGCTGCAGTGTCGCAGGAGGCGCAGACACAGGTCTGCACAAAGCTCAGTGTCCTCTTCAAACAGCATCTCTGGGAACTGCACAGGAAAACGTACACTTTCAGTTATTAGTTATGCCCCAGGCATTACGTATGAAGAACCGCAGTTCACTTTGGTCAAGTTTCCTTCTTTTCTTTTTCCCCTTGCAAAGAATATTACAATTCATTCATATAAAAAGAAATTCCTGTGTTATTTTTTCCATTTTAAAAATCTGGTTTGTGTAAAACACGGGGAATGGTTTTTGAATCACGGTTATTAACCAACATCAAAGCTGGAGAAACCCAGAGAAACTGGTCTTACCTTGTAAACGAGCGCTCTCTGTGTAGTGAAGCAATGCTGCAGAAAGAGGGCGCTCTGGTTGCCCGCCATGCTGTGGAGAAGCACTCGCAGCACCCCACCGAGAACGCTCTCCTTCAGTTCAGACGCCACCACAGTCTAAAAGACAGAGACAGAACAAACTACAGCTCCGGGTTCCACCACAGAGGACATACTGTGTGTTAACAGAAAGAAGAGTGTAATTCACTCTTTCCAGGGTCATTTTTACCTTTACAATGATTTCCAATGTGTCCAGTACTATCAGAGAGGCCTCAGTGGCAAGGTTACCGTCCACGACAGACTCCTGCTCCACCTCAGCCTTAGTTCTGGAAGGAAATTGAACAGCTATGTGCATTAAATGTCACATTCAAACAGCACTTATAAGAAAAAAGCTGAAGCTTGTTTATGATTTAAATTCTAAGTTTCATAACTGAAAAAGTTCATACTTGTCAACTCTGTCTGTATTTTGCTTCCAGTGACTGACATTCTTTCTCCATCTGACATTCTCCTGGCTGCCATAAGGACTCCTCTCTGTTAGAATGGACATATTTTATGAGAACAGGTCACTTATAAAACAGTTTTGGAGAAACACAAAGTCTATTGTGGCACTTCTTGCCTCTGCAACGGCGGACCATCTCCTGACGGGCTCCGATGGTGCCCAGAATAGCCTCCTCCAGTCTGGCCTTCATGTCCTGAGACTTTTTAAATGTCAGGCTGTTGATCCTCTCCAGAGTTTTCTTCCCCTACAAAAAACAGCAACTGCCATATGAACCAAATGCCAAATGAAGGAGACGGTAAAATACATCCATAAAATTTAAGGACATAAGAGAGAATTTAAAAAATTAAAATTAAAAGTTCTTTGGTGTTAATAGCATGATGGAGTGAAAGTGATTAAAAACTCTAAAACTGGATGACAGTACTTAGTTACTGTACCTTGTATTCAAAGCAGGAGACACAGAGATGTAGCAGGTCCAGCAAGCGGTTGATTTGAAGGACGGACAGATCAGACACCCAGCGCTCCAGCAGAGCTGCATCTGCATTCTTCAGCACCCACAGGAAACACACCAGCAGGGTCCTGCTGCACTCAGCAGACAGAGAGCTGGACGGGCGCCCAGCCTGGTCAGGACAAACATACAAAATCAGTACCAACCTTGTAATCTACTCCAGATTCAAACAAAATGGCTGTTTAGGGAAACTTAAGAAAATATGCACAGAGAGACACCTACAGGCTGAGAGGGGTAAATATACGTCAGAAAAGGACAACAGGAGAAAAAACTGCAAATGCTTTCCGAGTGAGTGTTTGTGTGAGTGATCATCTGTCAAACTGAAGCAGCTGCCTCCTACGCAGAGGCCAGCGTGTGACCCTTCAGTCTGTAGGGCCCAGGGGAACAGTCTGACCCCGGCTGCTATCACTTACCACAGAGGGCAGTGCAAATGGGTTGGCTTTGGCATGCGGTAAGGGGGAGCCAGCGATCGCCATGGCAACAGACTGACTGATAGTGTTTCCACTGTCTGGGTCAGCATCATCAGCGTGGGCTGAAGTATGGCGGGCCCAAGCAGGCGAGGAGTCTTCAAAGACAGAAGAGAAGCACTTTCAGGTATGTTACATTGCTGAAAGTAAGACGCAGAAGTTTTGAGGCAGGGGAAAACAACGAGGTGGACTTGTTATTCTGCTGACCACAGAAGTCGTGGAGCTGATGCAACGTCTCCATGACGATGGGGATGAGAGGCAGGTAGAGCTGAGCAATGTGCGCTCTGACCTGAGGGTCCTTGTAACGAGAGTCTGCATCGTGGCTGCACAGCAGGGAATGAACAGCACTGATGGCTTTCTTATGGAGGAAGAAAACCCTGTCGGGGATAAAAGTCTATGTTTTTCAGGGATTTCTTACAGAGCGCTTTGCGAAAAAAAACCTGAGATATTTATTAGTACAAAACCGAAACTCTTCAACAAGGAACAACCCACCCTTCACCATCAGGATCGAGAAGCAGAGAGAGCTCAGTCAGCAGCAGGCCTGACAGGAAGTGCTGATGGCGAAAAGGGACAGACAGCTCAAACATGGTGGCCACTCCTTGGTCCTGCACCATGCTAGAAAAAGCTGAACCCTGTAGATAGGAGAAATGTGTAAAAAATATATAATATAGAGTTAGATGAAAAAGAACAAATGTAAAAAGATTTTGTATTGAACATAATACATCTTATATTTAAGAAATGTACATCTGTTTTACTCAAGCTGGTTCCAGTACCTGTGAGGTGGTGGATGAGGTAGAAGGAGAAGGAGAGGCTGGAGGGCTCAGAGTTGAACAGGGCAAGTTGAGGATGACATAATGCTCATGGCTGCAGACAATACGGGTGAAGTCCATCCTCAGGGCGTTCAGCGAGCTGGGGTTTTGTGTCGTGTGGAGCTTGTTGCCAATCTGTTCCAAGCACACGTTTACAAAAGACCATAAAACACAAAGAGGGGACAGTGGTGTGTTTGACATGAAATGAAAATAACGAAGAGACTAATAAAAACCTGTTTGTAGTAGGAGCGAATGAGGCTGAACACAAAGCCCCGGTCCATGAGAGACAGCAGGTCGTTCAGGAAGAAGGCCAGGCTGCTGTTCAATCTCTCCACAAGCTCCACATCCTGAGGGAGAAAGAAAGAGATGGATTTCAAAAAGAAATAACAAAAGATTGTCAAAATGGAAAATTTTCTAGTCGAACTGACCACTCAAAGCCCTTTAGCAATTATAGAGGTTAAACAAAAGATGCAAAGAGAGAAATTACCAAATTTGATATTTAAGTCAATCAACCAATATTTGAGTTAATATCGCTCAGGATTCGTTCTTAAATTGGCCAACATCACTGAAGCTTCTTTTAGACTTTAAAATTCCCAAGAAAAGTCCTTTGGTGGAAGTGATGTGTACCTTATGATATCGGCTGGAAATGTCAGCCCCGATGGCACACACAAGCGCAGCAATGTCATCCACAAAGCGGTCTGGGAAACGCTGACGCCTGGGGACGTCCAGTTTGGAGGTCAGGAACAAGTGATGAGCCATGCTCTTAGTCTGTGAATGTGGGGAGGGGAAACATCACCAGTCCATGAAAATGAAATTATTTTGTGGAGATGCAACCGAATATGAGCGCGGTACGAATAAGATTACAGACCATGAGCTGGAAGAAAAACCAGGCCTGCTGCAGTGCTGCCTCCCTCACCGCGCTGGTACTGACAACCCACTGCAAGGCCAGCTCCTCATGGAGCAACTAGACGTGAGGCAAAATATGAAGTTATAGCTCACACAAGTAACTAAATATCAGACACTGGATGACCAGTGTCATTAATGAATATTTCCAAATATTGAGATTACACCTGATTAGTAAAACACTTACTGTAGAAATCATTTCAGATAGTATTACAGATATAGTCACAGTATACAGTGATAATCAACACAAATAACATGAAACAAGTTCTCACAACGTGTCAAAAAGAGATAATGTTGTTAATGTGTAACGAATGCTGATGAATATTAGTAACAGTGAAAGATCTTTTTTTAAAGTCTATACTTTCATTTGTTAGTGAGACTAAAAAAAGAATATCATTTTGACAGTTTGTTACAGAAAATGCCAGTTTTACCTTCTTAGCAATCTGCCTTGTGGGAACTGAAAACAAGGCCACGCTGTCCAGATAGGAAGACATGCGATTGCAGCTGTAGTCGCTTGCCTGACATGAAGTGATGGTGAGGTGAACACAAAGATGAGGACAGTGTTGTGAAAAATGGGTAAATGGGAATGGGTGTATGGCCAAAGAACTCCCTATGAACTCGGATGAGTGCAAGGCTGACAAGAAGCAATCTAACAAGCACCAGGCAGAGCTTCTGTCAGTCGAACACTACACAGATTGCTTGTTAGGCGAGAGAGGAAAAAAATGTTTTGGAGTGCTGGAGAACAAGTTGTCCTTGATATAAAGACATGATAGGTGGGATGAGGGTAGTCAAGACTGAGATAGACACACACATGTAGAGCTGCGATAAGCAATGACCCACAACAGCTGATCAAAGGCTTTGGATGAGGAAAGGTGGTGAACGATGTGGAGGTGAAGGTGAGGAGGAGGAGAAGGAGGAGGAGAAGGAAGAGGAAGGATTTTGCACCTGCTTGAGCTCACAGCTGGAGTTTGGGTTCCGGCGTAGCACTGATCTGGAGCCCCCAGGGGCATAAGCAGAGTTTACCCAGGAGTGGGAGCGGTCAATGCCCTGCCATAAGCCACCAGACGCACACGAAACGCACAGACAAACAAAGTGTGGCAAAAAGCAAGGATACAGTAAGTAAAGGGAGGGTAATTATCACACACCACATATCATTCTAGGGGGGAAAACTCAGCTGAAAACTAAAATTAAGAACATGAAAAAGTTAGGGAGGGAAAGGACGCAGGTTGTGGAGAGCCCAGAACTGGAGGAACGAAGAGAAACACAGGCAGCGGCACAAAGCAGAACTGTTGACTAAGCAGAATGATGAACTGCTGGCTCTCAGTCAACTTAACTTTATTAAATCTGCTGTGAAGAGTCAAAACAATATCATTAATCAAATCAAAAAGGTTTTTTTTATGACACAAAGGGATGTTTTGAAAACATTTTTATAGATTATTGCCATGCTAAACAATATAAATCAGATTGTACTTTCTTTAACAAGACTTTCAATGACGTGCCAAACTGCTAAGAACAATATAAAAACATACTAGTACTGACTCTGAATACAAAATTATTAGCCAATTCTAATAATTCATCTGAGGAATAAATTGTTTCCATTCCTTTCAAAAGAACTACGCCAAATTTGTGACTAACCTTGGTTCCTATAATCCTCTGGACCTCCTCGTCAGGGGAAACTGGTGTGCTGGCCAGGTCGGGGTTGGAGTTGCTAATACTCTTCGAGCGGGACAGGAGCAAACTGCTTGGGCGGGCTGTTGCCCTGGACAAGGTAGCATACTGCATGGGCAATTCATAGGACTGGGGCCCTGAAAATCAAGAGTTGGAAGGAACAAATGTAAGTAAATAAATAGACATGAACACAGTAACATGGCTGCCTGTGGTCTCCTTGATGCTTTTGTTTGCTGCCTTTTAAAGACAGATTGCAGAGTTCAGTCTGGTGACTCACCTGTTGGAGGCACTGCAGGTTCAGCAGTGGGCAGGCGGAAACAGTAATGAATGTAAGATGCCAGCAAGCTGTTGCGGCCATGCTGGTCTTGGTTACCCTCCAGGTTTTTGTGGATCTGATTGACCAACAAAGCCATTGCTTCAAAAGCAGTCCGACCAAGATTAACTGGTGATAACATGAAAGGGAGAGAGGATGAGGCAAACTTTGAAACCATACAATATTAAAAATATTCTTCTTCAAATGATCATGTGTGAATTTTTTCTTGTAGGCTATCATTTAAATGGTCCATTTCAAATAGTTAGATTTTTCCCCAATTTCTAAATCAACACTTCTTCTTCTAGTCTTCAAAAGCTTCCTTACCTATTTGGCCACCAATAACAGGGGGAAATACGATGAGCTGAATGAGTTTGTTGAGCAGCTGATGCAGAAACCGGACACAGGTGTCGAGCAGTGCACCTCTCAGTGCCGCCATGCTGGCCTTCAGCTCCCCCTCCATGTTGGCCTCAGTTATGATGACATCCTTAAGTCGGAAGGGGAAGGAGTACTCTTCCAGGACATACACCAGAGTGAAGAACTTATCCAGGTGGGGGTCCTTGAAAGACAGCCACAAAACCAAGAACAAACAAGCACCAGGTGAACTCTGATGTTATACAGAACAGTTGTCTTACATTTGAAATTTTGAGCATCATTTTGTCCAGAAAGACTGTAATTTTCTAAATGCAAAGAATCTAAACATCCCAATTAACTCCCTGCTGGTACATAAATACCTCTGAATCATCAGTAATGTGATCCTTTATTCTGAGACTGAATAATCACCATCATTTTTATACTTCTGTCAGAAAAACAGCAATCTCAGGGCTTATGGAAGGAGATAAAAGCCCATGGACATTCAGAACCCTCAACATGAAAAGCATATTTGTGTACCTGAGTGTGAACCGAGGAGGCTGCCGTCACCTCAACATTGAACACTCCTTTGTGATTATCCACCCACTTCATGCCTGGGAGCTGAACCTGCCATAGAGTGACATCCAACTCATTTAACACTCAGTCACATCACAAAGAAAAAGGTGATGGCAGGCAAACCGATATTCAATCAGTCTTTGACAAAAAAAAAGAAAACAACAAAAAAAACACTCACGTCAGGCGTGAGAACAGAGTAGCTGGGTGGAGGCTTTTCCACAGACACCGGGAGGCTGAAGGAGCCGGTGCGTAGTCGGCCGTGTTGCATCAAAGGTATCCACTGCGGGCGGAAAGAAAGATGTGTGATCTCTCACAGATGGCAAGACAACAGAAAGAGCTTTCAAACTAGTGTGTGGGTGAAGATATTAAATGGGAGCTTGCCCGTGGAGCACACTCACAGTGTAGCCCACGGGGGTCTCCAGCGGGGTGTTCTGTTTGGTCTGGCAGCTGATGTGATAGAAGGTGAACAGCAAATGGTGGTTGTCTGTCAGATTGGCAGGAATCTTCATCTTCATCTCCTCGTAGAACTCAGGGGACCTTATGAGCAACAGTCAAACAATGTTCAAGACAAAACTGTATGAAATAACTGCTGGACACACTCACAAAGAGGGGGACGGAGCCTAACTTGTTATGGTAGATGACAGGAGTATACGCCTCTTTAATGAACTCGGAACAGCTCGACTTTCCAAAGATGACCTGTTGAAAAAAAGCATTGCACAAGTGCAGGTTGTTACGGCCAGTAGGGGGCACTCTCAACACTATCAAGATGACCTAAAAATGTGCCTCTCACAGATCAATCTGAGTTCTGCAAACATGTTCTAAAATACATTTTTCAAAACAAAAAGAAAGAAGCAATGACTCATAATTCCTACTTTCTTTGCTCATATCTCACAAGTGTAAAAATACATTTTTAACTGCCTGTATAACCCTTTTTAACACCCTTTTTTATTTAAGATTCATAACACCAGTACATTTTAAGGATTATACAACAGAGTTTGAGAACAAACACTCACCAAACATACAACAAAGTGCATTTATCTTTAAACAACAAGAATAGTGAAATAAGGACTAAATCTGGAGTAAACTATCAAAAATATGCTTTAACACATCCCTTTCAAACCCACTCTTTAAAAGGGATATCATCTACTATTTCACTGCCTGGAGCAGTTCTTTAGGGCATGGATTTAATCATCCTGAGACCACTGAAGTCACGTCACAGCTGTCCTTGACTTCCACTCACCGGTAAAGCTTGGCCGGGGTCCTCTCCTGCCATGAACTGAACCTTCACGGTGATATTCCTCACTGACCCCTGACGACTGCTGAAGTTGAGGTTTTGTGGGTAAACGTACAGCAAGTTCCTGAGAAGGGAAATAATGTATAACAGAGGGGAGCAAATTAACGAATGCACACCTGCAAAGCCATGAGTGACTTTTGGTTTCTGTTAGCCTTTAATCACAATAACATATGTCATAATATATCAAATCAATCCTGACACAACGTGTAAGGGCACCTTAGTTCGTCTGAAAAAGACTGGGAAAATGTCACATGCGCGCACATATGGGGAGTGTGACCCTGTACTGGATAAACTCTGCAAATGTCACCGGCTTTGGTCCAAGTCAAACATTAGAGGTAACTATTGTTCACATTTTGAAACAGCTGATCTTTTGTGGGTGTTGTGCTTTGTGAGGACTATCGATGCTCAAACTATGTATTGTAAAACGGCTCATTGCTAGGCATTGAATTTTCTGGTCACAACGAGAGTCCGACGTGCACTGGTGGGTATGTTGCAACAGGTTTAGACAAAATTAGAATCTTAGGGGTTAAGCTTCAAAAGAAGGTCACTGAGACCAAGGCCATGCACTAGACCTGTGATCGAACCACGGCTGAGCTAATGTTCTACCATGGGACTGCATGTGCAAACCCTATAAAAAGGGCTACAACCCACCCTCAAAATCTGTCACACAGGAGCTGATGATGCTTAACTCATGCACAGTTGTGAGAGTTTAATGGCTATTTTTTATTGTTAATTTAAAAGATTGCATTGTATTTTTCCCTAACTGGAAAAAAAGACTGCAAAAAAAAAAAAAGACATCAGAAGCTTTTAGACCGCTGTGATCCGAGTATCAAAAATGATCAGGAGCTTGTTTCTGCTTTGTGTGGCTGGGAATTTAGGAGTAGTCCATTCAGGGCCAATCAGGAAGACCAGCAAGACAGAAGAAAAGGCTGCGACGCAGGAAGACGTCAATGTTCTCATGTATGGTGTCATACAGTTGAGTGAATCTCTTAGCCATGTTTATGAAACCACTGAAGCAAAGGTAGAGAAAATCAGACAGGCTCTGAAGAATCACGAAGTGACTCTCCTGAATCTGGAGAAGCAGGCCGAGCAGGCGGCGGAGGTGGAGAAACAGATAAAGGACGTCATGCAGTTGTTACAGGTAAGAAAGTAGAAATATGTCAACAGTGCATTCCTTACGTGAAGCTGAATAGCAGTGCTACTGCAGGCTAGATAACAGGAAAAACTTTCAGAGGCCGGGGGAAATTATGGCAGTGTGCCAAGTAAGCTCTCATCCGATTAAATTTCAGGTCTTATCAATTCTATCTTCCTGTTCAGGCCTTGAAAATATTCCTTTGTGACTCCTAAACATTGCATCACTGTATTTTCTTGCTGCGTGGGGGGGGGGGTGGGTCATATTGTTTTTCTCCCCGGTGGGTTCAGAATGTTAGGGTGCAGCATGTTGTGTAGGGTAAGCAGACACCAGCTGTTCTGGGGTTATTGTTAACGAAGAGAATAATATGGACACATGCTCTTTCAGGCCCAGATGGTCACCCAACAAGTTCAGACCCAAATGACGAAAGACCAGCTGGACAGCATGGAAAAGGACGAGGTACAACTGCAGTCTAAAGTAAAGACACTGGAGATGGTCCTCAACAACTTTGCACCTACCCGCATCAAGGAGCTGCAGGTAAAAGAAAAACTCACTCTTTAAGTGACACCGGTCTGATACTTTTTCCCTTTTCATTTCTGAAAACCGCTCTGTGACTCACTTTACTTTTATTTCTGCTCTTAGGAGAAAGCGGAGGAGCACTTCAGTGTCCTGCAGGGTTTACAGGTTTTGACCCAGTTCCACAAAGAGAATATTGAGGCTCAGAATGAGGAGCTGTCCAGACTGCAGATGATGGTGCGTCATTTGTTGAAGACATCTGATGCTCTGACATTTCTATTTTTGTTTGCACTGAGTAAATTTCATCTTTTTGTCTTGTTCAGATTGATGCTGTGGCATAACCATAACCATATAAAGAAAAACAACAGATCATCTACTGAAAGAGAAAAAGCCATCTTCATCTCAACTCCTCAATGTCACTGCACTCCTTTCTGACTCAACTATACTGTAGACCCACTGTTGTGCAAAGAAATATTTTTGTTGGAAGCCTTGTGATTTTGTCATGTCTCTCTTTTATTTTATGTTTTTTGTATCTTATGTCTTTACAACGACGACACTATCTTTAAAGAAAGACTTTCAAATGAAGTTGTTAAATTATTAACATTTTGTTTATGTACATATCTTTATCTATACATATACACACAAGTAAAAATGTTGTTTGGTCTTGTATTTATATATTATACTGAATAAATCTGGCAAATGATACTATAAAAAAATGTGTTTCAGCTTAAACTGAGTGTTTCTTTCATCCCCTGAGACCCAGCGACCTCATATGATGACAATGCATTTTTGCCTCTCTTTACCATGATACTTCTTTTTTCTTTCGACTTTAACCTCTTTGCCTCATAGTAGACGCTATCAGTACTGATTGAACTCTAAAGTAAACTGGTTTTATACATTTTCAACCAATCATTTTCTTATTGTGTAATTAACATTTAGTAAATAAGTCGTTTGGACCGTCAGAACCAAATTGCTAAAACATTTAATTAAATATTATATATTTTAAATACAAAGATAAACCCACTGAGCCTATACGAAGAAAAACTACCTGGACCATGACAAAGTCTGGTTATTAAACTTATTAGGTCCTACTAATCCAATATATTTTGAAAAAGCAAAAATGTACACCTAATAAAAGCTCGGGTCTCAGGAGATTAAAACTACAGACTGACCTGAAGACAGAAAAGAGAGGGGGGAGAGGGGAAAGGAAAAATCAATAACCACACATACAGAGAGTGAGCATACACGCAATGGATGAATGTGCATTTGTTCTGGAGGTCAATTTACAGTTTGCCTGCGGTGACCTTTGATGCCTGAGCACTCACCTGTACGTGGTGTGCGGCGTGTATACGTGACGGGCGGGGAACTCCAGCACCTCTTTGGTAGGACGAGCACGGGGGTCTGGATAGGGCTTCACGTGAAGCAGCTCCGGTGACAGACAGTAATGAGGCGAGTCTGGCGCTGGGGAGATGTCAATCTTCAGCTGAGCTGGGGGATAAAATACATACACAGCAAGGCAAGGAAATATTGTAAACAATAAACATGAACCTGGAGAATTCCTGCAAAGATACCCTGAGTGAGACCACATAACATGTCTCTACCTGTGACGGGCCTGAGTCGTCGAAGAATGGTGGATGGCCTGTGCATGTCAGCCAGAAACTTGTAGAGATCTTCATCAGTCAGACGATCCCCCTCCTTGGCAGACACAAAGAAGAGTTTTTCTAGCCACATTGATATAAGAATCTTACTGAACAGGCTTTTTAGTTCCGTGTGGAGCACATTCCACTCAAGGCTTCGATGTTAAAACCACAATCTAAAACAAAATTTCCTAACTGCAAATGGTATTAGGGCTCATTACTTCAGAAATTGTAATCATTTAAAGCTTTGTGCTGGATATATGGTGCAGTGAGGAGTTTTTTATTTTGTCTCGACTAAAACACAAAACGCAGTTAAAGCATTAGATATTATATAATCATTGATAATATTGTATATAATTGTAGTGACGACCAGTACTTTACAGATTCATAGTGAAAAGGCTGAAAAAAATGTATTCACACATTCAAATTGTCATGATCTGATTAAGATTTTGTGCATCTCATAAAAAAATGTGTGCGTCATAAAAAATGTGTGCCATTCAAGGCTTTAAATGTCATTTTCAAACTAAATAAGATATTCAACTGGGATCCACTATGGTGGGGAAATGTGATTTGATAATAAAGGGAGTTCTTTATTAATTTAATAAACCATGCATTTTACATGGTTATTAGTGAGCTAAACAAGGGCTCTTTGTAGTATGAAGAGCAGTAAAACCAGTCCGGAAACTGCTTAAAGCACTGATATCCTTCATGACATCACATGTTATCTGTACTAAATAGACTTTCTTCGTAGATAAAAAGGTATGCAGATTGCCCTATAGCTACCTAAAGATTGAAGATTTGAATTGAGTGTTTAAACAAATTACAGATTACATTTACTGATTTTATTTCAGGAAATAAGACATCAGCTTTGTTTCTCTGTTTATGGAAATGGTCTGAATGCAGTGTAATCATAAGGCAACACTTGATTCATTGGCATCAGTTTCTCACCTTTAACTGGAGAATAATCATCATACTCATATCTCCATGAGGGTTTCTGTTTTACATCATGTTCCGAACACTGAAAAACTTGATAAGTCTCTTCTAGGTACCGAGATGAGAAAGAGTCTGACCTGTTTGAAGAAGTTAGTGACGGTAAGTGTTGCTGGGCGGAAAGTGGCAAAGTTACACGTCTCGTCCCCAACACTCATTCTCTCGATACCCTTTTTCTTCCTCTCATTCCAGGTCCCGTGGCCTTTTCGCTCTAGCAGGAGGTTGAATTGAGCAAAATTAGAGACTTCTCCTCATGCAAACCACCAAACCCCGTGTTTATATGAGAATGTTAGGTTTTGAGTGGCATGATTGTAAAAGAGGATGTTTGGGATACCAGAGTCAGAGTCTGGGTCAGACCGATCTAGACCCCCCACAACGCTGACGATGTTGAGGAGGTGTATGGCCGTCCAGGCAAAAGGCATGCGAAAACGGCCCAGACGACTGCAGGACTGCTCTGCCTGCAGACGTAGCTTCTCCAGCTTTTCCTTGTGCTGCAATGAAATGAGACAGGACATAATATGCTGGAAAGATATTGAACTATCACATCTTAGCAACAGGGCTGGCCTGCCACGGACGTCGATAGATATTGCAACTACCCAGATAAAAATTGAGTAATATTGGGGACAGTTAAAGAGTTCAACGTGGATGCTGGCAGCAAGCATGCAGCATTGCATCAGCCCACAAAACATTCTGCCGCCATTACCTTGGAAGAATCTGATTCTTTCATGACCATGTAGGGCTCACAGCATTCTCCAATATCTCCTTGCTGAAGGACTTTTTCCAGCTGAAACACAATCGTCGCCACAAATAAACAAACATCTTTTTAAGATGGAAATATCTTAATTTGCATAATGTATTCCAAGTTTCTCTGTACCTTAATGACCAAGAAGATGTCAGCAGAGGGGTATGTGATGGAGAAAATGGCAGTACGGGCCAGAGTGGATATAGCAGCGTGAGGGGTATGAGGCTTGAGTAGCCCTTTCATCTGATCCGTGTTCAGGTCAAAGTAAAAATTCTCAGAAATCTGTTGGAGAAAAGATAAGTGGGAAACAATGGAGGGAGGAGATGGAAAGATGATCATGGAAAAGTACATCAAAGGACTTCAATTGACTTTAGACTCTGTGATCTCAACTGTAAAACCACTTAGACCTTTCTGAGACAAGGCAAAATTCAATTAGTCAAGAATGAGCTCAGCATTACTTAAGCTGTTTCACCAGAGCACTGATTGAAAGGCTGCTTATCAAATTAATCTTTTATTAGAAAGACTAAAATGTACCTTTTTCTTTTCCTTCACGTCATAAAGGGCAAGAGATCCAAATATTGGCTCAATTTCAATTTCAAACCTGTAATCAAACACATAATGCTCAATTATTGTCAAAACAGAAGGGCACACCGTTACCAACACATAATTAGATAAATCTCATCATGTTGCTCGGGTTGCTTACTTCAGAGACAGACACTTGACCATGATCCTCTGGCCACAATGTTCCTTGGGGACTTCAGGCACAGAGCATCTCTCCACTGCTTCATCCTGCCACACAGAGCACCGACATAACATTTACACAGATGTCATGGCAACGCAGAGGCTGAGAAACGGCAATGTGTACACTGACACAAAGGAAAAGATGGAGAGAGGGGTACATGGACAAAAGAGGAACTAAGGGACCAGATTTGAAGAATATTTTACAATGTAACCTTCGGCCAAACAAACATGAACTCAAATGCTCAAAGCTAAAACCTGCTGGTTGTAGTCGAAAGAAATGGCCTGTGATTTCAACAAAAACCTCTTCTTTTTGGATTTCTCTTCATATCATTTCTAATGAAGAACTGCAGTGTTTATCCAGCAAACAGTGCATTTTTTAGAGACTTGGCAGGAGTGGTCACTTATCACAATGTCCCGTTGGTCAGTGAAATAATGCTTCATGGTCAGACAGCTGCAATGCTAAGTATCGGACGTAATTGTGTGTATGGACAGTGTGTTCTAGCCCAACTGTCACAAACCATTTAGAACAAAGTTATCTGTTGTTAGCTGATCATCCAGTGGTTTATTATCTGCAAAAGATGTATCCACTTAAACAGAGGCTTTCTTAAATATGCATCATTTTGCACAATAAAATGCATTATGTGAAAATCAATTCATGCAATGTCCTCTGACTTTGAAATACACCAAAATCATGTCAATCATGAGTCATAAAGAATATTCATGTTTGTGATCAAGTCATAAAATTGTTACCAGCATCACAGTCTGGTTGCATACAGACCTCGTCGGGGGGGGCGTACAGGCCGAGCAGGTCGGTGTGGCGCCCGTGGCGCCGGGCCTCAGTGTTGCGGCGGTCCATGTCCTCTGCAGCTGTGCGCTCCAACACAGATGGGAGCAGAGCATCTGGGGAGGAGTTCTTCAGGTCAAAGATGCTGGAGGCCCAACTGCCCCGAGGGGTCTCATCCAGGCCTATTGACCGCCGCTTTGCGTCATCCTGAATCACACGAGATGGATGAGGTCATTTCCTTTAGTTTTTTTTTTTTCTACTAGCACTCACATCTTTAATAACGATATAACAAAATATAACAGTGGGCTACAGATCCTTTTATGTCGTAATCCATTTATCGTGATCCATATGGAGAGTGAGTAATGGAAAAGATAGCTCTATTATCCATTAGGGTGCCTACAACCAACTCATAGAGCCCTTCCCTTCATTCGGGCTGGCTGATCTCCATCTTATGATGAAACTTTCAGGGGAGTCGTTCCCTTCAGCTTGCTTTCTAAGCACACTTAGTCTTACTTAATTAGCTGGTAAGTCTTTAAAACAGTCCCTTGACCATCAGCCTCTGCTACCTGGTCTTCCTGGCGCTCGGCAGCAGCAGCCTCATCCAGTTCAAAGGTCTGTTTGACCAGCCCCCGCTGCCTCTCCCTCTGTCGCTCCGAGTTGTGAGGGGTGTATGTGGTGCTGTAGTGCTGGTATCTACGGGAGATGGCATAAAAGGTTTAAGAGTAATTACACACCTGTCTGTCATTCAGAGAGTGAACAGGGAAAAGTGAAACACATTATTAACAACACATTAAACCATGGCTTAATTCAGCTGGTACCACAAATGCAACCACCTACTTCCTTTGAATGACAAGCCATTCATCCGTGTAGACGGCCAAGGCGTCCCTGACTCTGGGATCCAATGAGCTGCATAGAAAAAAAAACGTATCAATAATTGAGCAAAGCATGCTTGTAATATTTATGCTCATCTGGTGTCAGAGAGGAAACCTTTAATGCTGTCTATAGTGACGTTTGCCTTCCATTACAGAGAATTTAAAGTACTGCGTGTATGGTAATGGAAGGACCGTAGAGGGATTTTAAGAGTTAAGGCAGATAATGACAGTAGAACTTACTCCTCATCCTCCTCCGGCATAGGGGGCTCCAGAGTAGTGCACTCCTTTTTCAGCGGCAAGAGTTCCAGGTCATCCGGGGGGAACTCCATTAGTTGTCTAAGAGGGCCGGGCTCCACCCCAGGAGCATGGCTGCTTACATACTCCTCAAAATCCACAGGCTCAACCACCTCCGTCAGGGGCAACTGTCAGTAGGCATTACACGGTTATGTAGCCAGAACTATGACACGGACATCATGGCAGAGTGTAATCTGATCACCTGGATCAGGGCGATTTACATAGCAAAGTACAGGCAGGAGAGAGACTGATGTGAGTGTAGATCAGTATGTTTTTTTCTCATTTACACACAAAAAACAAAATCACAAACAATGAAGAAACAATTAAACTTTCTGTTTCAGCCATTTCTCTCAAAACTCACAGTATCAGTAATAAGGTCACAGAAACTTACTGTTTATTTCACATAAAAGACAGATATTTAGCTTTGGATTCTTAGATGTCTGGACCACACCCATCCTAGAATCTGCCACAGTTTTGTAAACATTTACTAAGTGTACAAATGTAATCACTGTAAATTAGCCTGCAACCTATTTTACCTTGTGCCATAACTCCAAGAATTAAAAAATGTTTCTTTCTTTTTTTTTTTTTCCAAAACATAAAAGCATCCTTGACCTAAAAACAAAAAATGTGTAGAAGCCATTTCTCATCTGTTCTGCAGGCGTCCGGTCTTCCAGAACAGCGCTGATAACAGACCAGGTGAAACAAAAAAAGCCACCTGCTAACACAGATCAACTCAGATCCATCCACTTTGAATCTCCAGGCCTTTAACTTTAAACACGGTGACTCACAGGGTGATGTGCACCTCCTCGTTTCTTGGACATCTGAGGTGATCCATAGTCTCTGGAAACTTGTTTTCTGACTTCAGCAGCTACCGTTCTGAAATAAAAGAAAGATCTGTTAGTCATAACTGCTGTGAAAACGGTGTTTAATTGGGTGGAAACTCTGATGTATCCTTCTTTCCAGCATCTGTGGTGATTAAGCAAATGAAAAACTACACGGGCAGAGTTACATGTGTGCATCTCAAATAATGATGACAAAATATGCTTTTTGTACAATCCTCACTTATAGAAATGGCTGTTTCCGCCTCTCAGTTTAAGTATCTAACCCTTTCTCAGAGTGTGATCGCCAAGTTCTTTTTCCTATCCCACAGTTTTCATCCAGTGCAACCGGCGAGGACCCTGAAAGGCAGCAGCTGCTTGGGACGGGGACTGAGCTCTCACAGAGAGGTGGCGAGCTGGCTCCCAGGAGCAGGCACGGAGCCAGATCTCTGTTCCTGGTCATTATAGACTAATAGCAAATGGTAGGCTTAAAGACAGACAAAGCAGCAGAAAAAAAAACAATCCTCTCACAGAGACAGCGAGCAGCTGCTCCTTTAGATCCACAAACTGTCAGTTTCTCTCACACACAGCTGCAAACGCTTCAACGTTTCCGTCACGGCTACATCCTCAAGCGGACGTTCATGCTTTCCTCTCATTAGCACACAAGGACTGCAAAGACATACAAGAAGAACTATTATATCTGCCCCCACCTGCAAGATAGGATCTTTTTTATATGACACAAGCTCCAATCATAGCAGAATCTGACATGCTTTTTTAGTATGGGTGTTGCTGTTTTGCACACCTCTATTTAAAACAGGAAAAAGGAAAGCGAACGACTGCAAAGGCAACGGCCAGAACAGCCTTTCCCACCCTTTCCTGCATCCGGCACAAACAATAGTCTGGGACCCACTAAAGAGGCAGGATCTGTGGAATGCAGCGGGAGACGGAGAGTACCTCTGTGGGACGTGTGGTGGGCCTGGGTCACCCACAGATCACACCAGGAACATCACAGCACAGGACTGAATTAAGCAAGTTTCTTTAAGTGGTTAAAAATCCATTTTAATTGGCTAATCACATTTTAAGAAGTTAGCACTAGAACTGCAAAACCAATCAATTTTTTGTAGATGTATATATTTGTATTATGGTTAATTAAATTATATTTAAAAGAAAACAGGCAAAAAGCAGGCCGGACAGACAGGGGCCGGTTCAACCATCAGTAACAGCTCAGAGAGGGTCACTTCCCAGCTCTGACACATGTCAGCATTGTTGTTAAAGAGCACAGAAGACGGACACATGCCCTCACCATCACTACTGAAATGGACGAGAAAGTATCCAGAAAGATTTCAAATACGAGATTCTGAGTTGGTGCAACACATTCAAGGGAAAGGAAAACCGGTTTGCAACATGTGGAAACAAGTTGTTTTAAAGTTGTTAAGAGGAGTTCCCACGACAAGGACCCTGGATGTGACTAAACATGACGGTTTACTAACACAACCCGACAGAGGAGCAGCCCTCTGTGCTACAACAATGCGCTTTATCTCATTAAGACTTCATTAAAGTCACCAAAGTCTCGGAGTCCACTCGCGAGAACAAACAACTGCTTCTTTAAACAGTAGTTTCAAAACAACACCGAGCAAAAACTTTGTCTCGTGCCAAAAGGTTAATATTTTTACGCCACCTCTCAAATCCTAGCTTACTTGCTATGTGTACTTACGGTCCAGCAGGTCACTCTCGCGCACCGCGAGCGGCACGAAAGCTGCTTTAAACAATAACTTCTACTGGTCTCTCACCGGTTGATTTTATGAGCAAACGCCCTCCTTTCGCTGGCGGTGGATGTCATTTCTCGTCCCCCATGTAAGGAAAGTCTTCGAAGTCAAAACTGAAAGTGCTCTACGGGTCGTAGTTTGGCTTGGTCCCTTCTTGTGTTGGGATGCAGACCGCTTCCTTCTCCACACTAGGACCAGACAAGGATCCCTCCTTGTTCCTCCTAGCGGCCGGGAGCTACATCTGCCCGGACCGACTCTCCACCGTAACACCGAGGGCACATCCGGTTAAACCTCCAAATAAAATAGCGCGTGCTATCCGGGGGACGTTTTCTGTTAACTTGCATACGGCTCACTGACCAAGTCTTTATATCTTATGTTTAATTTAGTGGATTCAGAAGGCACGGAGACCATTAAAGTGAAATGTAACTATATATTTTAATGCTTGAAGTCCGCGGAAAACGTTGTCTCTCTTCCGGTTGTACACTTCCAAGCGAGCTTAACAAAACTACCCATCTGCTCAGGCAGCAATCTGACCTGACCGGTTTACAGCAAGGTGGCGATTAGCTCTTGTCAACCCAGGTTTATGGTTTCACAGGTTTCAGTTCAACTTCAAATTTAGGAAGCGAACACATAAAAGACGTTTCTCTCTCGCAGATGGGATTTCTTCATTTTGACATTATGGTTTTGACATTTCACCCTCAATTTTAGAAAGAACGTGACTTTGTTTCGTTTGTTTTCCCTAATTCCTTATTCCGCTTTAACTCAACGATTACATAATTTCTGTTGAGGCCAGAATAAATGTGACTGTGGGGAAATGCTGGACACAAACAGAATAGGTTCAAGTCGCATTAACGATGTCTCCAACAGGCGCATGTAGTACTGGCCGTCGCCAGCAGATGGAGCTGTTCACCGTGAATGGCAAAGAAATAGCCTCACTTCACCAGAGCCTGTTCAAGATTCATTTCTTAAATTTGACCTCTCCAAGGACCACGAGGCGTATACAAGAAAAATAGCTAAATTGCTATTGACTTATATGCCGTCTATTACTTATGGCGACTGTACATCATACTTGACTGTATTCATCGCATGACAATTTCTTAAGCTAATAGAAAAAAGCCTTCAGGGAATAGACAAATACAAATCATATATTTGACAAGGCCCTGCCTCCGTCCTATTCGGGCCGTTAAGTTTTGACATTGTCAGGGACTCTACCCTTAAATGGAAAACGTGTCGGTCCAAGATAACGGCAGGTCTGCATTTCCATTCTTCCTGCCAGAAACACTCCAAAGCCCCAAACCTTCATCTGAGGAAATTATATAGCCATTCATACTGCTGCAGCCCAACCCCCTCCCCCTGCTCTCCTTCTACCCCACAGCCGTCCTATTCAGCACCCTGGAGAGCTGCTGCAGGTACTCGGCCGTCCTCTGTAAGATGGCAGATGAATTGAGGTGGGGGTTGGAGTTAACCTTGCATGACAGCGGCTTGGCTGTAGCTGAGCAAGGACAGACGTCTTTGGGATGTATGTTAATGCATGGAAAAGCACTCGGAGCTGCATCAGGGCACACAGCAGGCACGAGTCTGGTCTGTAGACGCAGCTAATGAAAATAAATGATGTTCTCCATCTCCCCCCTTCATCAGCATGCTTCTGCCACAGTGCCAAAACTCATCTTACCTTCCTTTCCACGAAAATAGTAAATCATAATTAATGCAATTTCTGTGTTTTATATAGTGGATTTATTTATGAGTGCAGTCATTTCCCCCTTTCCAGCATTCGTGTGTACAGTTCATCACAAACAAATGCATTAAACATGGGGAAATATTATTTTTAGGTATTTATCACAAACATGTAAAACTGGGTGTCTGAGAAGATGAGCTGCATTTCAGAATCAGACTGTTACATCCTCGATGAAAAGTGGGCCGAACCCCACGTCTGCTTTCTCACTGTGTCCACACCTTCCCTGCTTGCTTTCTTGCCTTTCTGTTCATCGAAGGCTTTCAAATCCTAGATCGGCACTATTGTCTGAGCGCCCGGCGCCCAGCCCCCACGACAGCGAGAGCCCCCACCACCACCATCACTGCTGTGTTACCAAAGAACAAAAGAGAGAGTGTCAGACACCACCCACTAGATCTCTTTCACACCAGAGCCCCCACCTCAGTTCCAGATGGGGTTGCCTTTTTTCAGGGTTTCTCTCAACCCCAAGAGTCCTCCAAAATGGAGGCCCCTCCTCCCCCCGGAGCCCAGTGCTCAGCTGCCCGTCATCCACCTGCTCCGCCGCCACGCGCCTGTGGCCAGGGCACATCCCCTCTCTATCCCACTCCACCAGGGAGTCCCATTAGAATAATGCACTACTTTTTTCCATTTCTTTTCCTCCTTTCTTTTTCCTTTTTATAAAAGAACTAGTCTTCTTCTATGGTCTTTTATTTGGTATTCTTCTAAACTTTTAAATTAAGTACAAACATGCGTATCTTCACTGTCAGCCTCATTTAGATCTTTTTAAAAAAACACATATACTTGAAAATCAATTTTATGGTCTGTTTAGATGTTTTGGTTCTCTTGTTTTTTTTTTTTTAAATGCACCAGACAGAAATCTTTTATCAGTAATGCAAATTCTAATCTCCATCCCTCTGCGGTATTCTATACAAAGGGCAGGCAGATGCTCATTTGTTTATTTCTCTCAAAGCATCAACATTTAACTTCTTTAGGAGAATCTCTGCTCCAGCCTCCACCCCTTTCTTGACCTTTCCCCTCCAGGGACAGAGAGTGTGCCGGAGCAACAGGACACATCTGCTACAAGACAGCTGTTAAGTCTCCTAATGAAGATCCAACAGTCAGGGCTGGAGCTGGAGTTAAAGGTAATCATTGCTGACTCAGTATGAGCCTACTTGTTCCAAAACACACATATAAACATCTCCTCAAAGTCAAACTTTGACCAACGCCCACACAGGAGATTAATAATATACAGACAATGTATATCCATGGTTATCCACTGATGAACCGCACTGAATCAGTTGAATATAGAATCCTGACAAGTACAACAGACACAATTTCTTCCCTGACTACATTACATGCATGGATGCGTGCTAGGCTGTCATTCAATAAGCAAGATTTATGGAAATAGACCTCTCAACTCTAGTGTATGACACAGAATCCTGTACAATCAGCACACTAAAATCTTTGAGTGTATGCAGATATATGGATAAAATATGTTTATTGGCTCTTAAAAGCTCTCTTTTTTAACTCTTTATTTGTCAAGAGGAAATTTCCAAACCCCCATTGCATTACCCAAACCCTACCCCCACCAATCTCCAACCCACCGTCATCCTCTGGTCCCTGAGGGTTCGAGCACCCAAATCAATTGAAAGAAAGAAGAGTGCTCTGTGGTCCTCCCCATACATCTGTCAGGGAGGGAAAGCAGAAGGGGCCTTACTTATGGGCAATAGAAGGGAACAATATCACTCCATCTGTCACAAACCGTTTTATCTCTGATGGAGTGAAATATGGCTGGCAAATATATCTACTTTTATATCATCTACTCGTATTAGCTTACAGGTGCCTGAGCCTTTAGCAATTCCCAGAAGCATACGCAGAAGCTTGTTGTCTCATATTACCCTCCTCCCACTAGCAAGCACTCTTCGTATTCCTTGTGCTTCTTTGCTGACATGTTAAAATAAATTGTTACACTTTACATGGTGAACCCGAGAATGAAAATTGAGCCAAGCAATGTAGAAACAAAGCTATAAACATTTTAGTCGGAAAAAGTTCCACGGAAAAGGCGGTGGGCAGCAAAAATTAATGGCCAAATAGAAAGCGAAAGCTCATGTTATAAGTGGAAAAAACACTTGAAAAAAAGTCAGGTGTTATCTGTTCATATCGAAAGTGCTCTTTCACATTTAAATGGGACTGCTGCTGTGCTGGGAGAATGGGTGTGGCCGGCTGATTCTTCTTGCCTCCTCAGCTGTCGCGGCTTTGTGACGTCCGTGATTTCATTTTCTCTATCAAATTATGCTATCGGACTGATGCACAAGACTAAATGACAAGCCCAGGCACAATGTCTTGGGATCTTCACAGTGCTGCTCTGAAAGCCTGTAGGAGCAGCACAAAATGGTGTGGCTGTTTACTCAAGAGTGGAAGAAGAAGGGGGGGGGGGGGATTCCATATCCCCAAGAGCCATGATGCTTCTCTCTTAGCAGCAGGTAGAGCTGCAATCTCAGTCATTCATTTTTAATTCCACAAGAGTTTCCGGCCAGACTAATGTGCTATTGATTTCAAGTCTCCTATTACTGAAAAAGGGAAGGGCCATGAGGGTAGAAAGCTGGACTACAGGGAGTATGAGCAAGAGAGTGAAAGCAGAGAGGAGGAAGGACGCCGATGGAGGAGGGGGAGGAGGGGGGGGGGGGGGGGACTGAGTGCCCTTGCAAAATAAGTAAGCTTTTTTAGGAAACACTACAGTTACTGTAATTCTGTAATTATCATTATTTTGTAATTATTGTATTTATTACTGTCTTATCTTTTTGGAAAATCCACTTTTCAGGGTTGGGTACAACTAATTTGGTAAAACCCAGTGACTACAGCTCAGTTTAATGGAGGAAATATGTCCTATGCTATTCATTGTTCATCATAAGTGGAGACATCTACATGATGGCTGAAAACTAAATCAGCTTTACAGAACAGGCGTACTTGCACCTCCCCTGTTTGTTTTGTGCCCATCGCATGCATATTCTTTATCCGTCAACGAGAAAGACAGCAGAAAGAGAAAAGAGAAAAAACAAAGAGAATGTCTAAGAGCTTTGTGTGTTTAAGGTCTCTCCCTTGATACAAACTCAGACAGGACAAGATGAAAGATTAATAACTTGAGCTTTATATTTAAAAGGGTTCAGAGTTTCTTTTTTAAATGGGCTCAGCAAAAGAGGTTTGTCCTTTCTAAATCAAAGTTAAAGCAACATGAACGTGCTTAGATAAATATACTCAGGTGTCACAGGCATATGCCTGCACATGCTTATTTTTCCCTTCAGCCCAAGAATGTGAAACCGACACGATGGCTGAACGCATAAATAACCGTAAATACAAACAAACAAAATACACCTACAGTACACTGAATAATAAAAAGGCACACTGAAAGCAGAATATCATAATTAAATGATTAAAAATTAAAAAATGACAAGAGCGTCTACTTCAGAGACTTCCTCCCACCAGCCTGTCTACTCTAATAATAGCCCAGAGACAACACATCCAGACAGACAGAGGGAGAGAAGGATGTAGAGAGAAAGAGAGCAGAGAGACAGAAAAAGTGTGAGCGAACCCATGAGGGAGATCACAAGAAAACTGCCAAATAATACATAAAGGGTTGAATTAGGCCAGTTGCCACTACCAACAAATGTCCTTTTAAAAAAAAGAGGCTAATTTATTTTTGGAACCGTTCCTGAAAGCAATAACTGTTTCACTGCTGTGTCGCTGCTGAATTGCCCACAGCAAAGCCTGGTGGAGAGACCACTGAATTAACCAGACCTGAGGCTGATTCATCGTTCCCATCCCCCAGATACACTGTCATAGTGTCACTCCCTCACTTTTCCCTGTCTCCCTCTTCCATCCCTCTTGCACACACACAAGGGCAGCGCCTTACCGCAGGGCAATGGCAACAGGCTTCAGTTTTTTACGTAGTGATCCAAGAATAATAGTGATAGGGAGAAGAGAAGTCTACACTAAAAAAAAAAAAAAATCCAATCACCAGGAGTTTTCTCATTTAATGAATGCATCGTACTGAATGTGAACATTCACACACCAGCTGTATGTTCCTGATATTCAGATACCGCAGTACAGACAAATTAGGCATGCTGTGCAAAATGCATTCTTTTCTCTAATCCTTCTGTTCAACTTTCTAGGAGGACAACGAGAGGCATTTACCATGGGTGTCCATTCTGTCCAGAGCCAGTTTGCTAGTTTCAGTCATTTCTCTGGCACCAAGGTGCATTCCATGATATGCCAAAAGAAGGGGACCCATTTTACAAGATGCCTAATCAACACTAGTGGAGGGACCCTTAAAGATAAGAAAATAATCAGTAGAACAACAAAAAAAGGCTTTTAAGCAAAGCTAATGCTTGATCCTATGATTCAGCTTCATACAATGGGTGCTTCAAATACCCTCTTACCCAAAGGGAGGATTCAGCTGCCATGCTACTAACTGGGGCTCTAATGAGGGGCCACAATTAAGCGCATTTATTCACATTAAGTGTGAACTGTAAGTGGGGCTGCAGTCAGTCGACAGACCTGGTTGTCTTTGTGCGACGAGAGCCGCTTTTATCCCCGCAAACAAAGAGGGAAAAAACACAAGCACCTAATGAGTGAATCTCGACATCTCCTCTCAGACGTCCGTACGCGCACAAAGAGACACACACGTCCACGTGTGCGCTTGCACACACGGACACACACTCGTCCCCGCTCACTACCGAACTGACTCAAGGGCTCCAACGCATCCAGGCTGAGTTGAGTCACTGGCTGTCAGAGCGGTGGGGGCGGGGTTAAGACAGACTGACAGTGGGGCTCCATCTCTGTGCTCTTATTAACGCTTAACGAGTGCTTTCCTCATGCAATATTCATCATCACTAATATCATCCAAGCTCTGAGCCAAGCCTGCTACTTATGTAAGGCAATTATGTAAAATATCAGACAGAGCCCGTGTTAAAAAGCTGACTGAAAGTGAGCTCCGGGACAATGAGGACGAGAAACTGGGGGTGCACAACAGAGATATGAGAGAACAAACTGAAAAGTGGGAGAAGTAGTAAAGTATCGGTTACTTCATTTTCCTTAGACATGTCTTAGTGTATCAAAATTCAAACATCCATTCAGAGATTAATCATGAGCGAGTGGCCAGCATCAATAAATCAAACAATCTTCATCCTCATCTGACATCTGAGAATCCCTCAAGATCTGCTGAGGAAAGCAAAACTGAAGGAGTGGCCATTTCAGCACCACTTTTTAACCCGTCAACAGTCACCAAATTCATAGAGGACCTCACATTTATTCCAGCTACGATTCCTCGTACACCCTCTTGTTTACTCACACGCGCGAAAACCCAAGAACCAAACATTAACAAACAAACATGCTCTGATTTATGCACTCGCACGCACCTCCCCCAGGTCAAGGCCCCTCGAGGGTCTGCACAAAAATAGGTCATTTGTCACACATGATGTCCCAGGGCAGGGGATACATTATAGATGAGCCCAAACAGCATGTCTCAGTGAGCACTCACCACACAGCTTGGGACATGGGAGGGAACAGCAGGAGGAGGGCAAAGAGGGTTGGGAACTCCTCAGGAAGTGGATGCTGTGATAGGAAAGTAAGTACAAAATCACTGTCGAGGCTTGTTTTTGTCCAAAATGGACAATTGGGCACAGCTTGATCAACGTTAGACATGTGGCTCTCGCTATTCTAATTCTCTGAACCAACTTCTACAATCCAAGAGGCGTCTAAATTGACGCTCACATGTCTGCACCTGACACGGGGGCTAACAGCCGGCCTAGCATAAGAGAATCCCCAAATTATTTGGGACTTCTGTCTTTTTCTCCGGTGATTTGAGTGTATGATTACCATCTCAGAGAAAGCGGCGATGTACACACGTTGAATTGCTTTTATTTGAACACACAAAGGCCTATGCAGAGCAGTTGTTTGCAATAGTTTCCAACCAAAATGAAATAAAGAGGCGCAAAGGGGTTGTGCAAAAGCTGCACTGAGTGGTAAATGTGGGGAAGGAAAAAGACAAGTCCACTGTCTTCTGCTGCACCCATCTGTTCTGAAAGTGCAGGTGGAGCCCTATTCACTCCGCTCTGCATGTGTGTGAAGAGGGGGGCAGGAAGAAAGGAAGGGCAGCGAGAAGGAGGGAGTGGAGAGATGGAAGGGCAGAGATGGAAGAGGGGAGAGGGGGAGGACTGTTGGTGATCTCTCCTGAAGGGGATAATGGGAGAGGAGCGCATTGCAATGGCTGCCATGTAGAACCCTCCCTGCACAATTAGCCAATCAGCAGCGCGCTCCGCCAGCCAGGAGAACGCATAAAAGAAGAACATTGCAGCAGAGGCACAGAAGGAGACTGCGAGAGGAGCAAGGAATTACACACAAAAACAGCAAGGCCAGAGCACCCTCCCCTGGACACACCCTGTTGAGGATCACTGCTTCTCTTTTTTCTGAACCGTCGCCCACGCCACTCGGAGAGATCGCTCTCCCTCATCATCATCCAGTAGAAAAGTCCTTTCTCCTCATTTTCATCCTGTAGAGGACACCCACAATCTCAGAGAGCTGAGATCCCTTGGTGAAGATTGTATTTTTTTTTCCTTTTTTTCTTTTTTTTCTTTTCATTTTGACTACTAATATCAGATAAAGACCATAAAATATAAGGCCTGAGAGAGAGACCCATCCTTCAGCCACAAGACCAGAGGAAAGAAGGACCTAGATTTCTTTCATTGTACGTCAAGAATGGTTACTGTACGTATGACTCTATTTTTCTTATTTTCATGAGTAAAATGCTCCACTTTAGGGCTACAGTGTATCTTAGGTCCTTTGTGCTGGGTTGTTATGCATGTACATATGTGATATAGTAATAAACAGTCATTTAACATATTTCTTACTGACATATCTTTGGAACGGATCACTGTTAAGGGATCGATACTATAGCAGACCACCCTGATTGTGCCCACATGCTAAAACATAGGGGAGCTTTGGGATTAGTTAACTGTGTTTTTGTCCAAAACGCCATGCCTTATTACTATGATGAGATTAGCGATCGATAGGGGCAGTTAGCAGCCTCATACTGTGTGATGCGCCATGCCGGCTGCGCTCCAGCCCGCAGTCATGCTCGGTGCTGGACAGTCATTATCCTGCCATTTTAGAAAGCACCGGTTCATATACTTCAGCGTTACGGTCACAACGACTGCCTGGATGTCGCGGCTCGATCGTATTTCTTCCAAGACCCAGAGTCGAGGTTTTAGCTGATAAATTCCGCAGGATCATACTGACGGAGCCGGAGAAAAGCTCCAAGTCGCTGTGTGTGTGTGTGTGTGTGTGCGTGTGTGTGTATGGGGGGGTGGTGGGGTGTGGGGTGTGGGGGGGTAGGCTTTCTTTGCCTGGTGCTGCACAAGGATGCTGAGGACGAGTTTTGTGAGACAAAACATGATGCCTCGGAGGCTGAGGGCCCATCCAGAAAAAGGCAAAGGAAAAAAGGGTCGAGTCACTCCAAGGAGGGGAGGGGGGGGGAGGGAGGGAGATTACGCATCCATTGGTTAGCATTGAATCAGACAAAGTCCAAATTCCTCAGGGTTTCTCGTTGCGATGCAACCGAGTAAATGGGCTGGAAATCTCAGAGGCCATGACAGTAAGGCCGCGCGCGGACATCTCCATTTTAAGCACGTTTGTGCCAAGTATCGCATCGCACACGTAGCCTACAAGATGGCCATACTTGCGCTGCGCTGGTCGGATGAAAGAAGATGGAAGCGCTGTTAAATTAGCTTTGCTTTGTGCAGACGGCCGGATTGGGCGTGTCTCCGCTGGACTCGATCATCAAACGAGGGCCTTGAAGCCTCAAACGACCTATTCCGCTTTCCCTCTTGACACGCTCTTCCACTGAATGTGCACGCTTTTGTCAGACCAATTAAGGGCGAACCATTTGCATAAGCGTGTGGAAAATAAATCATCAATGACAAACATCAAATCTAAACAAGGACGGTGGAGCTGCTGCCTTTGCAGGCGTCAAAATCCTGCCTATTAGAGTGAGATCAATTTTAAGAAATCAAGTTTGATTTGCTGTCTAGACTGTTTGGTCTAATAGCACAAAAATAAATGACTTAACTCATAGGGGGGTCGTGGACGTGAGGGATGGAGTTGATCCTCGAAATACAGGAGCGCGATTAGCTGTAATGACACTTGAATGAATTTGAAATACAAAGAAAATTGCTTTTGAAAAAAAACTGTAGTGGAGGTGGAGATCGGTGGCTCGAACTGCCCACTTGACACGTGTTCAATCGCGTTTTTCTTTTTGTCTTTGTTGCCGCCGTTACCTATTGTCCCCTTTCGGACCGTGACAGTGGAAGGATCTCCCCTCCACATGGTCCGCAGTCCCATGCCTGTACCGCAGTGCCAAGCGAATAAAAGCGTTGAGTCAGATAACCTTTCCACGGCACTTACACAATTCAAGGACAAGGACAGGCGAGGCCATTTCTGAACCTGTTTGATCTTAAGTTAAAACTACTCCCATTGCTCGGTAGAAAAACAGTGGGCATAAAAAGGATGGCTGACAACTTTAAATATTGACAGTAATACAGATTTTTCTAGGCTTTATCTCGTAGTTTCATAGGGGGTAAAAAAAAAAGTGCCATTTAAGACAATTACGATGTTAAGTAAGCCGCAGTGTGTCTCCTGTTGCCCAGCATGTAATTATCAGTAATAAATAAAAACCCTGAAGGGGAAAAAGAGGTGGAGCAGATACTTTCATCTGAGAGTGCAATAAAAAAATCTCTTGGACTAATTTGTTCTTACCGTAATATTCTAAAGAGGTATCACTCTTTTATCATACGCTTTTATTAAATATCCTAGACAGATAAAGCATCCTAAAATTTCAGATAATTTCAAGATGATTTTGAGAATACATAATTTTGCCTTTTTTTGTGTAAAAAATGATCAATTGATCGTCTTAAAGCAGAATGAAACGATTTTAAATGAACAAATAGTTACAACAACAGTAAAACCAAATACATGATATGTTTTTTTTTAAATAAAATGTGTTATTTATATTGCAACATTGACCTGTCGAGGCGTTCTCTACTTTTAGCTGGTAACTGTAACGATCATTGTTCCCGGAGAGTCCTGCAGCCACAAGCCACGACACAAAGCGCCACTGTTTACATTAATATTCATAGTGCTGCCATTGCCTCTGCGAGGGAGAAGAGGAGGAACGGGTGGCTCTTTTGTTTGGTCGTTTCAATACGTTTATTCAGCAAATAGGCGCCCCGGTTCATGAATGCCTGCAAAGCTCACAAGTCTTGCCTTTTAACAGGGAGCCATATAAGAAAATAGGGAAAAAACGAGGGATCCTTTTAATGATTTGTCACATTTAAGCAGCTTTTCGAAGTGTATGATTTTGATATTTTGAAAAGAGACTAAATGTAAAATGCAGTCGGTGGTCTTTGGTTGCTTGTTGTACATTTGTGGCCTGAAATGAGAGAGTCCGAAAGCCACTCCCTTTTCAGCACGCTGGATAGCGCCCCGCACGCTCCGAGGGCTGGCAAGACTCATTTGTCTCCCGGAGCTTTTGACGTTGTCGGTTCTCATCTGATCAAAGCAGCGGATACTTCTGGGAGCTGCAGCGTCTCAGAAAATCCTTTATTTGTAGCCTTCTGAGCGGAGGGGAAGGGTGGAGTTTGGGTGCACGGCTGATAAGGGCTGTGACTCCTGTCGTCCTGTAGTGTTACAGCTGCCACCGTGATCCCTTAAGCTGCAGAGAGTGTGGCTAATGCCCTTTGTTTGGGATAATCCCGTAATCTGTGTTATTTAGAAGGCTCATTCACACTTTATTTTAGCATTCGGTTTTGATTCATGCCTTCCAGAGAAAAATCTTCATATGGACTTCAGGCAAGTTTTTATGTGTAATAAATATGTATATATACATATTTGCCTTTTTTCAATAAATGGCAAAATTACATTTACTTTATAAATTACTTTACAAAATGATCTCAAATTGATTTACAGCCACGCAAGGAATACACAGATGCCAAAACTAAATCTAATAATTATCTCACCACTTGGAAAAATGACTCTATACATCCCATTATATCTGGGGAAGCATGTGAGCATGTTTTAATGGAAATAGTTATCTCCCTGTATATCACAGCCTCAAGTGCTGCAAAGCATCTGGAGCAGAAATGCATTGGGGGAGCTGTTTATATGCATCAGGAGACAGAGACCACAGACTGCATTTACATTAAGTCTTGTACTGCTTTTGTGTTTTGTAATGTAAAAGCGTATGGTGTAGGAGGTATGTGCGATTGGCGGTGGAGGCTGGGTTCTTGTTTGCGTGCAAGTCTGGGTTCATTTGTTTGTGAGTGGAGGCACAACTCTTGTGTGCGTGCTAGTCTGGGACCATGTGTAGGCGATGGTGATGCAGTACATTAAATATTTAATCTCAGAGAGCCCCAAAATAGAAAAAAAACAGGCATTGGGGGCCTCGTACTGTGATGATAATAACTTTGATCTGGGAGAGATTTAATATGAGATTCTTTTCTGTTGCTTTTGTTCTGATAGGAGAAATATTGTGAGAAGATAGCAGCAGGCAAAAAATTGCCAAAGAAAAAAAATGTGTGGATTTGTTATCCTTACTGATCCCCTTGATCAAATCCCCTTTATTATATCTATGGAAATAATAACTGCAGACGGTGTATAAGAATTGTGTAATATTTCCACACTATTGAAGACCTTTGTGCTTTATGACACGCTTTTCTTTTATCACAAAGGTGAGGTGGAAAAAAGCTTTTGGACAGTGTGAGATATAAGACATAGACAGCTAGAATAAACTTGAGCTGATTGACAAAATAGATTTGTTTTATTTGTTTTAAATAACGTTAATGCTTTAGGCTGTTGCTTTAAATATCTGTGTGAAAACTTCCGCTTTGTGCCCAGCCCAACCTCAGTGGATCTATTAATTATATAACCTTGTGATGGGTGTGAGCTCTGAAATGTTGTTTTTTATCTCCTCTATTGTCAGGACACATTAGCCCCTAAAATGAATTTCACCTCTTCAAACTGTTTAGTCAGACCCATTCAGGTTTTTTTTAGTCAGATCTGTTACACAGCAATGCTAAACATTAATACTGAAATAAATACCATCTCCATCATGTATAATCAGAAGCAACATACTTATTTCGCAAATTATTTATCTGTGGATCAAAATCTCAAGGTGTCAGGCTGGTGCTACACATCATATTGTTCAGTCTTTGTACATTGATGTTATTTTTAGGCTGTTGTACCTCTGTCACTGTGCTGCTTTGTTCTTGTTATTTTCAGTCTAACTAATTGAGATTTCCCGATCCTACAAAACTGCGCAATATCAATAAATTCAAGGGAAATGTCTAACTTATACATTTACAACGTATAAGCACAGACAGGAAATAAATCAAACACTCACCCTGAGGTGAAAGAGCCTGTCAGTCTGTAGAAACAATGCAGTCTTTGAGAGGCTGTTTCCTGGGCAACGTAAGTCAAGGTGAAGCTCAAAGCAAATCAGCCGGATATAGAGATGATGAAAAAAAGGAATCTTTTCAGACACCTCGGCAAAAGAAGAGTATGTGACGTGAGAGCAAAAAAATTGTGGCGTTCAGTGTGATTCATAAGGCAAAGGAAAACAAATACAAATTCAAACTGTTGGCAAATTTACAGGAAACAAAATGAGAAAAAATAATGGGCCATATTTTCTTGGGCATCAGGAAAGAAATGAACAGACGCATACCAAGCTCAACGCACTTCATAACTTCAAATAAAAGAAAACTCATACCGGATCATTGTCATCACATTTGATGACTCACGTTTGCTCATATGTCAGTAACAGCTGCATTTTTACCAAAGTAACAAAATGCGGCGACATTGAGAGAGTTCACAGTTCAAAACACAATCAAGGTGTCTCAATAGAAATTATAAATGTGGCTGTATGACTCACCACCCCAGTTCTAGACACGCATACATATTTACTCTGACAAATGAAGTTAAATTTTAATTAGATGACTTCATGATAGTGGAGTGGATCGGAAATTGAAATGCGAGCTATTAAATATATGAAAGTGTAGCAAATGTTTAATTTGTTATACATTTTTTGGGGGACTATAGACAGATAAGTCACATCTAAATCACACTCAGAATAATTTAGAGTTGTCCTTGAGCTATACGGTATGTATTTAAACACCAACAAAAAAAACACAGATCCAAATTTAAATTCCACTAAGAAAGTCAGTTGAAAAATATAATAAAATAACAATAAACAAATCTATAATGCTTAATTACTCTATAAGCAAAGCATGACATGATATTCATTGAAGAACTGAATTCATTTAACAACTCCATCAGCCTCAGAGCCACTATCACTATTATCCATTTCTGTATAATGATGTAATGGTGTTTGACCCTGGAAGAGAGCTGGGGGAGGGGAGGAATAAGGAAAAGGGACTGTGACATCTGCATGACCAGAGGCAGGGAGCAGGAGAGGAGGAACGACGGGGCGAAGGGGGGGAGGGGAGACGATAAAATCAGACCTTTTATCCATCTCCATTTTAGCAATGCTGATTCCTCAACTGCCTCCTGACAGTGACAAAGTGGACAGTCAGCATATGTGCTTATGTTAATAGCTCATTTGCATGTGTTTGCTAAATAAAATGCATCTGGCATTTCTCCTTTTGAACCAATGCATTTCAATGTTCCGTCAAATAAATTGTGAAACTAACTTCTCCCTCTTCCTCAGCAGATAATCAGCACCATGGAAACCCAGGTGTCCAACGGTCCAAGCGGAACCAGTCTGCCTAATGGCCCGGTCATTAGTACAAACGGCTCCACAGACGACAGCAAAACCAACTTGATCGTCAACTACCTGCCTCAGAACATGACCCAGGAAGAATTCAAAAGTTTGTTTGGTAGCATTGGCGAAATAGAGTCCTGTAAGCTGGTCAGAGACAAGATAACAGGTACGACCATTTGTCTACATATCAAAAGTGAATAGCCAAACGAACAATGACTCCGGCCGGCTGTGATAACGCCCATCTTTGTCTGCAGGTCAGAGTTTGGGCTACGGCTTTGTAAACTATGTGGATCCAAATGATGCAGACAAGGCCATCAACACACTAAACGGTCTTAAATTGCAGACTAAAACAATCAAGGTGAGCGAGTGCTTTTATTTCCTAAAAATCACTTAAAATTCATATTTGATTCCTCACAGCGGTCTCTACAAAAAGAGAGGAAGTGGAGATTTTGTCAAGGGGGCTGTTGAAGGGGGTAGCGACAGACGTGGCGCAGGGAGGGGAGCAAAACGGGGAGGCGGCGGCAGAAGGGAGGAGAGGCTAGAACAAAGGGTAAGAGAAAGGGTGAAAAGAGAAGGAGAGAGTGAAGGTCAGAAAGCAAGGGGCGGACAGCATGCAGGGGTTATTGTGATGGAAATGTAATTAGGTAGCCCGACTGCGGCGCAAGAGGGTCAGTGCAGGTTAGCCCATCTGCCTCCAATCTTGACTAATTAGGGGGCGTCTTTGTCCCAAAATCAAATGATGCAGAAAAGGGGACATATTATTAAACTCTAATTCCTTCCATCCCCCGGCGTGGTCAAAGTAGATCAAAGATTGAGACAAACTGCAGAGTTGAAAAATCTGATCTCCGGGAGAATAGAGCAGGTGATCTTACAGCAGATGTCCATGAAAAGGCACATTCATTCTGACAAGAGTGATCAAAAGTTAACTGACAGATTTGGCTATTTTTAGGATGAGAAACAGAAAAATGTCATTTTAATAAATACTGACAATAGAGGCTTTATACACAAGATGAATGGTTTTATACTAGGAAAACAATCCACAGTCACAGACATATTTCTGACACGTTATGAGTTTTTTTTTTTCACGCTAACATCAAATAAATCTACAGAAAAAACCCTTTTAACCTAAAACCAACTCCTTTATAATACTCTTAAATCTTACAAACAGCTCCCGTGGACACTTTCATGAAATAATCCTGGTTTTGCAAGAAACTTCAAAGAAGGAAGTGAGGTGTGAGGGGTGGGGGCAGAAGTAAAAGGGTAGGGGGTAGCTCAAAGAGCAGAATGCCAATGACAGGATTAGAGGCCATATGGGCTTCAGGCACCATCTGTACTGTGGGAGCGACAGGGAGAGGGTTAATTATAGGGCAGCCTCTGCTTCCCGAACACTGCAGCTCCCCCCTGACTTGTCCAGAACACCCTAATCACTTCACCACACAGCCCTCCTGCTCATTCAGTCATCCTCTGTGGACAATAGACGCCGCTGCTTTGTGCTGATGGATGGAATCAGAGCACCTGTATTAACTCATACGCACACATGAGACCCCAGCTTTTCTGTCTCCATAAAATAAGCTAACTCTATTTCAGTATTACAACTTTTTTTTCCTCCAAATTGTGTATTTAAAAAAACAAAAAACTTTAATTTAACTAAAAATTTCATTCCTTGCACCTTGTTTTTGTGTATAAACAAGTTGTGTTTGCAAGTTGTCGAGAATCCTGTAAGTCTTGTGATGCACATTTATTGTTTGCTGTTTGCCAGTGGAGCCGTTCACCCCCAGAGAATAGAGACAAAGAAAAGAGGCAGGACAGAGAGAGCGGCCCAGCCTATCTCAGACAACACTCACTCTGTCTCTCCATCACACACAAACACGCCACTCTTAACAATGCACTGAACTGGACTATCGGTGACAGAAGTGTTTATGCTCCCCAATAAAAATCCGAACAATGATAGGTCCAATCGCTCTTACAATCACTTGGATACCGTTTTACTGTGAAGGATAAAAATAGAACTGAAAGTAGACCAACGGTAAAAGCAGGAGGGATATTGAGCCAGACGCATCAAAAATGATGCTGCGCTAATTAAGTCACTGGAGAATTACTGAAAAATATTAGCTAAGGCCAATCTTTGTCAGTGCAAAACAAAGTTAACCCCTGAGCTTCTTCCCCACTGATTAGATTTAGTGCAGGTGACTCTTAAAGTTATAGTGCGTCTGGGATGTTTTTCACTGTGGGTAAGCGAAAAATGAAAACATTGCTTGAACATACAAAAACAAAATTGGCGACTAGGCCTGTGGAGATGAGGGAAAATTGGCGGGATTTAAAGTAAATACTTCCTTCCACTCCCAAAAGGGCTTTCAAACATGTTCTACTATTACTGTTATCTTTCTGTGATTCACGCGCTGTAAGACACTTCACAGACTTCCTTCACGTCTGTCTTTTAGGTATCGTACGCTCGGCCAAGCTCAGCTTCCATTCGCGATGCCAACCTTTATGTGAGCGGACTCCCCAAAACCATGAGCCAGAAAGACATGGAACAGCTCTTTTCCCAGTACGGTCGCATCATCACATCCCGCATCCTCGTGGACCAAGTCACAGGTACAGCCTTATTCCACACCGCAGTCTGTCGATCTCCATGAAACATGTTCATCCACGTCTCGCCGGGCCGGTCAGACACCTGAAGACCAGTCACGTGGCCACCAGTGCCGAGGTAGTCACGTTGGTCTGCTTTCCTATTCGGAGCAGGTATATCACGAGGAGTGGGCTTCATCCGGTTTGACAAGCGAAATGAAGCGGAGGAGGCCATCAAAGGACTGAACGGACAGAAGCCCCTGGGTGCGGCAGAGCCCATCACGGTCAAATTCGCCAACAACCCCAGCCAGAAGACGGGCCAGGCCCTGCTGACTCAGCTGTACCAAACCGCCGCGCGCCGCTACACAGGGCCCCTGCACCACCAGACTCAGCGCTTCAGGTACTGAACCTCTACCCATTTTTCCCATCATCCCACCTCCCAGTCCCTCTCTAACCAGATAGTCTAAGAAAAAACAAAAGAAAACTGTTTCCGGATCAGTTTACAGGGAATCATGTCATGTTAAATAACAGCTGTTTAATGTGTTGTCTGTACATTTCTGTAAAAGTGTCGGTAAAAAGGATTTTCCAAAACGTTTTAGACTACCATTTGAGTAGTTTTCTACGTTCAATGCGTCAGATGAAGTTGCACTTCTTTTAACAGCAAAATGTGGTCTATGTCCATAAGATGAGAAGAATTGTGGGGTCTTCAACGTTTACAAACAAACATTTGTCTCTAATATTCTTGATCAACCTGTTCAGTTAAGTAATCGTTATTTGATGCTAAGGAAGGAAATGGCAATTTGGTATTGTCCCTCCTTCTCACTCTTTTTCTCTGACTTTCTTTTAAACTGCAGTGTGATCCCTTCACTTGGAAAGGGACCAGATCCAAATAACAGCTCAAACACAATGTAAGAAACTAGATTTTTCCGAGTACAATGATAAAGAGAGGTTTAATTCATTATGGTTATTATTCACTATCTATCATAGCCTATATAGACATCACAAGCTTAATAAGGAATAATCATATAAAACTATGAAACTCCATTATTACCCTCAAGGGGGATCTCACTAACAAGTGATGGTTGGATGGCTCAATTTCTTTCCCCCAGATATCAGTTTTTCATTATTAGAGGTAAAATTACCTTTGCCCTTAATTTATTTAAACCACCAAAAAGAAATCTACATTGGAGCCTACACAGAATGCACAATGACACATAAATATCAGCAAATCTTTTGAAACATCAGATTTGTGGCTGGATGGTTTGGGAATGCATTAAGGAGAAGGATGCCCCCTGGAGGAAAGCTGGTGAAGGAGCTACATATTAACATGAAAGCCCCCCCCTTGTAGATCTCATAACTAACCTCTGCATCCCCTTCATTCTCCCTCTTGCGTTGCAGACTCGACAATTTACTAAACGCCAGCTACGGAGTCAAGAGGTAAATGCCAAAGGTGTACTTTCAAAAGCATTCATGCCAAAATAAAACCACAAACAAAGTGCCCGGAATACCACATGCTGACTTCATCTCGAAATCAGACCTAATGGCCATAATCCTGACAGCCCACTTTAACCATGTTACAGAAGCAGCTCAGACAGCAAAACGCTCTCAGTAATTGCAAGAAGCACTGATGCAGCTTTCTAACAGCAGGGTATTCTGGCATAGCTTTGTTTACCCTTTTCTGTTTTTCGTTTTATTCAATAGAAGTACTCTGTGTGTTTTTTTCTGAATTAACATTATTGGTTTCAGTTGCTTTAATGTCCCCTTTTTTCACCAGCATGGACATACCAGATTCCGTTTGCGTCTCCTCTGTTTGCTCCAGTTTTTGTATGATTTGATTCCAATTTGCTTTTCATCCCTCCAGGTTTCTGTGTTTCGTTCAATAATGTGATTTCTGTTGAACATTGTGATTCATATGTTTAACTCTTCCAGAGGTTCTGGTCAAAGGAAAAAAAAAAAAAAAAGAGAAAATATGCATACTGTGTGGGTGCCTTGTCTCAGGGCACACAGTCTCATTTTGTGTGAAAACAGGTAGTTTGGAGTCTCTGTGATGCCCACACACGTTTATCTACCTACTGTGTACAGCAGAGGGGATGAAGCTGGGATCCCCTAACTCCTCATCCAACTACAAGCTTGATCATTTCTCAGAGAGACATGACTAAACGTGACAGTATGAAGCATCGAATGCTTTGTGGAACTTCAGAATGACACCCATGGTAGTTCTCCCACTCTCTTCCCCAGATTCTCGCCCATCACCATCGACAGCATGACCAGCCTGGCCGGGGTCAACCTCACCGGACCCACCGGAGCCGGCTGGTGCATCTTTGTGTACAACCTGTCCCCGGAGGCGGACGAGAGCGTCCTGTGGCAGCTCTTTGGGCCTTTCGGCGCCGTCACCAATGTCAAAGTCATCCGCGATTTCACCACCAACAAATGTAAGGGCTTTGGCTTTGTCACCATGACCAACTACGACGAGGCCGCCATGGCGATCGCGAGCCTGAACGGCTACCGCCTGGGCGACCGCGTGCTGCAGGTTTCCTTCAAGACCAGCAAGCAGCACAAGGCCTGAAAAGGAGGGGGGGGGGCTGCTGGTGGCAGCTGGCTGAACCTGCAGGGGGACGCACCCGAGCTCCCTGCCTCATCACTCTACATGGGCCTGGACTGAGTCTCTCTCTGACATACTCTCACACAAATTCATGAAACGGAACCACACACATGCACACACCACACATAGACATGCACATAGACGACGCGAACATACCCAAGCATACACGAGTCAGAGTTCCAAACACACTAGTGGAGTTTTTCTTTTCTCTTTTACACAACATGCTAGTCCTTCCCTGTATTTGCCTGGATTGAATTAGATGGGGTACGTAGCTGGTTTTTGGGTAGGGGGCAAGAGCTATCTATTTAGGAGACAGTCTAAAGAATGTGACAGAGAATGTGTACTGAGTGCTTTGATTGAATTCAGGCAAATAACGACAACTGATGAGCAAAATTATCATAAATTTAAGCGAACGAATATGTGCAATTTACCCAAACTCTTACCCCACCATCTCTCCCACCGTGTCGTGGGGGAGGATGTCGTCACTTTTTTTTACACTTGGGCATTTTGAATCAGCGATTTTTTTAGATCAAAGAAAATGAAACTAAAAAACAGTGTTCTCTTATATACATCTATTAAAATATAACTATATATTCAATATTTAAGGTGGTTATAATAGCCGAGTATGTAAGCATTTTCTAGAAACTTTGACTACTGTTTCCTGACCTGCATTAGGTGGTGCCTAGCTTAAAGGCAGTCTCTCTCTCTCTACCATAGACGGGCTTATTAGCTCAGACTCAATACGATTTAGCCTAAATAATGAATTCTGGTCACACAAAAGAGTAGCTTGAAGGCCATAAGAATCACTCTTTCCCGCACAGCCTCACACCAAACATCACAAAAAAAAGAAACTTGTTCATATCACACAAAACACTGTTCCGTAACTAGACAGATTCACACATGTTTAGTCTTCTGAAGCTACATTGTGTTCCCAGTCTTATCCACATGATGGATTTAATGCAGGAAACCTGTCTGTGAACTTGGAGCAGAGCAGCAGCGCTCCCATGGTGACGATGTTCATTAGTAATTCTCTGCTGGGCAAGAGAGTGATGAGTGTGCGGGGGAAACTATTTTACGACAACACTGCAACAACAAAGGAAAATGCCGGTGTTTTTAAAGGTTTTTGTCACTTTTTTTTCTGTCTCCGTGGATCTGTTTGATTTGCCATGATCCGCAGGCCGTTTCATTTTAGGCCTTATCGGCCAGAGTCTGTAGGTCCTTCCAGCTTAGGCGTCACCTGGCATGAAAATGTCGGAGGATAAAGCAAAGACTGATCATCAGCTTCTGCTAATGATCAAGTTCTTTTGGTTTGAATGCTGCTCCCTTCAGGAAGGTAGCTAGCAAAAGTTAGGACGAGAACGCTGTCAGCAGCGATCTAAGGGGGTCCGCAGAGAAGCAAAAACATAAAAGCACCGGCATTGTTCCTCAGCTTATTGCACAGACAGAAGATTCCTGAGGGTTACATTTTTCCATTTCTGTAGAATAAGTCAAATCTATGCTAAGAACTTCATATACGCAGATTAGGAGGACCCCAGTTCCTGAACAAACATTTAAACTTAAGTTCTTTGTTCAGAAGACGTTACCTTGAGATCATATAAGCATGATCTCTAATCTGTTGGGGCCAGGCTCTTCCAACTTTACTACATGCTCCAAAGTTTTACCATAAAATCCTTCAGTTCTCGTCTGTTCCCAGAGACTCTGATCTCCAGCCCTCTCACTGACGATTGTTAAACATCAAGCTTGAAAAGAAGTATCATTACTATACTCTTTATTTCCAAACTGAACATTTTTCATTAATTTGCTTCAGATCTGTTTGGCGCAACAGCAAAAAACAGCCATTTAAAAAAATATCCCCAACCCAAGTGCATGAAGATTATTTATGGCACCCTGGATTAAACAATGATGGCAACATGTCAAGCTGAAGTGTCTGTTACAGCCCAGACCTTAGATTTAACACGGGGAGAGCTGGTGTCTTTCAATATCAAGACATGCACATGAAAATAGATTAAAGAAGGTCATATTCATGACATTTTTGCTTTTGCTTTTCTAAGTGACGCTGCGTTAGCCAAAGAGGACGATCTCTTTGAAAGGATTACATTAGAGATAAATCTATTTTTATACATACAAAGGAACAAGACCTTGTGCTGAATTTTTACAGATTCTTAAGCTTGGAAAATTGGGGCATCGCATGGCTTTACTTTAAACCCTCTGATCTTTGCAGAACAAGAGGGAAAAAGGCATGCGGTGTATGGGTGGGGACTAAGGGAGGGGGCGAAGGAACAATGTATCTCACGCAAACTTATCTGTCTAACTACATCAAAAGGAAACAAACCAAACAAAAACATATCTTACAGGAAAAACAAAAGTCGTAACGAAACGATTGGGGGAAAAGCTGACAGACAGCCGTACTTTTGAGCGCTTAGACGCGCTCGCATCTCTTGTCCTGAAGTTGTGTACAGTGTTGCTTGAATGACAACGCCGTGGAGTGAAGTTCTTTGACTTGAGAATCCCAGGCAAAGCTACAATGAGACTGGCTCATCGCCCAGCTCAAAACTGAATAGCTGCTTGCAAAATAAAATAAATAAATTGCAGATTCGAAGTGACGCAGGTTCATAACGATCACTAAGCATGAGTCTTTATGATTAGATAGATTTGATTTTTGCCAAAGAACTGCTTTGCAAGTCAGCACAAAGAATGATAAACTAAGACTAACAACATTATCCCCGGAGTAATTGCTGTACAAATCGATGTTATTTATTGACTAGGGACCCTCTACAATTTGAGTTATAATTACTTTTGAACATCTAAGTTTTGCATATCAGTTTCCATTTCGAAATAAAAAAAACACCATACCAAATGCTAAAATCTAACAGATGCAAGCAATCCCATTTGCACACATTTCATGCAGTAATACAAGGCATATCAAAATGATCACAAATTTATTCACCTCTTGACAAAGGGAAAAAAAGCATCCACAGAACGTATTCCCCCCTTCCCCCCAGCATTTAAATCATCTGCTTTGTCTTTATCCTTTTAAACTGTCAAACATTGCACATTTTCCAATACTTTGACTGACATTTTTTAATCTAACTCATGCTGTTTCATCCCCTGAAATAGTTATTGCTGCTGGTGTGTCCCCAGCTGCCCACATAAGATAATAATCAAGCTGTTTTGGGTTAAGCAATTTGCAAGATAGCACAGTGAAACCGAGCAGGCGGTGCGCTCGGTGATAAGACGGTAGGAACATCCACGAAACCAGGCCCACTGAACTGCAGCTGGAATTGTTTTCCCAGCCATGTCCAATGTCGTACACTCAACCCACAAAGCAAAGCCACAGTCCAAAAATACCTTTCACACACAGTCTATATGAAGACACACACCGGATGTACAGCAGAGAGCCAAGGACTATGGCAGGAAACAGTACTACACTGCTTGAGCAACAACAATAATCATTTTAAAAAGACAAAAAAACTTTCCTATGGAACAGTAAGTGCAATGTGCTTTGTTTTTATATTGACTGAGAACAAATGATATATATTTTTAAAAAAAGAAATGAAATGTCACACTGAAAAGGTTTGCGGAAAAAGCGAAAGGAACAAATGTTCAAAACAAAAGCATCCAAATGAACAGACTTGTTAGGAAATCGAATAAGCAATGAGAGCTCTGATCTTTAAATTTCCACAATCACTTCCTCAGTCCCTAATTTGTGCTCTGACCGAAACAAACTGCATCTTTGGCTGACTTAATAGAGCAATTCTCAATGACTTTGAAAGGAATACTGTCTAATATATCATCAGTTTTAGCCCATGTCAATTTCAAATATCATTTTTCCTGTAATTTATTAATTTCATTTACATATCAAGACTCACTTGTTAAATTAGCGTATTTGTGTTGTTGATGTTGCCATAGAGAACACACATGGGTCAAAGATTTTGTTTGGTTGCATTGATTGGGTACACTTTCTTTTTCTTCCATTATTTAATTAGTTGCAGTTTTTACAGTGTATGCAGATTTTAGACTTAGTTAGATTTTTTTATTTCAATCAAACTGTGTTCAATTGTGTTTGTAAAGTCTGTGGTAGCTTTTGTTGCAACATAAAATAATTTAAACAAAAAATTCAAAATAGCGCCAACAAACTTGTATTATTTGGGCGACTTTAAGCTTGTAGTTTTAACTTATTGTTAACTTAAAAACTATTTATTATGATTATTATTATTGCCTCGTATAAAGTATGTTTTGTGTATATTTATGGTTTATTTCATTATATTTGCAAGTTTAAAAGATTTTAAGTTTGCCAAAATTGTGGTTACACCATTTTGTTTCTTAAAAAGGGGGACAAATAGAAAAACAGCTTTAGAAGTACGATTTGGAAAAGTTCTCCATAGTCAAAGAATGCACTGCTATATTTAACTAATTGAAGTGTATAAACATACATGCTGTGTGCTAGATGTTATGCCTTTACTGCCTGTGTTCTGTTTGTCTTGTTAAATGAAAATCTTTTAATTATTTAATCTAATCACAGTCTTGTTTTTTCAAACCACTCGGTGAACCCCTGAAACTTGAAGCGGCCCTTCCAGTGAGGCTTTGGTCTATGTGAGGGTCCAGCACCTGAGGAGGAACTGGGGTGGGGGGTGGGAGGGGGGGTTATTGTTTGTTCGAATGGCTCACAAGATGCTTTCCTGTTTTGCTGATGCCACTGATTTACAAAAAGGATATTAAGGGTTCAGATTCTGAAAGGGAAGTGCATTTGAGACCACCTGTATCAAGTCAATACCAGTTTGTGCTATTGAAAAAAAAAAAGATTAAAAAAGGCATTCTTGTGTATATTTGGAAACCCTACAAGGGGTTCTGATAAAATACTGCTGAGCTCTGAAAAGCTGCAGGAAGGTGTTCTTGGGAGTCTCTAGAGTAGTCAAGGGGTGAGTGGTCCTTCTGTTTCTCAACTGTATTTTGTGTCTATTTATTTAGAAGAGGGGACGCAGTAACTTAGTGATGTTTTTCTTACATTTTCCTGGAATGGTAAAACAAATCAAAGGTGAAAATGATCAAACTGTTCTGTCGATACAAATATCAACAGAAAAATGACAAAATCTCATACTTCCAAACACGACCAAATGAACAATGTCAAAATTTAACAAAAAAAAAAAACCTTTCAGTTTAGACTAGGATATTTATTACTGGGATTTCAGCTGAAGACGCTTGAAGACTTTTTCATGGAATTGTTTAATTATTTGTACTTTACATGCCAGAAAAAATAAAAGTTACAAATATGAGTGCCCTGATTTTCATTGACTGTCAAAGCGATAAATGCTGAATGTTATGAACAATCATGCATAGAGAGTACCGCTTACCAACCATGTGTTCAAAGTAACTGATAGTTTAGGATAGCATTCATGCTTTTATAATAAGATAACTGCATGGAACACAAGTTCTGCCCTTTACTCATGGACAAAACCTGTCTCACCTGTCCACTAAGTGTAAGAATAGAAGATGTGTCCAACATTTTAAGCATATATGCATTAGAATTAAGACAGAAAGGCTAGTAAGGACTGCCACAAGTTTGAAATATGGTCAAAAGTACATTTTATTTATTTGAAAAGAAATGGAATGGCGCTACAAGTGAAACAAAACAATGAAACAAGAAAATGGGGTTTCAGTGGAAGAGGGAAGTGCTGATCATACTACAGTTAACTTCTCAATGGAATTCCAATAAATTCATCTCAAATGACAACACAGTGATGCTGCTCATGGGAAGGGCTCCTTATAATGCCGCACTAACTGTGGTCCCTCAAAGGCATCCTGCAAAACAGATGACATACAAATTAATTTCAATGAACGAATGATAATGGAATGAATAATTCAGCAAGAGACTTATCATACACACAATTTTAAAGAGGGACATTTTGTTGTAAAAAAAAAAAAAAAAGGGTCTCAAATCATATCTGAAATTACAGTAGTCCAAGACCCACAATGAAAATCCTAAATTACTCACAAATCATGGGCGCTTAAAGCTCTTCGTGCATCTGCAGCCCTGGATCCAGGCTCGGGGGCTCCTGACACACAGCAGGGCTGATGAACTCCATGAGGTACTCGCAGCGACTGGGCTCTGAGGTAGATGTCACAACAGTTTCCTTCCCACATGTTAGCTTCACCTGAAATAAGAGAGAAAGGTTGTATTTTTAGGGCTCGGTTCAAAAGAGAACGACTCCACGTCAGCCCAGTGGTTGGTGGATCTTACAGTGGTGGATCTGTTGGGGCCTTGCCAGCACCCCGTTCCATGTTCATACTTCATCACAGAGTAGATGTTGTCCTCAGGACCTGCCCATGACCCCCATGTTCTAAGGAAGGGAAAAATTAAGGTCAACCCTGTAGAGCAATCTAAGCACACACACCCCCCCCAAAAAAAACTCCAAAAAATTCCTTACCCTAAGTTTGTTTCTGATCCTCCATATTTGGGTTTCTGGGCAACTTTGTTGAATGGGCAAAGCCTGTAGATATACCTGTGAGTAGAGATGACTTTAGTCCTTCAGTGTAATGAACTTCTAACAAATCCAAGCACGGTAACTTCAAGTATTTACATACTCGCTAGTAGTCAGCTCATAGCACTGGCTGTAGAGGTAAGAAAATTCAGCGTTGGGTCCAAAGTCAAAGGAGATTTCCTTCTCAAGGTTCCTGAAAAAAATTGAAAACAGCACGAAGTTAAACTCCTGTTGGGATGGCAAACCCTTGACAGCGGGTAAATCATAAAGCATCATGTTGTGTCCAAAACCCAACCTGATCTGGTCATCCACCTCTCGTAGACTTCGCTCGGCAGCATCAAATTCATCTCTGGCTTTCTGAGCAGCTGAGAGGGAAACACACGGTTAGTACAAAAAGTCTGAAAACAAACTTTACCTCATGTGGATCACCAAAGTTAAACCGAGATTATCTACAATCAAAACAAAAAAGGAAAAATCTCTCAACAGACAAAGGCTTTCGTACCATCAATGAGGCTCTGTGTTTCTTGGTCATAGGGTGGCATGGTTCCCTCATCATCCTCAACCGACTTTTCTTGAGTCTTTGCAGGAGGAGGCTAAAAAATGAAATAAAAACATCAACTGACTGAAATAAAAAATAATAAAACTTGTCCAACATCAGTCTCAAGGATAAACCTACTTTGTAGTCTCCCTCATCCATGTCCTCATCATCTTCGTCTTCGTCGTCTTCATCCTCTGGTATGTCGTCGTCAGGGTACTGCTCCGAGTCGTCAGAGGCTGTGTCCTTTGGTTCCTCTTGTGGCGTTTCCACTGCTGCTGGGATGTCTCTGTTAGACTGATGACAAGAGTCTTGAAATTAGAGAAACAAGCTTTTCCAAGGAGTTTAAAAAGATCTTTAAAAAAACTCCTTACTTCAGAGACAAATTTTTCCTTGATATTACCCCAAACAGACTCAAATGCTACTGTATCCACTTTATCCACACCGCCCAACACTTCCTGTCCAAGCCAGAGACACATTTGGATGAGTTCATCTTATTAAGCGTTACATCCTTACACAGAAATGGTTTTATCTAATAAGCAATGTTGAAGTTAAGATTTTGTTAAGAAAAAAGAAAATGATTTGTTTACCCGAGCCTCCAGTTCTGTGAATATTCCATCTGAATCTGTATCAAGCTCAGAGTGGGATAGAAGCTCAGCCACTGTGACACTGAGAAGAAGAGAAAAAAAATGTTCAAGCTAAAGCTAAACTAAAAGAAAAGAGTTTTCTTCAAGTGAAATATTCCTTAGTCCTAAGAATATTCAGAATATTGACATCTTAATGAATAGTGACAGATTTTTGCAAAACTGCCACAAAAATGCACCCGTTAAGCTTAAGACATGCTGTTAATTCTGGAAAATGTAAACACTCACAAGCCATCTGCATCATCATCAAGTTCAAGGAACATCTCAGCCATCTTAGCTTTGTCTTTCTCCATGCGAATGGCTGCTTTTTGATCTGAAAGGAGAATATTTGAGTCCCTGTTATGCACAACTGTAAACACTTTTCTGGTACTTATTATTTAGTTTAATGCTAGAAGCAGCAGATATGTTTAGTATACAGCTCCTACAGAATCCAGCATAATTTCAAGCACAACATTTGTATCTCTTTTTTTTAAGACAATGATGGGAGTATTGTGATGCAATGCACTTTATAGCCAGTAGATGGCCCTTCACTTAAATCCCATTTTACCTTCCCAGGCCTTCAGATGACGCTCTTTAGCTTCTTTTTCCGGCTGCTCTGCAGTCTCCTTTACTGTCCTCAGAGCCTCCACCTTGGCTTCCAGTTCCTTCTTGCTACTCTGGATATCTGCGACTTTGGCCTGTTGAAGGGAAGCCAATTACATATTTAACAAAATAGGAATGGAAAAAATACTTGAAAACTCAATCATATTTAAAAACTACTCGAAAACTCAGTGAAGGAATAAATAAATACTTTTTCAAGATTCAGAAAAAATAATTACTATTTCAAGGAATGAATTTCATGGCCAGACCACTATCTCCATCTTTGGAAAGATATTGTATAAGAAATATGAAAATCAAAGGTATTTTGATTGCACCTTCTTTTCCTCAAGACCTTGCTTAGCCTCTTGGATCAATTGTTTCTTAAGCATAAAGCCCTCCTTTGCAATTTCTGCCATCTTCTGCAGGCTCTCTCTCTCCTTGCGACCCAATTCCCTATAAAACACACATTATACAAAACAGGATTATTACGTATTACTATATTTTTTAAAAGTCCTAACACATTTTTACTTTAGCATTTTTAGAACCTATAATCTAAACGTATCCCCACCTGCATGTGTTCTGACAGGCAGCTCCACTGTTGTATTCATCTGTAGTGTCACAGCAATCTATAGGGGAAAGCTAGTTTAGACCAGCTTCTTTTGACACAACGCTGCAAATGAGAAATATTTTACAACGATCATAAATCATACCACAGATTCCATCATTGATGCGGGACGAAGGGATGAATGCTGGCCTGAAACCTGCATTGGTGCAATGGAAGCTGCCATTGGGACAAGCAGCAGTGCCTGCAAATCAGATTGTGTCGAGATACATAAAGGTGTTGTAATAATGGTGTTGTGAAGAAAAACAAACTGAACACACTTTACAAATGTACAGGAAACATAGTGAAGTTCGGTTTACAAACATACAAAAGAAAGCATGAACTAGACAGTGGGACTGGTATCTCCAGTTTAAAGGATTTACACACCTGGCTCGTCTGAGCCATCTTGGCAGTCACAGTAGTCATCATTTATTCTGTCATAGGGAATGGTGAGGGATCCGTCCAGGCAGGTAAAGGGTTTGCCCTCCTCATAAAACTGCAGTTCTGGTCAAGGAAAACAAAAAAGTCGTAAGAGCACGTACGCAGTTCTAAGATAATAGAAATACAATGACAACCATTAACTTAGCATGGCGGAAATTCGCCTTAGCAAATCCAGTAGTTAAAATCAAATAACAAAGGATTACTTGTTAAGGGGACACCGCGAGGACGCTGAACCTCCACGGCTAAGGCTCCCGTACACAGCAGCAGCAGCAGACACCCACAGGACGTTTGCATGGTCCACATTTTGTAACTTTAAAAAAACAAAACGACCTGTCGAGCAAATCAGTCATGCAAGTAAATGAACAGAAGACAAAGTACACCACAATGGGCTCAAATCGCAAAGGGCAACGATAATAAAATTAGGTGCAACTTCGTGGTTAGCTGATTTTATTGCTAACTAGCCAATTGAGCTAACAGTTACATCGGAGCTTAATGAATAACAAAAGCCACAGCTATCATATATTTGCAGCCATGACTTTAAAATACCTCAAGGTTAACAGTTCAATCAGGTAACAAACGGCGATAATAAAAAAAAATGTTTGTCATTTATTTCTTATTTTACCAAGCTAATAGGTCATCATTACCGGTGGTGTTCCAAAGTTCCGTATCTACACGGCGCAGGCGTACATTTCCACGTCATCGGACTTGTTTCATTGTGATTGGATCACAATGTCTCCATGTCTGCAGTAGAGAACTCTGGGTATGTGTGTGTATATATTTATATATGAGGAAGCTGCAGCCATCTCATGCCAGTCAGAGGCAGACAAAGGTAACTCATGCTCTTTACCCTTTTAACCTTGTAAACCAGAAAATAAAATTAAATACATATTCTTAAGAAAAAAAAGGTTATTTGCAAATAACAATTATATAATAACCCATTAAAAGGACCCTTTAGTTTAGCCTGTTATAATAAAAAAATTCCATTACATATCAAAATAGACAGGGTGGCTATGCTGTGGCAAACAGGATGTGCAAGTGAGGGCAAAGAGATGTAGAGACTTTAAATGGAGGCATATTAAAAAGTGTATTGATGCTTTAAATCAGATGAGCTTTTATCAACAACATTTTGTCAAAAACTGTTTGGGTTGTCTTAGCTTCACTGTCAACTGCTAAACATCCCTCAGCTGTTGAATACTGTGTATGCAGCTGTTGAACACTGTGTATGCAATTAATTGACAGCAAACATGACAGTGGTGTTTAATTTTCTTAAAAAATCTTGCTTTATTTGTATTTTTAAACACACTTTACAGTACTGAACAGTGAAATAAAAGAAAATATACTGATATACTATAGTATTGATTTATATATAGATGTTTGCTTATTAAATGCAGTTATTCACAAAATGACACATCAGCTCTGTCAAGAGGAAAAAACTTTCATAAAAATAATATAATAAAAAATAACTTGGACACATTTTACACATTACAACAAGATCATTTACAAATATTACAATCATTTCATGTTTTTTCCCTTGAATCATCTTTCTTACTGGTGATCAAACACATGAATTAAAGCCCAGAGAATCGTTCTCGAAAGGAGTCAGTCTGCCATAACACCACCTGACAGCAACACCGTTGGGAACCAGCTAAGTAGGCCACCATAGGACGGACATTTAGGCTATCAGGCTAGATAGTGATCAAAGTTACTAAGAAACAGGGGTGGTTGTAGTGCTGGAAATGGCCAGGTTAAATAAGAGCACATTTATCTTCTTTGAGAGTATAACATCCTTTGTGATTATATCTGCACTCTTTTGACTTTTTAAGTCAAACAAGTACAATCTCACAAGGAGGTTTGAAAGAGAATGACAAAAAAAAGGTGCTATACCCAAAGTCGGGTTTTTTCAAACAGCTGCACAATTGGAATTTGTCATTTGGCCCAGTGGAATAAGATAATTGGTTTGACTGTCCAGGGCCAAACCAGCACAGACCGTACACTACCTGAAACACACTGTCTGCCTCAAAACCTGATTAAATAAAGTGCTGGTACAAATCCATTTGATTTTAACAATAAATGTGCACAATTAAAATCATGACAGTGTGATTAAAAAGTGAGGAAATATATGAGAGAATGAAAAAGTGGAGATGTGGCTCGCAGTGCCTCAGTGATTCACTCAACAAGTTTAAGTAGTTATTTGTCAATCATTACGATAAAATTCTAATTTACAATCCATTATTACATTATTTACAAGAGTGGTCATGATTATAGCTATATCATCAACACGTGATTCATTTTCCAGACCATCCATCAGAATGATATAAAAATAAACTGTACACAAACTGTTCAAAGAAAACGCTTCCCATGGTTTTCTTCTCATTATTCAAAAAGAATGGCAGCAATCAATCAATTGAATAATTTCCTTAATAAGAAACAATTGCTACAGTATTGTGTTTGTATGGCAATTAAATATCAATGTTTTTATAGCTCATGACAGAACAAGAAGCCACAAAAACAAAACGACATGTTTAAAGTAAAAGGCCAGTGCATATGGGAATACTTTATTTAAGTAACTGCAATAGTAATCCTGGATTCCCATTCCACCAGATGAAAAGCCTGTGTGGTGGCCTCGCAGCTCTGCTCCATCCTGCAACGGAGCAGGTCAAACACACAGGCTCACGATGCACCGAGCTGTGGCGTCTTCAGATAAGCTCAGTTACTGACCTGCAGGAACTTGCTCTTACCATTCAGAGAACCACACCTCTGTTCATACTTTTTTTTTTTTTTTTACCCTGTGGAAAACAAACAACTAAACAAACACTGACCCACTTAAGCTGTGCAGATCAAATCCTGAACACCGTTCAGCAAGATATGGTGATGCCAACGACTGAACAATTACACATGACAACATCTTTAACGTCCTGCCGTCTCGCACCGTTACCCACTTAGTACTGATCTCCAACTCTTGCACAATCTTAACTTATTTGTCTGGTTTACTCTGAATGCTCACAGGTAGCTAAAAGATGCCATCCGGATTAAAAAACAACACATTCTTTATGTTGGTCCAAGCACAGCAACAACATAACAAATAACAGGCAGCAATATTTACCCTTTCCTTCCAAATGCAATGCTGGATACATTGTGTCTAGACACACCAATACTCACATAAATAAGCATACAGACATGATATAAATATACTAGAATATCTATATTATATATCTTATAAATCTACATACTGGCAGGTTGGTATCCTGCATCAGACATTAAGGCAAAATAACCATCAAACGTAGCAAGGATGATTAGGGACTGCCAGACCTCCATTTGGCCAAGTTACACTTCTTTCCCTGACATTCTGCCTCCCTGATTTCCTTATTATTCCATGTCCCTTTAAATGACTTCGCCCCCTCAAAATTCTTATCCTTTACTTTGGTGAAAATTGTCATGTATGAGAGGACAAAAACACACAGTGCAAGTGGATGTGAGTCGACAAATGAAAATTTGTTCAGTTGATGTACCTCTTCAACATATTCAGAAAATTTTAAAGATATAAAATAGGCAAAAATGTGTGCTTCAAAGCATCGCATGGCTTATTCTCAGAAAGTTAAAAAGGAAATCATTCAAACAGGAAAAAAAAAGAAGCTGAAAAGAGTCCCCTGGTGGTTGTGTTGGCGTTAGTGATTGCTCTGTGTCTCGAGTTCTGAGTTGTAATCTTACCAAAAGAGCAACTAAAGGAAGACTTACAGCCGAAAAACATATCACCACAGAAACTTTACGTGTGAATTACACCCGACGATATCATGAACAGTAAGGATAGATCTTAACAAGAGACAATCAAAAATTATAACAAAATCCGACTCCCTTGTCCCACAATGCATTGCTTCACGACAGCTCCATTCAGGAAGCTGGTGTTTCCGAAAGGCACAGAGCCATCTTGCACCAGTAGCACTCTGCTAGTAAAGGGAAAAGGGATATGGGACCTCGTGGTCCCTTCATCGCAGCGTCTTCCTTTCCTTCCATATCACCCCCTCCTCTCCTCCAAACTCTGTGGATTTTCTTTTTTCTTTTCCGACAGAAATGGAAAAAAAAGTCACTCAGATGTGGAGCTTCTCTGAAGAGAATAGTTTCTATTTAGATTCTAACAGACACGAATTACTAATACTGACTGAACACTAGTTATACACCATTAAGGGATGGCTTTTTCCAAAGAGATTCATCACTTATCAATGTCCCTCGTGTCAATGCACACATACAAACATACCGTCAAGTGTGTGTGTGTGTGTGTGTGTGTGTGTGTGTGTGTGAGTGCGTGTGAGTGCATGTATGTGAGTATTCCTGTGTGTTTTTGTGCATTTTCTGACAAGAACTGGGTGAACTACGATTAAAGTGCATGACAGCCGCATGCATGTTTTCATGTGTCACTTCACGTGTGTGTTTATTTATGTGCATTCTAGTCACCGCAGTGCTACACCGTCCTTAGTTGCCCATCAGTAATGCTCATTTAAAGTCATCTAAGTCTTAAGTTCATTGAGAAATCAGTCAAAGGACATGAACCTCTCCAAATCTACAGTTGCTGTGTAATTAGCTTCTCTTTAAGCGATTGAATGTATTCCCTTTTTGAAAAATATATTTAAAGGTCTGTATTGTCATTGCAGTCTTATTTGTTCTTGGTTTGGCCATTTGAAAGGATGAACAAGATAATGTGTGCAAGTGAGAAGGGAGACACAAGAGCAGAACTCATGTATCTTCAGCTTGTGAAGAAGAATCTTCCTCTTCTTCTACAGGACTTGTGTCAGAAAGTCTTTCCTTTTCAGAGCCATCGACCAACTGAGGTTTCAGCTCTTCCTCCACGTCTTCCTCCTCCATAGCCACCTCGTCTTCCTCTTCTATTATGTCCTCATTTTCCTCCTCTGCCATTATGTCCTCTTCGTCCTCTTTTTTGCCCTCCTCGTCCCTGTTACTGCAGTCCTGTGCCACATGGTTTGGCATGGGGTTTTCACCCGTGTCTCCCTGTTCTCTTTGAGGGCTCTCAAGGTTGAGCTCATACTGAAACTTGTCTATGCATGCTTTCATATCCTTGTCTGGGCCCACAGGGGGTGGCGAGGGGCTCTGCGGGATAGTGCTATGGTACCAGTCCCTGTTGTCCTCCAGAGTGTCCAGGATTTCCTGGGCGTCAGGATGCACAAGGTCTCCCCATGTCTCCCACAGTGGGTGCACAATATAGTCAATGAAGCCCACCTATATCCAGAAAAACAGTATGACTGACATGACTCAAGCAAGCACAGCAGTGTCACTTTGCGCCCTGCAAACCGGCATTAAAAATGCAGAGTTAACTGCTACGATCAGAGCTACAAGACTAATGACTGCACTGTAGTTATCACACTCCATACAATTTCACCGGTTATCAAACTGTGTACAAACCGAGTAGTACGAGCCTCTCCATTTTGCTGCTCATCACTTACCTGGCTTTTTTCCACAGATGCAGTGTGTTTGTCACACATGGGACTTATTTCCATCCCTCGCTCCCGTTCCTTATCCCCCTGCCTGAAGAACTCCTCCATGATTCTCTCCGTCCATTGCCGATACACAGCCAGGGGTTTTGTTGGATTGCTCAGGTCAGCACAGTGCACCATGTTCCTTAGTACCTGCACAAACTCACATGTTAAGCTCCAGACGAAAATACCCATACGTTAGTGCACTGCATATCTCTTTGGATTTCTAAAATACACTTGTTTTTGAAGTGTTAAAACCAGTGACTGATTTAACCAGTGTGAAGCCTAAATGTGATGGCTGCGTTCTCTTTTCCTCAATCATCTGACTTTACAACTTTGAATAATTGGTTCTTTATTTAAAAGCAGTTACCCTGCTGCTGTAGAGGCTGTCAGCAACCCTCTTATAAATTCTGGTGGACACAGAGAAATGCTCCTCGTTCCTCCTTTCAATGACCCTCATCATAAAAGCTAAAGCTCTTGCATTTGGGGGCACTTGGGCTAGTGGCACTTTTAGCTGCTATTGTCTTGTGGTTTGCAAGACAATCGCCGCTTTCCAAAATCACTACAAATAGTTGTGCTTTGGATGCTGCTTTTTTGTGCACGTGGCCTTAGGAATCACACAAAAATCTATGTCTATGCAAATGATCGACCACATGCAAAATACTCATATTCAATATTCAAACTGCCTAGTCCTCCAGTGCTCACTCCAGCTCCAGCAAAACAACTGCACCATGAAAACCACAAGGCCAGCAAACCATTATTTATTCCTATCCCGCTTCCATCATACCTTTTTGTTTTTGTGGGCTGATTAAGTTACATTTATTTACATTTAGCTGCTTTATTTACATGTGGCTGCTTTGGGATAAAAGCATCCTCTTAATATCCATTATTGATAGTAGAAACTTAAAAAATCTGACCTGTATTCGGTCCGTATAGTGGTCCAGCAACAGTACGCCAGAGCTTGTAACTTTTTTGGTCTCCACCATAGTCTTGAGATCTGCCAGCAAACTCATGTGTTTGGACATATCTGTGGCCAAAACCTAGGAACAATAATTATGTGAATTAATCAGAGTAATAATTGAGGTATGAAAATACAGAGAATATAGAATTTGTACGCTGATGGACAGTTACCATATCTATAACAAGTTTCCTCAGGCTCTGCCTCTGCCTTTTGCTGAGGTTCTGGAAAATGTCACAGTTGTCCTCGTGAAGCAGCTTGAAGCCCACAGCCAGGTGGTGGTTTTCCAGCACGGACTCATCATTATACATCAGCGCTAGTTCCGAGTCTGAGGGAAGCACCGTGCAACAAACACCAGTCAAAAACACACACATAACTGCAGCATCACATGGGTTTTGATATCTCCATGCTGTATAGTGATACTTCTCCAAATGTACATTTCTCAAATATATATTCTAGTGATTCAGTTAGTAAACTAAAGTATTTTGTCTCAAAAGTAATGTAGGGTTTATTTATTGCACCTTTCAATCACTACTTGAACTAATGACATGAAAGATCCCACGACTGATCCTGAAATTAGGATCAGGGCTTAATCAGTTTGATCTGGGCCCTTTGTTTGTAGTGACAAAGCACACATCAGCCCATTCATCGTCAGACAACATTTGCCCTGTGCTTGACAGGTTCTGCATCATGGCAATTCTGAGAGCTTGTATTAAGGCAACTGGACTTCATGGATACTGAAGACATTTCACTTAATTCCCCAAAGGGCTTCTTCACTTCAGAACTGAACCTTATCCAAGCTCTTGGGGTATCTCATTTTCACTCACTAGTATTAATGAGGAATTGGTTAGACACTCCTGGATGGTCTACATCATGAATGGCAGCAGCAAATAGTGCAGCTAGTATCTCTAGATCTGTGAATACAGCCTGGTAGAAAAACGAAAGAGGGGAATAACAGTTAGATTTATGTTCAGACTGCTCTCGGTTCTTCTAAATCCAACTGACTAACAGAAATACTTACATCTAGAGCTGGTGTGGATAGCAGTACATGGGTGGACTGGGTGACATCAGCAGCGTGGAGGCTGTTGTGGTAGGCCACATTGGCATGATAGTGGTCCTCTAGGGTCATCACATAGGTGACAAATGTATCCACAGGGATCCGAAAGGTCTTCAGTAGGTCTCGCTCCTGTAGCAGGGACAGTCCTCAGGGGTTTTTATCACAATCCAGCCCAGACATACAGTGAAAACTCAAAGAGGCTTCAGACATAGTCATTCTTGGAGAAGAACAAGAAATAAGAATGCCCATCACTTCTTTGAGGGATCAATTTTCTAACTTTGCTGCAATGCTTTTAGTATGTCCTTCTCAGTGGGTGCACTAGTCACTCAGCTATTAAACAAGTGTTCTTCACATAAAGTAAACATGAAAGAATCCATTTTGGGGATTTGACCGAATTGCTTTGACTAACCAGCTGATTTTCTTAAGATTTAGGATAATCAAGCAGGAACAAAAGTCAGGTTTGACATTGTCCATAATGTAAAAACCTTATGCTCTTACCTCTAAAAACAAAGGGATGAATAGATTAGTCGTATGCCGTGGTGCTACATTTAATAGGATACTACCTCAGTTATTGCTTGAGTTTAATCTCTGTCTCACCTGGAAGATGGCAAACATCATGCAGCTGAGAGGTCGATTATTAGAGAACTCTGCCACGCGAAAGATATTAAGGCCCCACATGTTCAAGTCATTCAGCTCCTGGAGACACACATACAATGTCAGCACACCGGGATGAACTCACGCAGTTCTCCGTCCACTTTAATGAAATCTTATAAGTAAAGCCTACAGTAGCTGTGAGATATGTCAAGTTTTTTAAACTTTCAAGAAGAAGAATACAAAAAGTATGTTTAACATGTCACATGACATCACAGGCAGCTGAGTCCAGGATTAGATTAGCTGTGGGAGGACATTCGTGTTGTTTGTCTTTTGGCATCTTTAATTACTTTTATCTGCTTAGTGCTTGTCTACGCCATAGCGTAAATGTGTTGTGCTGTTTTTCTAGTCATTCACCCTGGCTAATGCATCCTCGTGTTCAGTCTTCACACCGAAGCGTGGCAAGGTGGAGTTGGACAGGCTGGAACTGTGTGTGAGCTTCTTTACTCCACTGATGTGACACATGGGCTTCTCCCTCTCTCTCAAAGTCGGGGACGGAATCTCCACGTCATTTTGCTTATCTAGAGGGATCAAAAGTTCTGGGTCATCCACTTGATTAGACGTGCAGTGTATGGAAGTTGATCAGAAACGGTAGATAGGTTTGCTTTACCTAGAAAGGTAGTGGAGATGTATTCTGACACTTGGTTCCCTGAGCGACTCATCTCTGACAAATGGGACAGCTCCCTGTTTAACATCCTCTTGAACTGAGGGAAGGAAACAGACATAGACAGAAATGAGTCATTTTTAAAAAAAAGTTACACAGTGGAAACATAAGGGGGTTACTAATGTGTCCAAAAATATAGATATGCAGATTGGTGAGCCTCCCGAATTATTGACACTGCTCTTTGGATTCCATTTTCAGAGAAAAAAACCTGTGATTCAAATTTGAGAAGATAAATCATCACCCTCGTCTACTAAAAGGTGAGAAAATCAATTATGAATCATCGCACCTCCTTTTCTTAGATGAGAACAGACTGTTCAATAGCTCAGCTCGGTTTACTCTCAGTGATGTGTCGCAGCACCGTTTTCATACAGACTCTTCCTCATAAATCTGCACTGTTAGGCATGAACCACAACAGTCTGCTGGTCTCAAACAAGACTGTGATCAAAATGAATGCATTATTTCCACAGAAAACACTGCTCCTGAAGGCTCCACCAGCTTTTATGTAACGTTTTATATTCTGGGGAAAGCATGATTTTGGGAGCTGTAATGGCTTCTGTATCAGACAAGTCATGAGAAGGCACAACGAGATCCGGACAGACCCCTCGGTCTGTGTCCTACTGACTGATCTTTCACACATAACAATCTCCATGGCAACGGGAGCAGTTACTATAGAAACTGCCTCCCCACAGTCAGTTCCTCGGCTTGATGTGAGAGCGGTGGCTGTTTGGGTGACAATCGGAGGGAGTCTGCAAGTGTCTCTGCCCTTTACCAAGGTCAGTCCTCCCCTCCTCTTCCTCTCTTCTCCTCTACGCTGCCTCGCTCTGTTGTCTGTATCAGCCTCTCTCTCACTCTCCAGGTAAACAAATGATTCATTACTGTCTTTCAGCCCCAAATCTTCCTCGGTCTCAGGCTCCACTTTGCTTTCTTGCCATTCTACACGGTCCATGTTTTTTGGGCTTTTTTCCACACAACTCTCCTTTCAGTTCTATGAAACCTGTCATTACATGTAAACACATGCACTATCATGGAAGCAGTTTGGTCAAATCAGCCACGAGAAGTCTGGGAAGCCATGGCCCAGTGGCACACACACAGAGGCTGCAGAACCCCCCCTTCCCCGTTCTTTCCTTTCCTGGTGCTGTAATGCTGAGTCATAGCTGCCAACCAACACTTCCACAGTGCCAGTCCGAGTGTCAGGACAAACATCTCTCTTCCTCTGACACTTACTAATGAAGCAAACATGCAAACACAGTACTGCCACGGCTGTGGGCACACGCACCTGCATATGTCAGACACCCAGTGGGGGTGTATCTTCTCTAGCAGTCACTGGTCAACAAATAGCGCATAGAAACAAAAGACCATACATGAAACCTGTTTAAAAGGATTTAAATGAAGACAATCAAAGATAATATAATCCAGGTATCCTAAAGGTTTTGGCTCATGAACAGAATAGCATGTCAGGTGCTAATCTAACAAATTAAATGAAACTTCAGGAATATTTCTTATGGAAGACCAAAGCACTAAATTAAAAAAAATAGACATTTCCTTGGCCCAGACACCATAAGGCTGTCTATTTGTCACAATACACCTGACTTCTTTGGCTCAAAGCAACAGGAGAGAGGAAAAAGGATGTGTAACGCAACTGTGGGCCGTGAGAGTTGACTTGATATGACATTGGAACATGCTGACTATACAGGTTTTGGGACTATGTCACAAAGCCAGAAGTGTCCCCTTCAGTTTTATACTAATTCATTTTTTTCTCATACGATTCAGCTTTAGATCAGGCGTAGTGTGTTTAAGATCTGAACTGACATGGTCTGTTTGTTTACAATTCTGCTACAATATACAAACTCTGAGCAGGAGTAATAAACTCAGTCTCAGTTTTCCTTCTGAGTGTATTAATTATGCACAGGAACACACTAAAATCTATCTAACAATTTCTTACATAACCATTGTTAGGCCCTTTAAATGTTTATCACATGAATAATGAATCTTGGAACACATGATAATGCATACATTCAGAAGTTCAGGTGTTACACTTCAGAGTTTTCCTTAAAACCACGAAATGTTCGCAAAGTGACACAAAAGTGGACTATTTAAGCATGCACATTTGTAACATTTCAGGTGTTCACAGCACCTGCTGCAGATGGCCTCTACCAGACCTTGTTTTGCTCTATCAGCTGTCCTAGCCCTACCTGGTCCCACCAACCGATGAGCCAGGGTCTGGAGCAGGTCTCACAGAACAGGTCCACTAAGGGCGTCCTGCGCTCTGCCGCCGTCCCACCCCCCTCCATAACTCCTCCAGCAGCCGCACCAAGGTCCAGCTCTGCCCCTGCCCTCCCCTGCAGGGGGCTGTAGCTGGAGGAGCGGGGCAGCCTGTAGCCCCCTGGTACGGGCGAGGGACAGGGGGATGGCGCCGGGTCAATGGCCTCCACCACACCCATGTTGAGGGTAACCGGGGGAATTGGGGGTTTGGGCCTTTGGCAGAGGCAAGGGGGACGGTAGTGGAGCGGAGCCGGGGCACTGTGGGTCCCCCAGTGGCATGAGGACGTCGTCAGGGTGCGTGGGGAGAGGCCACAGCCAGTCAAACCTGGACACTCCAGAGTGACAGCTGCCCCAAGACGGGGTGAAGGAACGAGGGAAGGGGGGCGAGGGTAAGGGGCTGCTGGTGCAGGCTGTCGGTGCCTACATGCAGGACTCCAAATCAGTCCACCCCGTCAGTCCTGAGTCAGGCTCCAGCCTCAGTGTGGTCAGCAGATGAGGGTCCTCCTGATGAGCAGACCAGGAGCCCCCTGGATCTGGCTGCTGTGGAGACTACATCTCATCCCATTTGCTGAGCAGCCTGACCCAAATCTATAGTCTGCCTAAGGGGAAAAGTGGATGGGTGTTGAATGAGTGAAGATGGAGAGAAATAGAGAGGGAGCGGGGGACCGTTTGAAGGACACAGAGAGGAGTTGATGGAAGAGTGGCAATTTTAAAGAAGACGTAAAATGAGGCAAGGATGTTGCAAGTGCCCCGTTGCTTTATAAAGGGCTGTAAAAGATTTAATGATGGAGGTTAGAGAAGAGTGCGGTGTCCAGTGACAAGAGTAAGGGGATCTTGGGTGACAACACGAACATTGGGAGAAGGATGAGGAGGGGGCAGATGATCACAAAGAGACATAAACAGGGATGGATAGAGTGATAGAGAGACAGATGAAAGGAGACGGAGGAGTGCATGCGGGACTGTAAGCAGATGGTCTGGCTGAAGAATCACTCCAAAGCCGTGGTCAGGAAAAACAGTCTCCCTCTTCCTGCGTCGCCTGCCCCTCCCCCCACGGTACGGATCCAAAGGCCCGGCCCAGTCCTACCGGTGCATCAGCCCGTCTGTGCCGTCTCCCACCGCTCTCTGCTACTCACAGTCAGTGCACAGGCACTGATTGCTCCGTAGCCCTCGTCCTCTGCCCCAAGTCAATCCATGCCTCAGCTGCCCAAAACGCTCGAGGTCTAATCCTGCTCCTTCAGGCTGCCGTTCCTCCTCCAATCCTTTGCCTCTTGCGCCATTTCTCTGGATGCTGTAGACAGCCCTCGCAAGCTAATCAGGCTGTGTGGCTGCAGGCGCGTGCATGTGTGTGTCTTGCTTGGTTCTTGTCAGCGGCTTAGTGCGCATGTGCAGCGAGACAGCATGTACGTCTGTCGAAAATATGTGTGTGAGCGAGGGTGTGAGTAAGAGTGAGAGACTGAGTGGGAATATTCATGGGTGCACCTCCATGTTGGCTCAGTGTAGAGGATTTCGGCACCTCATTTGTGGTCGTTGAAATGCAGCAACGGAATCACATAGACCCTCTTTACTTTAATTTCATATTGTTAAAGTGAAACCCACATAAATGATCTTTTTTCATCCGTCTGTGCTCCAATAGCAACGTCTTTAGTTACTGGTTATAGACACTAAACTGCCTTATTTCTCAATAGAGAAGCACAACATAGAACCATTTTTGGGGGAAAAAAACAAACAAGGTACAGGATACTGTCTCTTTAAGACAGAACATTGTCAAAGGAGCGTTGCATCTGTTTCATTGGTTGCTGCCTAAACCACATGTCCTGTGGTCAGAATGACAAGCCAATGAGTAAAAGGGAAGGGCAGACCCTGCTGCTGTTCTATAGCAACCAAGGTTATAGCAGAGACATCAGCATCAGGACCCGTCCCCCCCCCCTCGTGTCCTCCCCACCCACAGATCGTCACATACCTCCCCTCTCTCTCCCTCTCTCTGTCCCTGTTCCCCTAGAAATACAAATCCACCCATCCTTGAGAAGCCTGTCCCCACACACAAGCACGCAGACGTACTCATGCAAAACGTGAGGCCTCTAAGATTGTTCGCATGTCTCGCAGTCATGCGACCACATCAAGCATGTGCACATCAATTATTCACTGATACATCACTGCAGGACTGAAAATAAACCCAGGGAACCCAGCACTGTATTTTTTTTTTGTCCTTTTTGTAAGGGGGACAAGCATTTCCTTGTACAGTGTGGGAGTTATTTGATGAGCAGTGCGAAGTGGATTTGGTCCAGATTTCCCATGAAAGAGGACGAGGGACCCTGGACACTGTTTATGGGTTGCTCTTCGGGGTGTTTATACTTGTTAAGTTAATGCAGATGAGCAGTGAAGGTTCAAATGAACGTGTCTGTGTGTGTTGACCGCTGCGCACCTTGTTGGAGGCCATCTCACTGACTGAGCGGTGGGTCTGAATGGTCTCCAGCTGGTCCAGACACCAGTCCAGCTCATCCAGAGTCTCCCGAGCCATCTGCTGGTATGTCTCCTCTGACAATGGAACAAACACAATAAATTAAGCAGGATGAGGAGTGTACGAGTGATAGAGTGCTTAAAAGCAGTGATAGATTTTCTTAAGTTTCCACATCTTTCTCCAAGTTAACACTAAACTGTTTAAGAGCTGAAAAACATTAATTCCTGTCAGCAATATTTGATAGTAGGCTTTTAAAATTCTGTTTGTAAAATATTTTATATGATATCAACAATCAAGTCTGCACTAAGCAGCGCTGATTAAAAAAATCCTGCATTTCCTGACATGACTGAATCTAACAACTGTGACAGATAAAGCAATTCGGCTTTCTCCCTAATTGTCCATTTCCTTGTGAAAGGGCGATGGACAGAGCACTGCAGTTTTTCACGCCCTTCAATAAACCCCAATAAAAACCATCATTGTTTTACAACAGTGAGAAAACAAAGCATTACCATGAGGACCAGGAGTTCAGCATTGCACATATGCCACTGTTCCCAAGGATATGCCTGGTATTTAACATTAACTGAATAAGCTTTTCAAATGTTTAAAATCCCAATCTAGTGAAGTTATATATGTGAAGAAGCTGTGAAAGACATAAAATACCCTTTTTCTCCTTTGCAGCAAAGATTAAAATATGTATCTTTCAAAGTTTGTGCAGTTAATCCTCCAATTAATAAAAAGTAACTAATCAATTTTTGCTTCAGGTGACGCAGAAGAGGCTGATCACCCTCTTCTTTTAAATCGATATCTATTTTTAATAGCTTGAACATAGTAACAGTTTAGTATCTATCAAACATTCATTATAACCAGAGCTGGAGAGCAAACACTAACAGCGCACTGTGTTGTGTGATATTCCAAACTCCAGTCTAATTACTGGTGATGTATTTTAGGAGTCTGGTAGCCTTAGTGTGTCATAAAAGGAAACTCCTTGGACAAAAGCGTTTTAATTAGCTGACAGCATACCAGAGAGCGTGGCTTGGGGAACGGTGGGTTGGCTGGTCACTGGTGACCTCCTGTGGACAAACACATCATTACATAAGAGGGAGAACGACACTCTGCTCCCCTCTTCTGGGGGGAAATAAAATGGGAGTCAGCACAGTGTGAAGAAACAAAAGGTTCATTTAAACATTTGAAGTGATATAATTAATTTAGATGCCCCTAAAATAAGACAGCTGTGTGTAGACCAAAATATACTCCAGTGTTAAATAATGCAACAAAGTGTCATTTTTAAAATGCATTTGAATTCTCTTGTTTCACTTCACACATTTAAGGGTCCAAAAATAGTCAAAGACAAAGCGAGAGTACTGCTCTCTTTTCAAACAGTTTTTATACTTTTATAATTGTGCATCGGGAGCTGCATTTCCCAGGTCCAGCACTGTGTAATTATAGATCCTGATAACTCTCTGCTGCATTGCTTTATATATCATATTGACGTGAAGCTAAAAGCCTGCCAGCTCAAGCTCCTTCTGTCTACTGCATTACAAGGGAGAATAATTTTAGCATTATTGACTGTCTTCATTGTCTGGGCACAGAGTCAGGGACATATATTTGAGCACGAAGCTTTGTGGAGTCAGCTCTCAGTCAGCTCTCACCTGGATATATGCCAGATAATGCAGATCATGTTTTTCCTTGAGCATTGTCTGATACTCATAAACTGGTTAATCGTGATTGTTGAAATTGTTTCCCCCAACAGGCGCAAAGAAATGAGACATTACCATACACACACTACAAACTGAGCAGGCAGTCGTGACGAGCACAAGAAGGGGGGAAGGGGTGTTTGACAGCGTAATACTGACTTGTTAGTGGGTGTTGTGACATTGGCGAGGATGGTGAAGTTGCTTCTTACAGTTCGTAGGCTGGCCAACACCTGGGGGATGGATGGATGGCGTAGGAGGGAAAGAAGGAGGAGGCAAGAGGGAGGGAGTAGGAGGCGGGGGGAAAGGTTCATTGCACCGATTTGTCACCTTTTAAAGTCCATTTCAGACCATTTGGATGTCACACAAGCACAAGAATACATACCTGAGCAAAAGGGGTGACAATCATGTCTTCGGCATGCCTGCAGAGCCACGGGACAAAAAAAGCAGAAAATGGGCGAAATTTGAGCAGTCTGTGGGGATATGTGCTTATGTATGGAGGCTGTGAGTTGTGAGGTGGATGTTTACAAAGATCTAAACAGAAAAATAATGTTGAGAAAGACTAATGGAAAGGTTTGGGTTTTGGCTTGCTCAAAGGCCAGGAGACCAGCGCGTGACTTAATGTCTCTGTCACGGTCCCATTAGCATAATGCTTGCATAATTAAAATCATAACCACCTCTGTGTAATTTGGGATAATTGTCAGTTGTTGCCATGATTGTGTGAATGGATTGCACTGGGATGGGTGGCGGACGGCGGCTTACCCCTCACTGTTGATGGAGGAGTTGCGTGACATAGTTTTGGGGGACGTGTCGTAGTCTGAGTCTGAGCGGTACAGGAAGGACTCCCTGCGCTGGCTCTGGGGAAACGAAGGGTGGAGCACCAACCCAGGATTCGCCTGCGAATCCATGGGACTGCGGCCTGGTAAGGGACCATTCTCTGAATCAAAGCTGAAAGATTAAAGGGGACAGAAAGGTAAAGGGGTTTACGTCAGTTGCTTTTAATGTTGCCGCTCTTCTCATGCTTCGGTAAGAAAACATAGCCGAAAGACCCAAGATAACACACCACAAGCGAAGCAGCTTGTACTATTTTGTAGTTTCTTGGGGTGGAAGTTGAAGAAAAGAAAACACGACAGATGCTACGGCATGAAAGGATGCAACTCTGTGGAATAACGTCAGTTCTGGCAAAGTGCCATGAGGCTATTCTCAGAATCACACAGCTAATTTTTCCACTTTAACATCTTTAAGTCAGAAAATTGGGCCTCATCAACCAAATACTCTCCGGCAGGACCTGTCTGGAGGGAGCGGTCAACATCTGTTCTTAGGGTTGATATCTCTTTCAGACCCAGAGGGTTTAGATAAACTCTTAACTAACTGTGAACTCTCATACATATTAAAGGTTCCCTCTGGGGTTTTGACCTCTAATCATGCTATGAAGCGGTTTCTCCCATGCTGATAATGTCACACATACATGTGAGACAAGCTGTCTCACTAATGGGGTTTTTTACCATTCTTTTGATCAACAATTTTGTATTTGAATTATATTATTGGAATATTTGTTAGAACAATGTGTTATTCAGAAGTGTAACCCAGAATTACACACTACCTTTAAGTTGATTCATTATTCATAATAAAACGGACCATCTAGATTACCATCTAGATACCATCTAGATTTTAGTGAAACTCAACATCCCTGCTGCAAATCAGGGCCCTTCACCAGCAATTTTTGCCAGAAGTGACGAAGCAACACACCTCTCCAGTTATACATATTTTCCCCCCAAACCTGCAGCTTTTGCACCTTCTCTCTCCATCCAGCATGTCTCAACAAAATCCCCCAGCCTTACATCAAAGAGAGATTGAATTTTGCAACACAGAAATGAATCCAGCAGTGAGTGAACAGAGTGTTAGAGGGTGGCTTCCCATGGCAAGAAATTCACCAACAATGCCGAAGGCATGGTGTCGATTTATGTGAATTTCTCTCGCCGTATTTTTAAAGATGCACTTCTTGAATGGTTGCTCTCTAAAATAGCTATTTTATACAAGTTCAGAGTCACCTCATTTAAATGCTGGAATGTAAAGGACAACTAGACAAGCATGCTGAAGCTTTTTTGCAGCATCTATTTTTACGAGGGGAACTTTTATCTCCCCATACCTACCCTGTTTTTCTAAACTGTCAAACTTGCCATGAGCCAAGCCTTTCCGTTGAATTTCTAAGACTCTGCCAGATAGTTTTAGAAACTGTAATTAAAAATGTGCTAATCAGGGGGCCTTCCTTTCCCCGTGATGCTTTGTAAATATGTCAACAGATCACATTATCATCAATCAAGTTTCCCCAGAAATGAAAATTGAAATATTTGTCAGGGAGGACTCGCTCTAATCCTTATCTTTATTTTTCTCTCTGAACTCCGAAAGTAATTATCAGACCCCGACATTCTAAATTCAGTCCTTACATGAATCTAATCCGTCTGACTAAGGTTTGCTCGGAAATCTTCTGTCATGGGTATAGCATTATGCTTATTATGTAATGTTCAACCCTCGACTGGAGAATTCCAAATCCCATTGGCTCGTTTTGATGGTGCCCGGGTGCGACGTGCCCTGGACACCCGGACGCCGAAACTGTACCTGCAACAGTGAGACGAACGTCTGCGCTCTCGGATTTCACAGTTCAGTTTCATGCGGCGAAACAGCGCCGAGCCCCCGTGTCCGCGTGACTGATCGTCTGGTGACATAGGTGAGGTGAGCGAGGGGGCAGGAGGTGGACCTCCGGGACTCTCCCACAGCGTCAGCTGTCGTGTCAGCCTCTTCTGACTCATTGCTGCCAGCTCTGGGCCTTGTGGAGCTGACCAGCTAAAGAAAAACTCCCCCAGACTCCACTTACAACTGGCTGTCTCGCTCTGTATTACTGCTCCTCTCCCACGCAGTCCGTCTCATCCACTTTTTTACCGCATACTCCCGTCTTTGACAGACACAACCACAGCACCAGGAGTACGTGCTGCAAACTGCCCTCAATCCAGAGCGAGATTTAGTAACAAGTCCTGATCCCACCCCCCCCCACCCCCCTCCACCCTTTTCAGTCCCGCTCTCCCGTGTATCTCATGCCGGAGGAGGCAAAGTTCATCAACATGCATATCCTCTTCTCTGATCTTCAGGCCCCGGATGCTAAAACTGCCATTTCTTCTGTAGCCTGTTCCCTGTTTTTTCTTTTTTCTCGGGTCTCCTTAATCCTCGCCGGTGCCGGTTGCATAAAGTTTGTGTGCTCCTCAGCAGTGGCATCCTCTTCGAGGAAAGCTTCAGCTATTTCACCACATCAGCTCAGAGTGAGTCCCGCCGTCTCTTCAGGGGCCGGCCTGCCCAGACCAGACCTCTGCCCCCATCTGGTCTCCGGTTTCCTGCAGCCCTCGCGTCACAGCCGCCCAGAACACCCTTGTTTCAAAAACAAACTGTGATATTGCCTGTTAATTAGCCTAACTAGCCAGCCTTTTGCCCCCTTGCAAATGTTAGATTGTCCCCCCCCCCCCACCCCCCCTTCGTCTCCCTATCACAAGCATGTGCTCTCACTGTCCTTATCTCACTGCTGACAGTTCCTCTGCAGCAACAGGAAGGCTGATCAGCAAGAGAAACAGACCACAGGCGCCAGTACACAGCAACACGCACAGCCTGTGTAACGCGGATTTGAACAGAAAATACAAACAATCCGGGAAGAGGAGGAGGAAAAAAGGGGGGAAAAAAATCAGAGGACAGGTTGACTCATACCCCTCTGTAAATGTTTACATTTTCTTGTAAAGAGCGTGCAAAGTTTGCACCCAAAACATTTCATATTTTAACATCAACAGCCTTATTCGCAAACAGGGTTTTCCTTGCCCCTTAGAACATAACCGACATGGTTTTCCCCCTAATTTTTTTCAATGAGCAGCAATTAGACCATGAAATGGCTTTCAAACAACATGCTTTAGGTCAGAAAATAATTCAGTCATGGCAAATGTTCGCTAGTCTAAAGGAGGAATCTTTTTGCATGCATTGTTTTACTAGCAATACATATACCAGCGCACTACTGTCAGATCAAAACAAAAAATATTGTGCTGCGGAGTTAATTTTTTAAAAAGTTGGTAAAATATTGAACGACTGTACGGGTCAAATTTTCTGGCTGCACAGCAGTCTCTTGAGGGAGCATTTATTACTTTCATCATAGCACACATTGATTAATAGTTGTGCAACTAGCTGATTAACCCTGAGATTACCAAAGTGACATTTTGCAACAACACAGTGAGAAGTGATGCAATTTCCTCTGAGGACAGACGAAAAGAGGCAATTTGTCAAAACAATGTGGAATAATGTGATATACTTTTTAGGTTTACTTTAGCAATCAATACCACTGGACAGTTATACTTATGATGCGTGAAGAACAGCAAAAAAGTCTTATTTTTGCATATTGTATGTCTCTGATGCAATTAAGCATTCATCACAAAGGGGTAAGTTTACATTTTCTGTCTCCAGGTTTATATAAATTTGAAATGTCACACTTTACGGCATTTTTGCAGGTCCCATTCCGTTCCAAAACATCTGGGTGGAAAACTCCACCCAAGCACTTTTTTTGTTTTGGTTAGCAGACCTAACCTTTTGTCAGTGTTTGGAATACAGATTAGGCATTAGAAACTGGGCGTATGTTATTCAACTGTGGATGTCTGTTCACACAGATGGGAGCGCAAATGAGATGTTTTGTGAGACGGGAACTTTCTTTCCCTCAGCATTTTCTGCAACAGCAGCCGGCGAACTAAGAAAGACAAGAAAAAAATCAACTGTATGAATTCCACCTTTCAGCAAGGCAGCTTAAAGCGTGAGCGCAGCAAAGAACACAGAGAAGATAAGATGCCTTGTCAAGCTGTTTCGCCTCCTCTTGCCTTCCACATTCAGTAGTTCAGCCTTTCTTCTGCGTCTGTCTTTCTTCCTCCCCTTCTCCTCCCGGTAGAAAGACATTAGCGTTTGCTTATGACGCACTGGGAATGGATGCTGCGCCTCATCTTGGAAAGTCGCTCATGAAAAGGCCTTACTTAGAGCCTGTTTGAACAGCGTCTTTCAAAGACAGACTGTGGAAAAATGTCAAGAATTCTGATTCTCTGACAGCTACTATTGTAATCTCAGGAGAGCTGATGAGGAGACAATTATTGTATCTCCCAATAAATATAGAGTCCCCGCTCAATAATAGCTGGTGAAACCTCTCAAAGTGACTCATGCTCACCCCTCTATGCATACAGAGAGAGAGGGAGAGGGAGAGAGAAAAAGAGAGAGAGAGGCAAAACACACCCCAATGTTTCTGATAGGTGCTCTCCCGTTTAAGCATTAACTTTTAAGGCTTTTAGAAAGGCACAGAGACACACACACCGTGCAGGGGGTGATTACTGGCGGAGCTGTGGGCAGCTCTCTGGGTTTCATTATGTGAACGCAGAGTCCCTGGAGTGTAGCGCCGCCACAATGACATGATGATCAGAGTTTTGGCAGGGGAGGGGGAATTTGTTCCGATAGAGTGACTCCCTCCCGTCCAAGATAACAAACCATCCATGTCGGGGGACGAAGAGGAGCACATTAAAGCTGCTGTCTCTCATGTTGCCATGCTACCTGAACCTCGCCGCTGACGCACAGCAGGGGCAGCCTCATGATAATGGATAACACGAGTCGTTTTGCATGGCCGAGAGACGCGGTCACCGGCTCGGAAAACGTAAAGCTCGTGTATCACATGTGCGGAAACCCTGAGACACGCCGCCGAATTGTGTTTTTGCCTGAGCAGTCTTCTATACAGGTATTATTCGGTTTGATTATTAAATTACCGCCAGGCATTTTCTTTCTCGCACAGGCCTCGTGTACTGAATAAGCTGGGGAAATTGGAATGTGCTGCAGCACCGCTTCATTTAGTCTCCGCTCTGCACACATTTCTCCGACAAAAGACCAGGGCCTGATTTCATGTCATTAATACAGCAGGCTTCAAAGAGCTTTTTGAGCCCTGAGTCAATACAGCGATTAGTTTAATTAAACCATTAAGTCTATATGAGAGTGTAGGGGAGATTTACATACATCCCCTCTACTGACCCTCTCTTGCCATTGATTATTCATTAACAACCATCACGAGGAAGCCCCTGGCTGGGGGTAGGCTTCTGCCGGATCAGCATTTTCCCAACAGTCTGTTGGTGTCAGCCCTTCTTTCCCTCCACCACACTGAGCACTGCTGTTAATCAGGTTTGGGTGAGCCAGCCTTCATTCATTTAAGCTACTCTGAAAAAAAAAATGAAAAAAAAGAATGCTCATGTCCACCAGATCTTTGATTTTTTTTCATTCCTCTTAGTTCACTAAGTTAATGATTAACCTGCCTTAGTCCATTTCAATCTTTCCCCCCTGTGACACAAACACACACATAATCCATACCCAAAGCCTCGGTGGAGAGTGACAGTGATTTCCTGCCCCCGCTTCCGAGTCTGCCAGGCAAGCACAGATGCTTATTTCCACGTGCAATTTCAGCCCCCACCCACCCGTGAGCTGTGCCTCACCCAAGCGTTTAGCACCTGGCTGATTGCTACCAGTGAGGGGGTGGCAGCGAGGGCAGTTGAAGGGAAGAAGAGGGAGGACTTGCAAATTGGGAAAGTGTGCTCCTTTTTATAGGTTGGCCATATAATCACAGCTGTACTCTGCAGCCGGAGTTGATTCATCCGCACATCTATCGAGCGCTTTTTATGTTGTAAAGCAGCCTCGCCCTCGTGCTTTTAGGGCGGCAGAGCAATAACCGACACATCTCGAATGACACGTCCAGAGCATCCCCGCTTGCCTCAGCTTGCCCTCTGTCCCCCTCAAAAAAAAAAAAAAAAAAAAACAAGGGACAGAGGCCCCGCTCACGCCTGCTTACAATTTAATGTCCACATTTACTGTACAATGAGCAAGAGGTAGGAGCTTTTACGGGATAAGCTGTCACCACGGCACATTTGAAAAGAGAGGGCATCGGCCCACTGGAGAGTCACAGATACTGGAAGAAGAATAATCAATTTATGTGCAACATGAGAAGGGAAAATAGAGCCATATGCATGAGCATGACTGACAGTTGGACAGAGCTAGGGAAAGAATGATAATGAGACGATAGCTAAATGGGCACCACCTACACCTTAAATAAAATAAAAACACATTGGAATAGATTTATCTCTCACCACTACCTCTGTTATTAAAACCAAATCTCTGCTATTGTAATCACAGTAGTTCATAATAATCATGAATCCAAGCGTGATAACTTATTCTTATTTGGCTGATAGCTTGTTAAACTCATCAAATTATGTGAGTGAGAAATCACTGCCATCCAATTTTGTTCCAGTGTGCACTATGCTTGAGTTAAAGCTCTCCAGAAAGCCTCCTTTATCCAGTTTGGAAAAAGCTGCAGCCTCAGATGAGTCACAGATATTTTCTCAGATAAAAATGAAAACAATGTAAACCCTGGTGGAAATTCAAATCCACTTCAGCCCCTACCCCCACACGCTCACTTCAGAAGTCACCAGAGCCACCATGCGGTCCATCTTTTTTCTTCCCAAACTGGACTGAGTTTGGCTGTGCACGATACCAGGGGAGGCATGCTGGGCGCACATCATGGAAAAGGATAGCCCGAAATCCCCCGCAGCGCTGCGGCAGCCAGTTAATGTTTTTTTGTGTTGCGGCCCTGATGTCCGTCAGCCCTACATGTCTGCGGCCCTCCCTGGAGGGTCCCCAGCTGCCCGCTCCATCCATCCTCTTCCACCCGTCCAGCTCTCCGCTGTGCTGTGGTCAGATCGCGGAGCCAGAGATTACAGCAGATTATCCTGCCCACAGGAAGGCCGGCCCAGCTCTGGCCGGCCAAACGCAGCCGGAACACATGCCTTTCAGGAAGACCCCTGAGGGATTGGCCGCTATCACACACCTGGCAGAAGCCACGGAGAGGGGATTTTGTTTAATGCGTTACACTGGACAGGGTAATCAGCCTTTACTCTGCACAGCAACAGGCCCCCTACACAATGCAAAAAGGACGTCCACAGCCAGGGCTTTTAATCTATTAATGCGCCGTACAAAACAAATTCCGCCGGGACTCCAGGTGTTTCTCACGCCTACCTCTTGGAGCCCTGTTTTCATTTACGCAAGGAATTTTGGGCTCTGCTGTTCTGAGAAAGCTTACATTTTGTATTCCCCAAGACCCAGGAGAGGCATCCGTCACTTCACATCAGTAGGTTTCGGAGCTCCTGGAAGCTCTCAGGCATCCCGAGACGTTCTGCTTCACAGGCCACCCGACTTTCACCTCACTTCAGTTGTGACTTTGTACCGTGACTCTTTTCGCAACCTATGACTGAGGAACATCAAAATGTCAACTCTGCTTTATAGTGAAGCAGACAAACACTCATTGAGACTTTTTTAGTAATGAGGCCCTGCGTATCTGATGCACACATCAAATCTAATTTGAAAACATTCGCAGTGAGGCTGCAGTTCAGCTGCTGCTTCATCATCAACAGCAGCCATTTGTGGGGGAGCTGACCTTTCTGCCCAACAGTCTATCTCCAGTAACCACACGTTACATGGCACAGAGAGTTATCCAGTGAATAACCATCTCATTTATAATTTGGTAATAAATCCTTCCTCTGCCAAGACTGCACTGCAACCATCCTCACTTCTTGCCATCCATCTGCATCAAGAAGAAAAACAGATGCTCATTTAGACCCAAGTCAGACCACTGAGTTGGCTCGTCAGTATTATCGAATTATTCTGACATCCGAATCACAGCCCGTTTTTGTTTTTTTTAAAGATTATAGTGTCCTAAATCTAAGGCATTTTCATGGAGAGTTCAGTTCTCCAAAATTCTCTCATAGCTAAAAGTGGCGGGTAAAGAATTGCTGTTCTTGTTCTTACTGCGTGATGTTTTCCTCTTGTCTCCAGCATATATTAGCGCCTGAGGGCAAGAGGGTCAGCATGGCTTGACAGAATAGTTATTATCTTTTTCTTTATCCCTCTCTCTCTCTCTCTGCCTTTTTCAGTCATCCGTCCTTTATTTGTTTTGTCCTCTTTCTCTCTTTTCTCACTCTCGAGCTGCATGCAAAATTATGAATTTTCAGCTGAGTTATGTACAACTGACACCAGCACTCTTGTTTTCTCCCTACTCCCATCTTTATCATTCTTCCCCTGTCTGTCTTCACACAGATGCTTACCCTTCTGCATGTAAATCCTGCCCTGCCGTCCTGTAGGTCCTTGAATGTGGAAAGTAAGCGTTTTTTAATCGTGACTCCTAAATCTCAGCTCTTTGTTTTTTTCAACCGGTGTCCCAATCTTTAAACATCAACTGTTTGTGTAATGAGCATTGTCCTTCTCCAGCCTCCTTCTTGGGTTTGTGTTGCTGGAGCTGCACTTTATTTCTTTTCCTGGGTGCTGATGTAGAGACTCTGGCTGGGCTAAGCTCATGGATCAGATGACACAGAAAAAGCGTGCACAGAGATGACAAATGGAGAGACCCGTTCGATTGGCTTTCTGTTTGGTTTCCTGCTTCTCACTTCAAGATAGATTAGGCACCGAGTGACAGACTCCTTGACGGAAAAGAAACCGATCCGAAGCAGTGAGAGCAATTCTGCCATATTGATTTGCTTTTGATGTTTAATGGAGTTTCTCAGAGAGGAAACTCAACCACAGGGGGGGGTTGATGGGAAGGAGCAATGGGGTCAGGCAGATAAAAGCGGCATCATGCTGAATTTAGTGACCACCACCCCTAAAAGCGGAGGGGTATACTTCCAAAGCTCTGTTAGTGCGGATTGTGGTCAGTATCATGAGAAAAGTGTGGCAGGAAATGCAATATACTGTGGGAAATGGCAATTGCTTGGGCATCTCTTCTATACCATCCAAATCCATTAAACTCCCTCCCCAAGCATTTGCCCCACCCTGCCCCCCCCACCTTGCCCAACAAGCCCACACATGGGGTTGTATTTTTAGCACATCACCCGTAACTCTCCCTGCATGCTGGGGCTGCTGGGCGTCTTTTATTTTAATCCAGACGGGAAGGAGATGAAAAAAGGAAGAGAAAGAGAGAAGTGTGAGTCATGCAAAGCTACCTTTATGCCACTGTGGCCCTGTTCCTCTCCGCCATCCCACTTTCTTCTCCATCTTTTCCTCCATCTGTCTATCTTTCTCACAAATCTCTACATCAGATCTGTAATTTCACATTCTGTCATATTGAATTCACCCCAGATATGAACTGCGGACTAAACCACAGTCCAATCCGTCATGCATATTCCCCAGAACAAAGATGGTTTGGCCGTTTATTACCCTGGCATGATGGATAAATACAGATATAATGTGATGCAAAAACAAATGCAAGGCATGATGCCGCAGAGTGTGAAAGCGTTCAAGGTCGATTTGTGAAATGGTCCATTTAGCAGCGTGCTCTGAATCGGACTTGAACGCTTTAATGTGGCGTGGCTGAGCACGAGCGAGCTTGTCCGTTAATTGATTCCTGCTTCTTAGTTGTTTTTTTGTTTGTTTGTTTCATTTATCTTGCATGTTTTGTTTTTTTCCAATTTCCCAGTGGCTGTTATGAGGAATTTTTAAAAATCTGCCACAACAACACGCATTCATCTTTAACCCTATAACACTATATGTATCATATTCGATACATATTGCTTCCAAAATGTTTTTTATACCTTTTGCATAATTTAATAGATAATACTTTGCTCAAAACCCTGTTGTACACAATCAGATATACCTGATAACAGCAGGCAGAAAACTAAAACACAATAATTTTGACTTATTGCACGGTAATAAATGATGAACATTAAAAAAAAATGTTTTTTTCCTATTTTGTTAAAGGGCTGAATAAATAAAATAAATAAATAAATCTCTCTATTTTTCTTGGAACATTTGTCACATTGACAAGCTCAAACGCACTGACATGTTGGCAGGCAAACATGTTAGCTTTTACCCTCTCCAATATTTACTCTTCTTTCAGCTCTGTTATGTTCTCCACTGACCCTTTGGGGAATCATAAGATTCTTAAGCTGCTAAGAGCTTCACTTTGTTCACTATTTAGTTTTGTATGTTGCAGTTAAGAGCTGGGATTGTCATGCTTGATCTAATGGCTTTCAAATGAAGCCAGGATGATACAATTGTGGGCAACAAATGCAGAACATTATGCGGTAAAATATCTTGACACCCTCTTATCCTGAGGGGATCAGCAGTCAATGGAGATCATTGTTTTTGTCATGTGACAATGGTCATTGCCATCATATTTTTTTCTTTTATTATAAGCATTAAGGATATGCAGCCATTCTAGAAGCTCTGTAATCCTGTGCACCAGTGCTTTGAATTAAACATGAATGCCACAATGTATCATGTTCTTAATGCTTTCTTATAAAAGACTGACCATGCTAACATGTAAAGTTAATGAGGAGGGCTTTAGCTTATAAGATGTCATAAATTTGCATGGTGAAAATTTGTTTTGGGCCAGGCCTAAATTCTAAACTCACTGGTAATGAAAAGAGATTCTACATTTTTTTTTAATCAAAATATTTTACTATAACCCCAACTTGAGGCACCGCAGGTTACTGTACAGTATCTTGCAAAATTATATCATGGAGAAGGTGTTCAGTCCTCCAAACTAAACTTTTCTATCAGGGATTTGTTCCTACCCGTCAATTTGGCTCATAAAAGTAACCACTAATTACAAGCTAAATAGATATTCAAGACCTATGAGCATGTCCACTTAGGACGGATAAAGATGAAGACAAGGAAGAAGATGGATTTGTTAAGTGCTGTGCTTTCATCAACAGACCATTTGTGTGGTGTTAGATGAGATCAACATCCATACAAACTGCTGAGCACTTTACTAAAAACACTTAAACCGCTTCCTGCTTCCTGATTACTTGGTTAGAATTACAGAATGATGACATTCATGCATTAACACATTGGTCACTTTTTTGGATTGTGTTTATAGATCTCAAGTCACAATGTAAAGTTCAGCTTATCAAGTTCTGAGTCATGCTCAGAGACAAGACAATTTCACCTCCCAATTGGAAATAAATTTTGTACATAATTTTTCTTGATATGTTTTGTAACCATAGGTGGAGTGCATTTCTAAAAGGTTAGATATCTACTCCAAGAGCAGAGTTATTTCAACTCTGATTTGGAGTTTATTCAGTGGCCACAGGCCGAGTTTATTTGAACTCACACAGAGTTTATTCTGCAGGCCAGAATGTTCTGTGGGGAGGTGCTTGAGAAAATGGCAAAGGGATCACTTGCGTAAATGGGATTTTTCTTCTGGAAAACATGGAAGTCTTAAGTAAAATTTCACATCAGTCCATCAACAAGATGTTCAAAGAGTCTAAACTAAAGGGGCAAAACAACTAAAAACCAATGGCTATTCCACTGGCATGCCAAAAATACAGAAGAAGACATATTATCAACATTTCTAAGTAAAATATATGACAAGATTCAAGGTGTTTCAAATGCACTGATTTTTCTCTCACCAGAACATGATATCGTTGTCCTGTCACCTTGAATTTATATTTCTATGGCAAGTTCAAATTTGACAGATGAGGACACTGGGGACAGAATGTGCTTGATTCTACGGCTACGATTATGATAATTA